CTTGGAGTTTTAACACAGACCATCAATTTCATGTTCCAAATATAGAGCTGTCAATCAAAATCTTGAGGAGTAAAAGTTATTTTTAGTTTGATTGGAGTGGATGAATTTTGCCTTGAATTGTTTTCAGAAAAAGAATTGAATTTGTAAGCATTTAGAAAATTATTTTTGATAACTATAAACAGGTCATGGTGACCTACTTGTAACATACATGAAAAAACACTAGAGAAGTCAGAGATGCACACATACTAACATTTTCGATTTATATACATGTATAATAATAATAATTTCCATTCAATATTACATTAATGCATAGCTCAATATAGATACAATTTATCCAGTGCCAGGACTTCTGATACAGTTAAACCAGTCCAAATGCCACTGGGACTTACCACAAGTGTTCAAATTAGCAAATGGTCACATTTCAAGGCTTTTTGAAATAGGAATCAATGGAAGATTACAAAATTGGAACCGAGAGAAAGTGTTTCTATTGACAGTGTTCTGATTACAGAGGTGTTCACACATACAAGTTTTACTGTTTATTTGAATTATTTCTAATATGCAGAATACATATAAATACATTTGATTAAGTAACTGAGACAATATTGCCTCTGATTAAACTAAGTATCATGGTACAAGTTTTCCCCATATGCACTTCATGTTGTTTTTGGATCAAGTTCATCTAGGCCTACTTGAAAGTGAACGAAATGTAAAGATTTGTATAAGCAATGAGAACAGTTACTACCTGTCCACCAAACATTAACAATTACACTATAGAAATATCAAATAATTAAGTTTGTGCGATACCGTCATAATTATATTAATAACTCGTATAGTAACCGACCCTGGTAAGGACCCCACTGGGGTGTCATATCATTGCTAAGAGTCACTCTTTGGAGAAATACCTACCAAATCAAAAATGCAACTTAATCTAATTTGAGAAGCAGGAATATGAAAAATCAATTCTATAAGAAAGCCAAGACCTTGTTGAAGAATTAGCATGGAAAGAAACATTATTTACCCAATAATGTAAATGGATTACTTCCTGCGGATAAAATATGCCAGGTGCAGTATTTTGAAATGCAACATAAAGTGGAAATAGAGAAATAAGCTCAGGATAAAGTTAGTAGAACTTGTAGTTAACACTTAATTGTATTCAAGTGCAAGAAAACCTGACATTTCATTCAATATTTTAAGAGAAATGAATGATATAAGCATAAGAAAACAGACATATCAGGCATTTCATGCATGCTTTGGATAATTCCACTGGATTAAAGACCAGCTTTAACAGCAGGAGAAACTGACATATTGTCTATAATATTTATAAATATACAACTGTATGATTATATCATTCATCATAAGAAAAGTATATGCAACATATGATAGATTGATGGGAAAGACATGGATTTATTCAGGCTATTATTTTGATTGATATAAACAATTAATTAAAGACAGAATTATCCATAAAAACATTATTTCAGAAATTCTTGACGACAATGGATACTTTATATTTATCAATATCAGTGTTTACATTGAAATATAGGATTTTGTACTAGTATGTAAGGTTTTGATGGGGACTTGTTATCCTGTTCTCATAAGTGACTGTCACATTGCAAAATGGAAGTACAAGGAATATGTGTTTGAAACTGACAAAGTATAGTTAGGAAAATGGAGCAAGGGACAGGGGCCAAAATGATGCCATACAGGAAGAGGAACCGCACGATTCTGCGAAAGAAAAGCATTCATAGAACACTGGAGAAAATCCTTCTTCATGCTGTTGTTAGTGGAGTCCTGTCAGTGCATCATAATGTTAAGGTAATTTCATAAGTATGGTAAAAATCACATTGTTATAATGTGACAGGCTAGGAAAATGATGACTTTAATAAGGATAAGAATCACTATCGGAAGTAAGAGGTAAGACATTAAGCTAGATAATAACTTTAACAAGGTAAATAATAACTTCACTAATTATCATTGTAAAATGAAGGAATGAAACACTGTTAAGATATAAGGTAAATAATGTTTTTAACTAGGTACACATGAATAGTAACTTTACCAGTGATCTCCCCAGCATTAAAGGGGCAATAAGGCTTGTAGAGAGAAAATAGGAAAATTTTAACTTTTTCTGAGTTATCAAGGCAACAGTTGGCTAACATCTTCTTCGACATACCTATTTTCTTAAAATGTATGGATAAACTATCAATTTCGGCATTAAAAAGTGTAAATTCAGTTCAAAGCTTCAAAAAGGGGACGTCCACTTTTATATTTTTAAGATCCACCATGTTTCAAGAGGAATATAAGCTGAAATAATGATTATCTAAGGGGTTTCTTTGTAGAAAATAAAAATAGATGTTAGTCTTGATGAAATACCCAAACTTAAATATATTTTGACACTGGTCCATGATCGTTGAATGGCCCCTCTGCACTACTTGTTGCACCTTTAAAGCAAGTGGGCGCAATACCCACCTGAAATTTTAAAAACAGGGTTGCTTCCACCTGAAAGTCCATTTGCACCCACTTGAAAATGAGAAAGAATCATGAAAAATGTGCATATTTTGACCAATTTTGATCTGAATTGTGAAAATGAGAATTTTGCACCCACTTGAGAGAAAATCCTGTGAAACACTGTGCACTATGGTAAAATGACTTTAATAAGGAAATAAACACTTTCAAGGTAGAGCATCATTGTTAAGGTAAACAATGACTTGAATAAGGAAGAGCATCACACACCACAATATTAGATAACATCACAGTATTTAGGTATAACATCACAATGTAAAGTTCATTTTATAAAATGTTACAGTTTTGAAGTTAACAAATACAGTTTTCAAATGCAATACATATTTTTGCAAATGCCAGCATTTTAAGGCTTTAAAGATTGAAGTTGACAAGTAAGATTTGCAAATGCAATAATGCTGCATTTATGCAATTATTTTTAAGTTTAAACTTGACAAATAAGGTTTTCAAATGATGCAATACATATTTGTTGCAAATGCATGTATTTTAAATCTTTAAAATTGAAGTTGACAAATTAAATAAGGTTTGCAAATGCAATAAATATTTGTTGCAAATGCATATATTTTAAATCTTTAAAATTGAAGTTGTCAAATTAAATAAGGTTTGCAAATGCAATAAATATTTGTTGCAAATGCATATATTTTAAATCTTTAAAATTGAAGTTGACAAATTAAATAAGGTTTGCAAATGCAATAAATATTTGTTGCAAATGCAAGTATTTTAAGGCTTTAAAGATTGAAGTTGACAAAGAAAAATTGACACTGAAAATGTATGCATGCATGGCATTTTCAATTATGAAACACAAGCTAAATGTCAAATATAAATCTGTTTTTATTTAGAACTGTACTCAAGATAAGTATTTTAATGTCACACAATGTTCAGATCAAACTTGTATCCATTTTAATGTCATCTTCAATCCAGACAGTTAAAGACCAATGTTGTATTTAGTCTTGATAGCCCATACTTTAAATATTTAGGATATAACTTCATCACTGTTTCTAAATGAGCTTAATTTTGATTCCATTCTCACTGAGATTAAATATTGAACCAGTACGACTGTTGTTTGGAAACAAATTAATGCATCAAAGAGTGGAAGCTTATAGAAAACGTTACATTCAAAATTGTTAAATCTCACTTGATGAGATAAGGTCTAAGCCAAATAATGTTTAAAGGTGATCAAATAGTTTTGAGAATTAAAGAAACTTGAGCTGGATCAAAATTTATTACAAGAAATATTTCTTATGGTAATTTATAGCAAGTAGGGTGATACTTTCACTTTATTTTTCTCCGATGTTTGCATGATATTAATCACATCTATCTGTTAGTTTATATAAAAGGAACTGATAAAAAGCTATGATCTCTTACATTGTTATATAAATTCAGCAATTTTCATTCCTTCTTGAACTGTATATACTACGTACTTACTGCAAGGAAACCCATGACATTGTCATTTTACTCCCCAAGGTCATGTTTTGTCTCAAGGACATTTACTCAACATTCCATATTGATTAAACCATTCTAAAAATATGTTGCTGTTCATGCTCATTTGACTCAAAGTTTTGACAGAAGTGTCTAATTTTCTGTCATTTTTACACAATTTAGAACTCTGGTCATTGCATGTCAATTTGCTTTATTCCTTGTTTCACTCTTTTTGCATCTACAATCATCAATTGCGATCATACAATCACAATTTTTAAGAGTTGTTGTTTCCACTCTAGTCTTAATCCATACTCTATTGTATGTATGTGAATCAAGACTTCCTAAGTATCATCCATTTACAATATCATATCTGATTACCAGGCTATTAAAGAATGTAATTAGCTTGTTATAGAGAAAACATAATTGATTAATCTTTTTTCCAATAACATATAGATTTAACATGTTATAACCACTGCCTCTTTCTCTTTCCAACTTGCAACTCTGGTAACTATAATAGTGCTGTAAGAGTGGATCAGGGAAATAGAATGGGATGTCAGGTTGAAATTTAAATCTTCTTTAAGAATGATATGACCTTTGGGATAAGGTATCCCGTTTAAATGAATGCTCATGCTAACATTAGAGTTTTTCTAAGATTTCTATGGGATGCTCAAAGTACAGATACTATGTTATTAATGGCATTATACTTACATGTATAATGTATGTATAATGTATGTACCATGTGCCATTGCCTATTCATTGGTGTCATTTGTATTTGTATCTTTTTACAAGGCAGTTACAATACAAAAAAGTAATATTACAGACAGATACAGAAACATTCCCTCAGAGGAGCCCTGTGTTCTTTTATGTGCACTGATACTCAAGCATGCAAGCACTCAGACAAACACCATGAATCACTTAGCGCAACAAGCAAAGTAGTCCTGTCTTAGGGGATTGAACCTATACATTTGGTAATGAACTTGAAACTCTGGTTGATAACGGGTCAATGAACTGATTGCCAAATACTTGTATTTATATGTATTTTCATGTACATGTATTTATATTTCCAGGGTTATTCAATAGCTGACATATTGGACAGACTAGAGTGTGCACTAGCAGAGAAGTATCTCTGGGCCATATGCAAAGAGTGTGTCTTCACCCTCATTAGAGAGAGCAAAGGTAACTTTTTGAAAGTTTATACAGCAAATTCAAATCCCCTCCTTTTCTATTAGGCCACTTTATGTTGAATTGATGAATGACAAAGGGCACCAGTGCTGTTATAACAGACCACTGTTTCACTTACTAAAAGCAAACAGGGTTAACCTGTAATCTTCGATTGACCTTGAGTTGACCTTTGAACTTTAAAGCTAAAGCTTGTGAGAGTTTATTCCAAGAGACAGTAATGGCTGTGAATCCCACTATGACTCCCCCCCCACATGGAGTCTTCCAAAGTTTAGGGGGACTAAGTACAGAACTGGGGAGTTGCAGTAATAGTTCTTATATTATATTTTAGATGCTGAGATTGCACCTACAACTACTGTGATAGAGGAGAGTGGACATATAGTGTTTAGATCAACTGGTATGAGGGATGTACACCATCAGTACATTGCTCCTGAGATACAGCTGGGGGGTCGACCAACTGAAAAAGTAAGAATTAGTCATGCTTACTAGTGATCTATGCATTTCTGTGCAACTGATTACTTATAACTCCTAGTTGTAATAATTACAAACTCATTATTATTGCCAAACTTTGGTATATTAACCCCACTTAACATTCTATTCAAGGGTGGGTTATTAGCCCGGGGGTTCACTATAAAAACCTTGATGGGGATCCTTGGTGCACATGGGGTACCTTTTTCGACATTTGGTATGGCAATGGAGCCAAATTTTAGGATCTGGTATGAGAATGCCCCCACATCATGGCTATTGAGGTAATGGCAATGATCAGATTATTGGATTCACTCTGTGTCTTGTTCCATTTTTACATGGATGTATCTTAAAAATGGCTTTGAAATTATCACATGGAAATTGTATTTTGTCTGTAACAAGTTATATTTTGTATAACTTATCCTATATAGCTGAAAACCCCAAATTCTTAAAACCTTTGATTCCTGTATGTTTCCAGTGTCACATATTCAGTATAGCTGCAATGCTGTGGGCAGCGGCAGATCACAATCTCTCAACAAATCAGGAGCCAGAATTGAGTGGATTCATGCAGAACCTGTTGGTGACAATGACACAAGATGATCCAGCTAGTCGACCATCTTTATCTGAACTGCTTCAGGTGTGTTCTTTTACAATTTTTTTTTTATTTACAAATATGATGATGGGATGCTATGCACAAAATATGTGAAAATAAAATGTAATTGTATATTGTACATGTTATTGTATTGTTCTTGTTTCTGTTTAGCATCAGTTGCTTCATCAACATATTTGACCATTGTTTTAACCAATAAAGATGTGATTCGTTCATCATGTGATCATGCATTTATCTTATGGAAGCCACTTTTTTTGAGCACTCTCTTTATCATGGGATCATGTATTTAACAATCATGTTCTAATGTGTTTGTCATGTGATAATTTATTAACCAGTCATGATGTTCTCATATGTTTGTCATGTGATAATGTATTAACCAATCATGTTCATTCAGGTGTGCAATGACCATGACAGAGAAGAATCATCAAGTACAACATGTCAACAACTGCTGAAAGATGTGCTCAAACGAGAGGCCCACTCCATAAGTCAGGTGAACAATCATTGTTAAACTAGTTTGTGGCTTCAGTTTATCTTAGAACTAATCATGGTCTTAGACCTAGTTTTTGGTTCAATAACTTTGTGAACTTAAATGCGGTGTTAGAACTTGTTTATGGTCTCAGAACCAATGTATGGTTTTAGAAATTGGTTTTATCAATAGATTTTTAGGCATATTTTATTTTAATATTTCATATCAGTGTTTTACTACCATAAGGTACACATGTGTACACAGGGAAAACTAGCTTAAAAATACATAATTGGAACTGGTTTGTGATCTTAAAACTGGTTTGTGGTGTTTGGAGTAGTTATTAGTTTTAGAACTAGTTTGTGATCTTAGAACTAGTTTGTGGTTTCAGAACCTTAAGTGATGTTTCTGTTACTCAGTAAATATTTTTTTTAAATCAAAACATTCCAAGATACTCTTTCTTAAGCTAAACATGGATCTTGGAACTCATTTCATATGTTTTATCTTTCCATTTTCAGGAGCTTAAGCGACAGCTGACAGAACGTGCCAGAATGTCACCATTCTTTGATCAACTTCTAGATGAAATACAAAATCCTCCACGTAAACTTCGAAAGGTATTTCCATGAAGACAATCTTTGGTATATTTAAAAATAGATTTGAGGGATTGGATCTAGTTCAGTGAAAATGCAAATAATTATTAAGTATTTAGAATAACTATTTGTAATAAACATTTTTGAAATATTGAAATTATTTTGGTTAACTTTGTATTCTGACAGCATACGTTGTAAATTATTTTTAACTATAAAAAGTCATAAACTGATAATATTACATTTAAATTGACATCTCTTCACTTTTAGACCTCAAAGCCAAAAGAACAAGAGATCAGGAAGGTTTTCCAAGAAAACCCAGAATTAATGCAAAATTTACACCGAGTCACACAAACAATCCATCCAAGTCGAAATGCCACATCAGACTCAGTATTCTTACCAACTCATTCACCAGGGTTAAAACTCTCAGGAAGTCCATCTAGATTCCGCCCAATCGAATCACCTAAATCCTCGGGGAAATCTCCATTTAGTCCGCCTAATGAGACTCAAGGGAAGGTTTTGTCATCCAAGGATATACATTCGTCCAAGTTACCATCAGCATTTAATTCACCTGCCACTCATTTTCAACCAATTGTCATCTCAGATAGTTCCTCATCTCTTCAGAAACAAGAGCCAGCAATAGTCACCGTGCCAGCAAAACGTCCTGGCACTTACACCTCAGATGACACTAAAAAAGACAAGGATAAAATGGTGGCGAAAAAATTGCGAGAAATGAAGAAAAATTTAATGAAAAACAGCACGATGAATAATTTTGCCAATGACATAGAGAAGGACATTGAGGAAGAAGAAGGTTTAAATCCACCCTCTGATCCAAAAATTAACCAGATATCTAGTGACACAACAGCCATCATTAAACCTAAAACTTCTACAATAGACACAAGAATATCTACAAAAGCTTTACAATTGACTGCCTCAAAACCAAGGGATGAAGTCACCAATCATGGTGTTAAAAATACTCATATTAAGACTATTATCCAGTCAAAACAACAAGACAGTGCTGTGCTCAAGTCAGCGAAACAAGATACATGTACAAGTAGCTCCAGTCAAGCTCAACAAAATCCAGGACAATTTATATCAACTGAAGGTCAGAATTTGTCAGGTCAAGATGTACCATTAGGAGCATTAGGACAGTCTGTAACCCCCAATTCCCAACCTTTAAGTTTACCATTACAGTTAAATCAAGGAATGTTAACTAATGGTCCAATTCAAGTTCAGCTTCAAGCAGATCCAAAAACAGGAATTTTACAACTCATACCTATCAATGTTGCAAATACTCAACCTTATGTACAATCTGCAGAACCTGGTGTGCAGGAAGATCCTGCCAAGCAACCTCAAGATCCCTCAAAACAACCACAACAACCTTCCAAACAACCAACTGGAACATCTGTTGAAAATACCTCTAAGATTCAGAGCAAGTCAGAAGTTGAATCACAAAGTCGAAGTCGTGCGTCGGAATCAACCTCCGACAGAAAGCGTAGAACTCGTTCTGCTAGTCGAGAAACTAAAACAAACAGGGAATCAAGAACAGAAAAAACTGATAAAAAATCGTCATTGAGGAGTCGTTCCGTTCCTCGCGATAAACTTAATGGTGCTAATGTTGGGATTATACCTGTAGAGATTGACATACAGTCATCCCCTAGGAAAAGTGCAAAATCCCAAGCTTCTGACCCCCCATCTCCTGACAAACCACAACCTCCCCCAAGGCATTCTAGGAAATCATCGTCCACTAGCCGATCTGAGTCTAGGGATCGGAAATCTCGGAGGTCAGAAGCTGAAATTGAAAAAACAAGGACACGGAAATCATCAAGTGAGTCATCACCTGAGAAAGTGAAAAGAACAACATCTGCTTCAAAAGGAGAAGACTTAAAATCAAAAACTGATAAAAAGAAAAGGACATTGTCATCCAGTGATCTTATAAATATTTCATCAGAATTAGAAGAAACTGAAAAACCCCACAGAAATAAACATGTGGTGCACTCAAATAGCCTGGACCAATCGGATAAAAGGCGACATAATTTAAACAAAAATAAAATTGTTCAAAAAGAAATATCCCAAGAGTCCAAATCTAGTTCTGATACTCAGATATCCCCACGAGGTGGTCCATCCCCCGATAGTGGAGTGAGTGGACTTAATCTTGTCAACAATTTACCAAGTTCAAGCAGTTTGTCTCTGGTGGAACGTTTACTAAATAATCAGGATACTGAACATCAGATGAAATTGAGAAAAATCACACAGCTCATTAGGGCAGAGTTTGCTTATGACGGTTGGTTGGAGAATGGTGTGGAAGATCTAGCAATGGGTGAGTGGACAGTTTGTTCATTCTCAAATTTTCAAAGTTACACTCTATTGATAAAGTGTATTATTTTTCATATACAGGGTGTCCCAAAAATGTAATCTAATTTTGAAATGACTATCAATTGTTGTGGAATGTTCTTGAATCTCGTGTTGTAGATAAAGTGTTTATATTTGTTTAATATAAAGCAAGAATACTCCACTTCCCTGTTAAAAATGTGAAAATTACTGTTGCAAATATGTTTGCACCCTGTCAAAATGCTGAGATATAAATGTTTTGACCAAAACAGGTATAATGAGATTTGAAGCACTAACATTAAATAAATGTTATATTTACAGCTGAATTAGTTTCATCTCTGGCCAATCTGAAGTGGGAAACTTTCTGTAACGCCATATCTGAGAAATATTGTGACTTCTATTGGGAAGAGGAACTTCTGACTAATCTTTACATAGCTGTAAATGGATCGGAACCTGTAAAAACAAAGAAGTAATCATTTTTCTGTTTTTATCAATATATTGATATAGAATAAAAAGGAAAGTACTTATAGTTACATTTTGCACTGACCCCTCATTCCCTGTTATTAAATGTAAGTGTAGATGATTAGTTAATAAGCAGAATCATACTGTATCTATAGGGAGTGTCAAAATTGCAAGCAACACGATTGTACAGTTGACAAGTACCAATGAATTCCTCACATTCTCAAACATGATATCTCCCAAAAGATCAACAATATGTTATCAATTGGTGAATTCCCCCAAATAATAAAAATGGTAACCATTGTTTATAAAAAATGAATGCATCATTGTAAAAATCTGGAGTTTTCCTCAAATAAAGTATATACTTTGGGGATATTTAGAAAATAGACACGACAAGGAATGATATGAGCCAAAATATTCTAAAATTGATACTTGCCAGCTTGCTAGATCTGATACTATCTTTAAGTTTCATTGCCAAAGTAAAATATATCATTTAAGGGAAAGATGACATATTTTGTGATTTTATTTCAGAGTGGTATTACTAGAGTCCCAGACAGCCAAGGTTCTGAGTGTAGATATACCAGACAGTGGTCTTGTATTAAACAACAATGGCACTAATAGCAGCCCAGAGGCAGACATGCTACCTGATAACTCTAAATACAACCCAATGGAGTCTCTTGTACGTAAGGAAAGCACACGATCAGAAAGAGAACGAACTTTGTTGGCATTTCGACCAATCAAATCTGATGATGAGCGAGTCATGCGGCGTAGTAGCCCTAAAACAAACACTCCTGTGTATCGACCAAAAGGACAGCGTAGAACTAGGAACTACATAGATACGTCAGATTCAACAGATACTGAATCAATAGAGTTCAAACGAAAACCTCGCCGTAGAGGCACACATCATACTGCCAGTGGCCTTGATAGAAACAAAAGCTCATCCATGTCGAGCTTGTTACGAGATACTAACATGACAGTGCCTGAGAATAGCATCCTACGGGATACACCTAGTAGAATGAATAGCAACTCCATGCATGATATTTTAAATGATTCTGATTTATTTGTGCCTGGGAATGTCATCACCTCTCCAGAGGTGGATCTAAATATGCCTGCAGGTGGGGATTTGAATACCCCAGGAAGTGGGAGTATAGACTTAAACACGCCAGGGGGTAATGTACATAAGATTGACCCCACAACTGTAACTTTACCTCACCCGAGTCATGGTCTGCATAAATCTACAAAATATTCCTCAGACACTGAAAATGACAGTTTTATAAGATCAAAAAGTATTGACAGTTTAAACACAGCGATAACTCCACGGGTCAATATTCACACATTAGTAGGGGAGTCATATAGAAAAACATCCACCCCAGATTATCAAAGTTCAGGAGGAGGCCGCAGAAAGCCCCCAAATGTGGATTCTTTTAAATATGACTCTGAATCTAGTTTTGATAATTCATTCTCAGGGCCACCTACAAGAGGACGAAATTCTTCACTAGATGGCTCTATCGGTCCAAGTATATCTTTAAAACGAGAAAGTTCAATGGATTCAATGTCCGTCCGTCAGATAATGTGCCGACCTTTATCACGTGAGGAAAGTGTCTTATCAGGCAGTAGTGACCAATCAGGTGTGAAAGGTGCCACAAGTAGTGCAGATTCTGTCTTCAGCGCCAACTCTGACACAACAGGTCAAAGTTCAACTCTGATAGAGCCCACTGGGATAGATGATGTCAAACACAGAGGAAGTCTGATATATTATGGGATGGATGAACAGAAAATGGATGATGATGTTAAAGAGTTTGCTAGTAATTTGGTGAGTAAATTTCAAGAAAGTAGTTGATATAAGAGAAATAGAATATGCTCGTGAACAATATCTTTGTACCAAGAATAAATAATGACTTTATTATTATTAAAAAATACTGCATTTGGCAATTTTGCCAGTTGACTACATGTATTTGCGTTACATTTGCAGGAGAATTCCACAGAGGCAAATCTAGTATTGAAGATGGCAGAGATTCAACAGCAGATCAAAGTGGAGTACAAAATGAAAAAGAAGACAGAAAAATTCTTTGCCAAACTTTCTGAAACAGGGAAGGCAGGAAAAGGTAAATATGATAACCGTTTCCCCTTAATTAGTCTCCAAAAATAGGCGAAGCAAGTTCAAATACATGTAGTAGGTGAGGCCATTTAGGCCAAAGGGGATATGTTACCACTATAGGATGGACTTAATGTTGTCAGTGTCAGGTTGAAGGATGTTATATGGCCAGGTGTGCCCATGATGACATAAAGAAGTTTTTGTCATTTCTTGAAAAATATACTGTATTTCGTTTTTATTTAAGGTGCTGATTCTAAAGCGATGGTTTCTAAGGTATCAAAGCAAATTCAGGAAATGAATGAGAAACTGAAATATTTATATGCAGCTAAACGTCATATACAGGTGGGTCAGACTTTCTCGTGTTTTTTTAATGAATAAAAGCTATTCATAATTTAAAGTAAAATGCATCTAAATTATCCCCTGATTTTGTAGCAGATTCAAGAAAAATGAAGTCCTGTCAGCAAATATGGCAAATGATAATTCTTTTTTGAGCGTGTATATATTGAAAGAAATTGATTGCCAAGTTAAGCCTTCTCAGGATAACATCATCTTCGGAATATAAAATAAAATTAGGATAGTAAGGGAAATAAATCATTGGCATGATGTTTTAAAAGATTTCCAAAATTTTACACTATCCCTTCAAATTCCTTTAGTGATGAATATGTTTGCTATATTTCTAGATGCTCCAAGCTGAACACTGGGGGCTTGAACTAGATCTCCTCTACTCTCTTGCCAAAGGGGCCTCACAGAAACAACCATTGAATTTGGCATCATGTGCTGATCATGAACTTCTACAATATCAAACTGTCAACAGGAAACAAGTCCTCTATGCTGGAAAACCCACAGGACTAATGGCTTATTTGTTTGGCAGGTAAGATCACTTTTTGAGTACGCTGCGGTTGAGAGGATGTTTGTAATTACAACTCTTGAAAAAGTTACTTTAGGAGTTCAATTTGTTAGATTTTCATTCATGAGGTAGTGTCAGTGAAGAAGTTCAGAATTTAATCAGACTGATATCATATAGCCATTCATCTAAAATAAAATGACATGCAGAGAAGGGGTTTCAAAAATGTTTGTTTTTATTCTTTGAAAAAGTTGATCTGAATGTCCAGTGGATTATTTGCTATTCTATGTGAAATAAATGGCAGAGGTGAGATCCACTATCTGGATTCATGGTGCTCCTTTGCAAGTATTGTTGGTATTTTATCATGTGGTATCATTGATAATAGTACCCTTTGCATTCGTTCAATTTTGCTTCGCTTGTCTTCACTCTTTCAGTTTTCAATAAATCTACAAACTCATCGAGCTAATCAGAGTTGGTCTACCACAGAGATTACACAATAATATGTATTTCAGGAATGCGCTTGCTGAAGGTTACATTCATCAATTCTTCTACTGCTACCGTTACTTCGCCACACCACAACAATTGTTCAACTTCATCAGAGCTAGGATTGTTGCTTCAGGATGGTAAGATACATTTGAATGAATAATTAAATGCTCAGTTGACTGTATGATGTATGCATGTGTCCCAGTATGTGTTTGTGTAAATGTCAGTGGATGTATACTGTTATAATTTGGATGCCAATGTTTATAAACATACTTTTTCAGTATCAATTGCAATTTCAATCAAATGCTTGCTATTTCAATATAAATGTCAAATTGAGTGTTTTAATTGTATTTCTGTTTGAGTACAAGTTTATCAATGCTATCGTAATATACAATCAGTCATGCAAATTGCCATTTTAGCATAAATGCCAACGTAATAGAGGAACAAAACCGCCAAAAGATTCTGCACAGAGCCAGGGACATCTTGCAGGCCTGGATTGAAGGCTACTACAACCTAGATTTTAGGCACAATCCTGACCTTGTGAGCCAACTTTCTGATCTAGTCAACAACAAGGTAAGGTTGTAACACAGTACTGCTCAGTTCTGTCTGTCTCTTGGATTCATTCTGTTATGAACTGTTTTACTACGTTCATATTTTCAAAAGGTGAATAAATGTTGCTAATTTTGCTGCAACTTTTGTTTTATTGCAGCTTTTTTCTTTGACATTGATGTTCTGCATTAAATTATATAGCTTACACTATCATGAAGTGAAACCAACTGATAACTTATTAAATGACAAGTCTAGGTTTAGAGAACGAAGTTCATCAGTCTACTGGGGTAATAATTTATTTACGAAAAATAAAGAAATAACACCCAAATTAGATTATGAATCTTCAAAAGAGGACATTTAAATCTACAATATGTAAAAATATCAGAATCGTCCAAAGTAGGGTAACATGCAGTAGACTGATTAACTTTGTTCTCAAAACAGAGACTAGTCTTTTCCTTTAATCTCAATTTGGCCTGGCTGTCAAGAAAATACACAAGTGGCTCTTGATATGATTGGGTCACTACTTCTTATACCCATATTATCTTTTACCATTCTACTAGCAATGCCCCAATTATACTTTTTCTATATTTCAGACACAAATTGGAGATGGGGAACACTCAAAAGATCTCACTTCCCTGTTGGAATATTGTAAAAATGGCGGTCATTTAACTATATCAGCAGCAGAGACATCTGGTGGTGAAAATGGTGAAACAGAAAATTTTCTTGAGGCAGAAGCTCCCAGAAAGGTACTTTTCGCAATATTTTTTGGAACTGTATATTTGTGGTTTTGATAGTAATATAGTTATAGTTGACAAGTGTGATATTTGATTTCATTTAATGTGAAAAAATATAGAGATCGTATGGTGAATGTTTTTATAATGAAAAAATGTTTGTCATGTTTAATACACAATAATTATTATAGTATAGAGAAATAATTTAGAGCATGTGAGTGACTAACTATTAGAATAGTAGTTTGTAGATAATCAATGAATTGATTTATTTTTGAAAATCTGATGATTTTCAACAACATTAAAAAATAAATCTGCAATGTATTTCCTGTAAGCATTCCAAATCTGCAATGATTTTATTGCACACATATGTCACTTCCCAGAATGCATGTTAATTGGAAAATATAAGATGTTTTTGATTGTTCAGCCATCTATTGTTCAAGTGGAACATGAGGTTGGTAGGAATAGATTTGAGAAACATAGATTACAGATTCTACTCCAGTCAATCTCTTTTTAACATTTGTTTAACGACCATCCCCTACATTGGTTTTTTCAAATTCTAAATTTTCGTGAATAGAATGCAATGCACAAAAGAGGTAACTTTAAGCTAAATCATGCATTCTTTAAGAGTCCCAAAGTCCTTAAGTTAGGCTCCAAGGAAAGTAATACATTTTCTCGGACCATGGGGTTGACTGGAGATGGACACTTCCATTCTTCATGTAGATGTTAGAGTACCGAGCACAGTTCTGGTGTGGAATTTACCTAAAATTAACCTTTTGTGTGTTTAGAAGTATACTATATCCACGTTATATGTATTGTTGCTTTATTGCTTTATGTGTTATAATTATGTATTTCAGGTATATTATGTACTAGATGTGTTTTATTTTGATTAACTAAAAGGTATTAATGAACTTCAGAGCCTATAATATTACATTTAGAATTATGAAAAAACATCAATCAATTTGTCTGTTCCAGCATCTATTACAGTAATGATGCTGTAGGGAATTTTTGTGTGCCAAAATATCTGTTTGCAATGAGGCTTTAAAGAATTTTTGTGTGCCACATCATCTGTTTGCAACGAGGCTTTAAGGAATTTTTTTTTATGTGCCACATCTTTTTTTGCAATGAGGCCTTATTGAGTTATGTGTGCCACATCATCTGTTTGTAATGATGATTTATGTTTTTTTATGTTCCATATTATCTGTTTGCAATGATGCTTTGAGGAATTTATGTGTGCCATATCACCTGATTGCAATGAGGGTTTTATCATCCATTTCCATTGAGGTATTAAGGAATTTTCATATCCCACATCATCTGTAATCTGGACTGATTTGGTTCAAATTTCATATGCTGATGCCCAGGACAGCTTTACTCAAGAAGATATTTTCAAGATAGCCCCTGAATTTCAAAATGGCTACCATTTTTTGTAGAAATGTAATCTTTGATAACTCAAATACCAGTGGACGGATTTGGTTTAAATTTTATATGCTGGGATACCTAGAGATAGCGGACCTCTGCTCAAAAAGAAATTTTCAAGATGGCCTCTATTTTGTTCTTGGGATTTGCTACTCTGTAGAGTTGCTGTTTTCTAGTCAATCAAACTTAAAATACCTTAGCACATACATGTAGTCATGAGCAGCATTCCACACTGCCTCTCTTCTGTCATTCAACAGACTGTATAAATGGTAGCCTCATAGGCAAATAGGAAAATTGAAATATATAATTTATACGAAAACTTTACATTTGAAAAAAAGAAGAGCACACAACACCAATGGTCTATACATTGTATATTAAAAAAATATTCTAGATTTCCTTTGCCACTTGATAGCTGCTTTATCAATTTACATTAATAGTGTATCATAACCTTTTATATTGTACTTCTTTTTGTTCAGTGTATTTTTCATCCACAACTGAATTAGACCTGGTCATCTGTTATATAGGCCTATAACATTTTTTTAAATAAAGGATTGAAAACATTCGACAAAAGCTTTATAAAAAATATTGATCTCCTTTTAACAAAGAAACTTCACAACAGAAATCAATCTTATATGTGCAAACTTAACTCATCAAGTATAGAACAATAGAAAACAAATATAATTGATGATTTATTAATGGCTTGTAGTGGGAGACCTTCAAAGCAGCGTTACATCTATCAACTAAACCAACCAAGCTATCTGGAAATAAAGACCCTAAAGCCAAATTGGGGATGGTGGCATGTCTAGAGCGAAAGAAGAAAGAGACTGGAGGTGATGTTTACTTCCCAAATGTGTCAAGAAAGACCGATGCCTTTACTCTTGGTGACTTCACTCCTAATACCCTAGCTGTACAGATAACATTGATGGAACAGGTAGGTTACCATAGTGAAATCATTTGAAGGCATCCTGGTGTAGATAAATATAAACTGTATTGTGTTGGGGATTTTATCAGGGGTTCATGCCTAATGATATCTCCTTTTTTCAAATTTGATGCTTCCCCCTTCCTTAGAGTTTTATTATCCCAACGAACAAAGTTCGGTAGGGATATAGTGAAGCCCTCCGTCCGTCCGTCTGTCCGTCCGTCAGTCCGTACGTCTGTCCGGAAGATAACTCAAATACTAGTAGACAGATTTTCTTCATATTAAGTAAAAAGATGTATATTGGTGAATAGTTTTACGCAAAAAAAAATTTTCCAAGATGGCCGCCGCTTTAAAAATAACGGGACTTTTTCGCAAAAATCATAAATTTTTCATTCTGAACCAAAGTAATTAATATTATTGTTTGAAATATTGGTAGTATATTCGCAACATTTATCTATTTCACATATATTCTGTGTTTTTCATCCTGACCCCCAGGGGCCGTGTATGGGGGGACAGGAAAACAGAAATTTTCGCTAATTTTTAGATCTTTCTAAAGTATAGCTTTATTATACTCAAATGAAAGGCAATTAAGAGTAGATTGCAAATATTGTATCTTTTTTCTGATTCGAGCCTCGTAACATTCAAAATGGCCGTCTAATGTACGATATCGCAATAATTTTTCGATCCCTTCAAAGTATGGCTATATTATACTCAAATTGAAGGAATTTTGGAGTAGATCACAATTATGGAATTATTTTTCAGATTTGTATCTCAGAAAATTCAAAATGGCTGCTTTGCAGGAATTCGCAATTCTAAAATCTAATTTTTTCAATTTTAACCAAAGTAATGAGTATAATTGATTCGAATTCGCTAATTGATATTTTGTTCGTTGGGATTTGCTACTCTGCGGAGTTGCCGTTATCTAGTTGGCATGGTATCACTTTTATGTGAGAGTTCAAAATTAAATACTGTTCAGTAAAACCTATAGTGTATAATATTACATAAAATATCAAAAAATCTCTAATCTGAACACTATTTTTAGTCTTATTTTTTAATCTGACATAGAATTCAATATTTAAAAATTGGAAATGTGAACACCTTCCAGTCCAAACTCTTGATGTTTCCCAGTGGCGTTCCGGTTGGCCAGGTTTTACTGTTATGCTGGACTTAAAACATGTTATTTTGTGTTTCAGGAATTATTTCAACTATCTCATCCTGTTCACTACCTTGATTCTAGAGCTCAAGGCATTGGTACAATCAATGAATCATTGAATAAATCTGCCATTTCCCACAGAGCAAGTGTCGCATGGGATGAGGCTAGGGATGACAGTCTTTTTATAGATGGTGTTAAAGTGGACAGTGTAATCCAGCGGCTCATTGAGCACTCACAGAATGTCACACATTGGGTTGCAGCCGAGATTGTATCTTGTAGTTCATCTAAGGTAAAAATTGTATTTAGATTTAGAAGTAAACAATTAAAACATTTTATTCAAATAGTGTAGATGTGCCTTATTTATGCATATGTTGTCATTTGCCAACATGTATAAAGACTACATGGGCATACTGTACGCTCGGTTAATTTCGCGAGTTTTAATTTTGCGAACTCAATTTCGTGGCTATTAAATTTTGCAAATTTCACAAGTTTAAAATAATTATTCTCAGAATTCATGAGCTATGTAAACTGAGTTAGATGTACAGTAATTGCCCCTGATGTCATATTTAGATGAGATTTACAATTACTAGGATCTTTGTCATCGGCAAGCTGCATATCAACCTCTATTGCATCGTCAATTTTGGTATTATTAAGCCAAGAAATAATGTACACTAGGGGCAATCTGTTTGAGGTTCGATTTTGAGGGTTCGGTCTTTGCACATTAAATCAAGCAATTTAATTGGTTCAAAATATTTACACGCATGCGCATATGGATATCCCAATTATCGCCCAATAACACTAGACGAAATGTTTTACACAAAACAAAACGCATCAGGGCCCCAGGTAATAAAAATTCCTGGGGATTTAATCTGCAATTTCACAATGATAAATTTTTGCAATTTTACAATACTCTCGAAAAGCGCGAAACTAAATCACACGCAAAAAATGCCGGGCATACAGTACTTACTAAAAGTAATAAGTCGAAATGATATCTTGAATTTGAAATATTTACTTAATTTTTGAATAAGTTTATTCTTTTTTTAATCTCTATTTCCTCATTTAGACTCAGCTTGCAGTGCTGTCCAAGTTTATCTACGCAGCTAAAATATGTTATGATATTCGCAACTTTGGAACAACCATTGCCATATTGGATGGACTAGAGACTTGTGTTGTTCGACAACTTCCTGTATGGCGTAATTTGCCAACAAAGTGTGTTACATTAATGGAAGAGCTAACTACAACACGGGTAAGTTTTTGAGGGTGACAATCTGACAGTTGATAGTGGTGTAAAAAAACATTTTAAATAAACCAAACTACATGTAAAGCGATCCATTTAACTTATTGCTGATAAAATTCAAAATTCAATATCAAAATGGCCAGTCACTAGCAGGTAACCTCAAAAGTAGCTTTGGCAAGCAATGAGTTAACAGGATATTGGTCCACTAAAAGTTTTTCCAAAAAACTCATTCTTCCATTTACTTTTAAAAAGCAATTGCATGCTTGAGAAAAAATTGTCATATTTGGTTCATATTGTTACAGTGTGGGTCATATCAACTTGACAGTTGCCCCTGGCTGATGTAAATATTTAGAGTTGAGTTTAAAATTAAAGTGCCGTGCCACATTGTCGAACATGAAAAACATGAAATTCGCCATGATTGTTGAATATTATAGAACAATTTTAAGTACTTAGTCGATTGCCACTTGGCTAGCCTTGCCCAAGTCGTTTTTTTTTCTTATCTGATCTTGAATTATTACCGCCTTGTACAATCAAATACATCTCCGCTGCTATTATGCTGAGATATTCAACGGTTTCGAGATTTCCATAATACCTACGCTATCAGGGGTATTGCGAAACCTTATTGATTAACAGATATACGCGTGGACACGACGTGTGACTTCAGGCTGATTGACCAATCAAAACGTTATCAGGTTGAGCTGCACAGCAAAGCAATCTTCCCGTCTACGACTTGAAATTCAATGATCTGATCGATCGTTTCTTTAGAGTTACAATATATTATGTAATTAAATGTACATAGGGAATGTAAGAGTCATTAATATAGATTAAATCATGCAATAGATTTAAAACTGATCTCGCGATGAAAATGCAAGACCTAGTCCAATGTAGCGGGTCATGTAGTCGTCGATCAGTGATGGAATCTCAGCCTACATGTTCATTATGTCACCACCAAAAGTGGTGACATATTGTTATGGTCTCCGTTTTTTTGCGACGGCGGTTGGAGGTTGGCATCCGGCGCCTGGCGTCCGGCATCTGGCGTCCGGCGTCTGTAACAATTTCTTACAACTTCCTATAACTTAACAAATACTGTTTAGACTGACTTCAATTTTTTTCTAAATCATCTACATGTTCTCAGAAGTTCAAATCTGACTTTAGATTTGACATTTGACCTTCAATGACCTTCTCAAGGTCAAAAAGGTCTTTTTTCAACTTGCTTCACATTGACTAAATTGTTTTTCAAAATCATCTACATGTTCTCAGAAATTCAAATCTGACTTTAGATTTGACTTTAGATTTGACATTTGACCTTCAAATCTGACTTTAGATTTGACATTTGACCTTCAATGACCTTCTCAAGGTCAAAAAAGGTCAAAAAGGTCTGTTTTCAACTTGCTTCAAATTGACTAAATTTTTTTTTCAAAATCATCTACGTGTTCTCAGAAATTCAAATCTGACTTAAGATTTGACTTAAGATTTGACATTTGACCTTCAATGACCTTCTCAAGGTCAAAAAAGGTCAAAAAGGTCTGTTTTCAACTTGCTTCAAATTGACTAAAAAAAATTTTCAAAATCATCTACGTGTTCTCAGAAATTCCAATCTGACTTTAGATTTGACTTAAGATTTGACATTTGACCTTCAATGACCTTCTCAAAGTCAAAAAAGGTCAAAAAGGTCTTTTTTCAACTTTCTTCAAATTGAATAATTTTTTTTTTCAAAATCATATACATGTTCTCAGAAATTCAAATCTGACTTTAGATTTGACATTTGGCCTTCAATGACCTTCTGAATGACAAAAAAGGTCAAAAAGGTATTTTTTCATCTTGCTTCAAATTGACTAATTTTTTTTTCAAAATCATCTACATGTTCTCAAAAATTCAAATATGACTTTAGATTAGTGCTTTATTTACGCACACGACACCTCCCTCTTTGTACCTACTTCCCCAAACAATCCGCAGTCTCATATACAAATTCAAAATGATCTAAAAAAAATCGAAGCCTGGTCCAAACAGTGGAAACTAGATTTTAAACCAGAAAAGAGCAGAGAAATGACCTTTTCTAAGAAAAATAATCCAATCTATCCACCAGTTATCTTAAATGATAAACAAATTGAAAAAACTGACATTCATAAACACCTAGGCTTCATTTTTGATAAGAAATTAAGTGGGTCAGCACATATAAATTCTATCTGTGCAAAAATCCAAACAGCTCTTAACCCCTTAAAAGCACTTAAGGGTAGACTAAAATCAAAACAATTAAATATTCTCTATACAGCTTATATTCAGTCCTTATTTGATTATTGTGATATCCTTTACGACTGTGCTCCTATTTGTGACCTTAACAGACTTGACAGTCTCCAGTACCAAGCTGGTCTAATAGTCTCTGGTGCTCTCCCAGGCTCCAGCACTTCCAAAGTACTTAACATTTTGAACTGGTCCACCTTAACTGAGAGGAGGATCCTCCACTTTAAAACAATTATGTACAAAGCCGTGAACGATTTAACACCTATTTATATCTCAGATATATTTAGGCCATTCATAAACCCTCAAGCAAGATTGTTAAGGAAATCTCGAGATTTCACTATCCCTATTCACTATCCACATAAGTCTCCAATATACAAAATGATGAACCTATGGAATGATCCAGGATATAGGGAACGCCTCCGTCCGTCCGTCCGTCCATCCGTCAGGGCAATAACTCAAATACCGTTGGCCCGATTTTGTTCATATTTTGTACACATATACCCTATGGGGGTAGAAGTTCTGCTCGAAAGCTGATTTTCAAAATGGCCGCTCATTTCAAAATGGCGGCCATTTTAGTGCCGATTTTACAGTAATTTAGGTGTAATATGTAAAAATGTAATAGCAATATGTTTTAAATGTAAAAAAATTATAAAGGACATTAATAATGCTACAAATGTAGATATTAAAGAAGCACATGGCAGCCATCTTGAAAAATGGCGGCCTTTACTCGTCATTTTACGATTTTTGCTATAACTCAAAAAATAGTGCAGCGATTTTGTTCATATTTGGTATGTGAATACTATAAGCATTGCACACTGTCTAAAGAAACTTTTGGTAGAAAGCGGCCATTTTGAAAAATGGCCGCTATTTTAACATATTTTACTATAACTCAAAAAGTAGTGGAGCGATTTTGTTCATATTTGGTATGTGAATACTATAAGCATGGCACACTGTCCTAAGACACTTTTGGTAGAAGGCGGCCATTTTGAAAAAATTTTTGAAAAATGGCCGCCATTTTAATGTATTTTACTATAACTCGAAAAGTAGTGGAGTGATTTTGTTCATATTTGGTATGTGAATACTATAAGCATGGCACACTGTCTATTTCTAATGACACTTTTGGTAGACAGTTGCCATTTTGAAAAATGGCTGCCATTTTAACGTTTTTTACTATAACTCGAAAAGTAGTGGAGCGATTTTGTTCATATTTGATATGTGAATACTTTAAGCATGGCACATTGTCTAATAAAACTTTGTGGAGTAGTCAGCCATTTTGAAAAATGGCCACCATTTTTATGTGTGTTATTTTACAAGTACGTGTGCGATTTTTCAAAAATTTTAGAGGTGGCTACTTAAAAGCATATTATTTCTTCTGATGACAACTTGGCTAGTGAGCAACCATTTTGAAAATGGTGGCCTTTCTGGTGTGTTGTTTTATGATATTTGCTATTCGTTTGTAAAAATGCCAGCCATTTCTGTTCGATGGGATTCGCTACGCTTTGGCGTTGCCGTTGTTCTGGTTTTAAAAGCCCAGCTCAAAGCCCACAATTGGAGCTCAGTTGAGTCATCAAATTGTTTATGTGGTTCCCCTGAAACTTTTCCCCACTTCTTTTTCAAATGCCCTCTGAAAGAACAACAAAGAAATAAATTACTGTTTACTGGGACTGTGGAAATTCAATGCAAGGTTAACAGAAGATAGAGAATATGTAGCTTTGATAAAAAACCTAATCAAAGGTTTGGTTGAAGAGCACAAGGACATGACTGCTCAAAATTTATGGGAACTCATAAAATTCAAAATCAAAACAGAGTCCATTAGGTACTCAAAGCAAAAAAAAACGCTGGAAAACACCTAGATATCACCAACAAAATAAGACGGCTACAAGAAATAGAGGCAAACCTAAGAGATAACTACATCCATGAAACACAGCTACGAGAAGAAGAACAACAACTCCAAAGAGAGATAGAAGAGATGAATGATGAAAAAGCAAAGGGCGCAATACTTCGAGCAAAAATAAGATGGGCGGAAGAAGGTGAAAAACAATCTAGTTACTTCCTGAAGTTAGAAAAAAGAAATTTTGCAAAAAAGAACATCACACAACTGAATACAGACGATGGCAGGGAACTAAATGATCCTGAAGAAATAAGGAAAGAAAGTGCAAGGTTCTATGAAGAACTGTACAGATAAAGAAGAATTATCAACCGAACAAAAAAGAAGCATTATAACCCAACTACCTAAAAAAGACAGTGACATTCTACGCCTATTAAATTGGCGACCAATATCATTGCTAAACACAGACTACAAAATAATTACAGGATGTCTAGCAGAAAGAATGAAAGCCCATTTAACAAAAATAATTAACGAAGACCAAACAGGTTTTATTAAAGGGAGAAATATATCAGAGAATATTAGACTCATAATAGACTGTATGGAACACCTTAAATCAAACAATGAATCTGGCATAATGCTTTTCATCAACTTTGAAAAAGCTTTTGACACAGTGGAATGGAAATTTATTGATCGGACGCTAGATTACTTCAATTTTGGACCAGACTTTAGAAAATGGATCAAAACCATATACAACGATGCAAAAAGCTCAGTAATAAATAACGGGTATACATCACGCTACTTTAACCTGAACAGAGGAGTACGACAGGGATGCCCCCTAAGTCCGTATTTATTTATTCTATGTGCCGAAATATTGAGTGAATCAATCAGAAGAGATGAAGAAATTGAAGGCATACAAATACCAGATGGAGAAGTAAAGATTTCACAATACGCCGATGATACCTCAGTCTTTGTAAGAAATATTGCATCCGCGAAAAAAGTAATTAAAAAGTTCAGAAATTTTGGAGAAATCTCAGGACTGAACATCAATCTCCACAAAACAGAAGAAGCCGTGATAGGCAGAGAAAATGCACTATTACAGCAACAAGTAAGAGATGAAAGCATGGCATCAGGGCTAAAATACCAAGATAAAGATATAAAAGTCCTTGGTATAACCATTCCTTTAGATGGAAGAGACATAAACAGTTTAAATTTCCCAGAGAAAAGAAACAAAATTCAAGGTCTTATTAGAGCATGGAAAAGTAGAAACATCACACCTCTAGGAAAAATAATAATGATAAAATCACTCCTCGTATCTCAGCTGACATATCTATGTTCAGTGCTCACACCAACAGATGACTTTATCAAAGAAATAGAAAACATGTTTTTCAACTTTATATGGGATGAGAAGCCAGACAAAATTGGAAGAAAGATAATGATGAACGAACAAGAGAGAGGTGGCCTAAACATGCTCCACTTACAATCATACATAAAAAACCTAAGCATCAAATGGATAAAGAAATATATAGACCCTACATATAGTGGCAAATGGAAGAAGATATGGAACTACTACCTGAAGAACCTGACGCAGGGAGAAGTATGGGCATTGAACCTTTCAAAAAATAGTGACAAAATAAATGTTTTAGACTTAAGGTACCTGAAGACAGTCTACAAAAATTGGTGCAGTCTAAAATATCAAACAATTCCGGATACGAGAAACCCAGAGCAACAATCATTATGGCACAATGAACAGATAAAAATCAATGGAGAAATCATGAAAAACGAAGTATGGATACAAAAAGGTATTGAATTTATAAAAGACATCCAGGACGAAAATAGATTCCTCACAGCAGCAGAATTAGGCCATAAATATGATATTTTTATGAACCAAAGGAATACTTTGAAATATAACAGTATAATTACAGCCATCCCCCAAAATTGGAAAAGAAAATTAAGACACCCGAGAGAAAATGAAGAAGAAACCGAGAATCCGAATGTCACAATTAACACAGAATGGTTAAAAAAGACAAACAATAAAGAAGTTTACAAGATTTTACTAAAAAAGAACAATGCTGTGAAACTGCCAAAGAAGATGGAAGATAAGTGGCAAAACAAACTGCAACTACAAAATCCTTTGATGTGGGCCAAAATCCACAAAAATAGAAAAAATATTCTCAGGACAAAGGAGAAATATTTCCAAATAAAAATATTCTTCCGGATACTATATTATAACAAACAACTAAAACAAATGAACATAGACGGCTATAACACTGATATATGCAGTCTATGCCGTAGTGACATAGATACTTTAGAACATGGAATATACCATTGTGAGGCCGTACAAGACTTCCTAATAACATCTTTCAACCAACTTGACGAAGATGTACCCACAATTGAGACATTCCTTTTCGGAGATGGAAAAACAGAAAACGAACATCTATTCCTGAAACAAAAGATATTCCTAAACACATGTAAAAGGAAAATAAGGAGACCTAATATGATAGGCTGGCAAAACTTCCTAAAAACAGAGAAAAAAATAGAAGAAAGAATCAGCCAAAGAAGAAAAAAACCTGAACTTATGGAACAGCAATGGTTGAAACTCAAACATTTCATAACGTAGTAAAATACACACTGGGAACATAAAAACCCCCTCACCAAGCTCAAACCATCGAGCAGAAAATCACAAAAAATCCCCCTCTTGCCTTTTCCCTTGCCCCCCCCCCTTCCCTTCCTCTTGTTATCAAAACTACTATGCTAAATAAGGCTAATATTATATATAAATACGATATTATAGCATATGCAACTACTGTATGTTTTCTTTCTACAATATTGTATTTGTACAACTTTTAATACAGAATAAAAAAAAAAAGATTAAAAAAAAAAAAAAAAAAAAAAAATTAATAACAGATACTTTAGGGATATATGGGGACTTATTAACTCATTTCAGAACTCAGCAAGACAAAATTCACTTTTTTCTTTTTGGGGATCCATCATTAACCCAATTAGAAATGGATAATCTATTTTCACTGGTTGCGAATTATCTCATTGAAAACACAACCAGAATCTAAATATTTTCCTGCCTATGACCTGTTTCCATTTTTCAACATACTACCCCTCCCCCAGGATATCAGCAGCCCTCCTATCTTTTGTTTCATTGCAAGGCATTCTACCATTTACAGGTGACATCCAGGTTAAAATGAATATTGTACTTTATTGTTTAATTATATAAGGGGACATCTAATGCTTACAGCGCTTTGCCCCTTGTAATTGTATCTAAATGACTTGTGCTTACAATAAATATGAAAGATGATAAAAAAAACAACTTTAGATTTGACTTTAGATTTGACATTTGACCTTCAATGACCTTCTCAAGGTCAAAAAAGGTCAAAAAGGTCTTTTTTCAACTTGCTTCAAATTGACTAATTTTTTTTTTCAAAATCATCTACATGTTCTCAGGAATTCAAATCTGACTTTAGATTTGACATTTGACCTTTAATGACCTTCTCAAGGTCAAAAAAGGTCAAAAAGGTCTGTTTTCAACTTGCTTCAAATTGACCAAATTTTTTTTTCAAAATCATCTACATCTTTTCAGAAGTTCAAATTTGACTTTACAAGTTCTCAGAGGTTCAAATCTGACTTTAGATTTGACCTTTGACCTTCAATGACCTTCTCAAGGTCAAAAAGGTCTTTTTTCAACTTGCTTCAAAATCATCTACATGTTCTCAGAAGTTCTTCTTAAGGTCAAAAGGTATTTTCTAACTTGCTTTAAATTGACCAAATTGTTTTAGGTGGTGACATTTTGTCATGTTAATGCCTTGTTTGAATTCAGCGATCGTTTCAACGTTTATTGTTGAAATCTTCTAACCTCCGGTTACCGATCGATGTCTAGCATCCACTTAACTCTGATTGATATTTATCTGATAAAATATTTGTATTTTCATGATGAATTCATGCAAGATTTGTTCGTGAAAAGTCCCGACGAAAAGTGTACTTGTTTTTGACCGTGCATAATAATGAGCTAACGCTGCAGGGCCGTCGTTGATTGGTCAAATTTTACCGACATAAACATTGAGTCGGTAAAGCACGGGGCTTTCTCTTTTGTACAAAGAGTAAAGAGTAAAAGAGACCGACTTGGGCAAGGCTACCACTTGGCGAGTGACAGAAAAATTCTAAGACCCACACTGTGTTATCATCATTTCATTTCAAAGAAAGGTTAAGTCAACCCACTACTCTTCACCAAAAATATTGAAACTTTATAATGATGAGACTGTGAAGTTGCTTTGCTTGTAATATTGCTGGTGAAGTGTAATGGGCTCCATACTAAAACTTTTGTGATGTAAATAAGCCTGACAGATTTATGTCAATGATATATACTTTCTCTTCAATAGGTGACTGTAAAAAAACATTTGTATAATTTACATTTGCAGGTATTTTTGAAGAGTGACTCTAACTGCCTTATGAAGAGTGAGGATGTGTATGAGGTGCCCACCATCCCATGTGCTTTGCTATTCTTGCTGCATGTACAACAACTAGAGATAGGAGGCTTCAAACTGGCTAATGGCCTCTGCAAGTGGCATAAGATCAGGTAATGTCTACGTGCTTCATTTATTTTTGCCCACCCTATAATGGTGACATATTGTTGTAGTCACCAGTTTTATGTCACCATCAAAAAGTGGTGGTGGTGGTTTGCATCAAGCAGTTGATGGTTGGCATCTGGTGTCTGTAACAAATTCTTACAACTTCCAGTAACTTAACATTACACTGTTCGGACTGACTTTTTCAAAATCATCTACAAGTTTTCAGTTTACAAGTTCAAATCTGACATAAGATTTTAGATTTGACCTTCAATGACCTTCTCAAGGTAAAAAAGATCAAAAAGGTATTTTTTCAACTTGCTTCAAATTGACCAATTTTTTTTCAAAATTATCTACAATTAGTCAGAAGTTCAAATGTGACTTAAGATTGAACTCATATTATAGTCAGGTTTGAATAGGAGATAAATTCACAGAATATTTCAAAAATATATAGAAGCAATCTTGAGGTGGATTTCAAAACTTCATACCATCCTTTTGAGAACCTGAAGTGGCACCAAGCAATTCATTGACTGTTTCACCAAAAATCCAAGATGGCCGCCACAATGTATCGGCAAATCACTAAAATTGACTAATATCATCATTTAATTTGTCAAAATAGTTAAATACTGATCAAACATGACTAATAATAGTACCTATAAGATGATCATATGCATTTAAAGTCACTAGATTATTTTTGTGTGAAAACTGGAGTCCCACAAGGCTCAACTTTATGTCCCCTACATTTTTAGTCCAATGACTTTCATTGACCATGGCATTTGTACATTGCAATGTATAGAAATCCATTTTTGTAACATGTGCACCTAGGACCACATTTCACCTTGCACCCACACTTGACCAATGCTTGGCATGCCTTAGCTGCTTGAGGAAGGGATGTACATAGTGGCATCAGGAGGGACATGTCATACTGCCGGCCACATGTTGTGAACTCGATAACCATTTTGGTTATGGCACCAAACTATACCGCCTTGGTTAGCAAGTTAAGATTTTCTGTGCAAATGCTCCTTTTGTTGGTGGTATTTGTCAATGACTATATGACTGTTACAGAACATTACCCAAGTTCGTGCTGCATTGATATCTATCTGGTTGCTGGTTCGATCATGTAATAAAACAGTAAAATGTTCTAGGGACTGAATGGCCTGAACTGACAAAGCCAGGTTTGTTATTACCATTTGTGCCACTTGTAAAAAAGTTTTGTATGTAACTTCATTGAGCACATTCCATAGCTTGAAGGCAGATTCTTTGCTATGGCCAAAGAATGGTGCAGTTATATAATATAATTTAATACCTGTAATTTTTGAGAGGTCCGAAGGCAATCCAGATTGACACCTATTGCCCTAATGCTGCAGCCATGGCAAGAAAAAGGACATCAGTATCTCCACTTCTGATTATGAAGTATTTTTTACCCTCTGAGGTCATCTGTTTTATATGAACAAAGAGCCTAGTGTCAGCTTTTTCATGAGTACAAGGTTCAATCATTGCTGTATCTGGAAATTGAGGAAAGCACTGAAGAGATTCCCAAATAGTAATTATCATTTGCTTTTCATTAACATCAACCTCATACATAAAGTTGGCCAGGAATGCAAACAGCCTAGTCTTGTTCCATTGGTTGTTAGAAAGGCTGGCCAATTCTTTGGCATTTGTGCATCTCTGCATAAATCATCCTTCTAGCACCAGTGCCACGATAAATCCTTGTTAGGGACTTCTCACTGTTTTGTATGTAAACATTCCAAACAACATCTAATCTTGGAACACCTTCCATAAGCTGCCTTAACTTGGGATGAAACACCAGAAAGGACCAGAAAGGAGCAGTCTATTAAAACTGCAGATGGCTTTTCCAATACTTTGGGTCCATCTGGCTTAGTTTCTAGGCATTTAAGTAGGTCATTTAGTTCTAGGTCTCATGGCTCCATGCTTAGCTAGGGATGGCGGGAACTCATGGTTTTCATGTTTGAAAAACTCAGACATGTTATGTGTCTTGATTGTCAAAGGCAAGCAATATAGAGCATAGCAAAAAGGTAATTTTCTTCTCTCAGTTCCTTGACCTCAGGAATCACTGCAGATGATTCTTTGTTTCTTTCTCCCTAGACCACACCAACTATGCATGCAAGTGAATCCTGAAGTCAAGGATCTGAGAAATGATTATGACCTTTTTGCTATTACTCTACATTGCATGCCAATCAAGACACAATGACATGTCTTGAGTTCAAATATGAAAACCATGAGTTCCCGCCATCCCTACATAATCACGGAGCCATGAGACCTACAACAAAAGCAGACTTACTTAAATGTCAAGAAGCTAAGCCAGATGGATCTGAAGTATTGGAAAAGCCACCTGCAGATGCAATTTTAATAGATGGCATCCTTCTGGTCCATGTGATGCATCCTGGTGTGGCTACCAACTTCCAAGAATATGCTACCAATGTCTCATCCCAAGTTAAGGCAGCCTATGGAAGGTGTTTCAAGATAAGATGTTATCTGGGATGTCTACCTATAAAACATTAGGAAGTCCCTGACAAGGACTCATTGTGGCAATGGATGGTTTATGCAGAGAATGTGATGCCCCAGAATTGGTAAAGAATTCTAAGAAACAACCAGAACAAGACTGAGCTGTTAGCATTCCTGGCCAACTCTATTTTTGAGGTTGATGTTTATGACTATTGTGGAATCTGTTGAAGTGCTTTCCTCAGTTGCCAGTTACAGTAATGATTGAACCTTGTACTCATGAAGAAGCTGATACTACACTAGACTCTTTGTTCAGGTAAAACAGATGACCTCAGAGGGTAAAAAATACTTCATAATATAGTGGAGATACTGGTGTAGTTGTTCTTGCCATGGCTGCAGCATTAGGGTGCAATAAGTGTCAATCTGGATTGCCTTCTGACCTCTCAAAAATTACCGGTATTGAATTATATTATATAACTGCACCATTCTTTGGCCATAGCAAAGAATCTGCCCTTCAAGCTATGGAATGTGTTCAAGGAAGTTACTCCAGCTTTTCTACAAGTAGCACAAATGGTTACAACAAACCTGACTTTGTCAGTTCATGCCATTCAGTCCCTAAAATGTTTTACTTTTCTAGTATATAATCGAACCAGCAACCAGATAGATATCGATGCAGCATGAAGGCAAATGTTCTGTGATGGCCATACAGTCATTGATAGAATGCCACCAACAAAAGGAGCCCTTGCACAGAAAATTTTAAGAACTTGCTAACCAAGGTGGTATTGTTTGGGGCCAACAGTACAATCTCAATCCAAGGGTATCGGAGTTCACAACATGGGGCTGGCAGTATGACATGTCCCTCCTGGTGCCACTTTATACAGCCCTTCCTCAAGCAGCATGCAAAGCATTGGTCAAGTGTGGGTGCAAGGTGAAATGTGGTCCTAGGTGCACATGTTACAAAAATGGATTTCTATGCATTGCTATGTGCAAATGCCATGGTCAATGCAAAAAATGCAAAAAAAGAAGCGGACATAAAGTTGAGCCTTGTAGGACTCCAGTTTTCACACAAAAATGATCCAATGACTTTAAATGGATATGAACTTCTGATAGGTACTATTATTAGTCATGTTTGATCAGTATACAACTATTTTGACTTATTAAATCATAACTTTAGTCATTTTTTATGATTTTTGATAAATCGCGGCGGCCATCTTGGATTTTTGGTGAAAAAGTCAATGGATTGCTTGGTGCCACTTCAGGTTTTCAAAAGAATGGTATGAATTTTTGAAATCCACCTTAAAATTGCTTCTATATATTTTTGAAATATTTTCACCTAAATATTCCTGACTATTATAGCAACTAGGTGGTGACATTTTTTCATGTTATGCCTTGTTTGTGACTGGCATTGACATTCAGCATCTATAACAATTCTACTTGTATACTTTATACAAGCATTTCTAAATTTTATAATCATGGTATTTTGAAGTTGATAAAGAACATTTCTTTGCATGTAGATACTATGAATAGAACTAAGGGTGTATGTGTACAGCTCCCATAAATTGCTCATTGAATCAGTGATTTATTCATTAACATGTGGCATCTCCTGTAGATTTACTTAATTTGGCTCTTGTTTTAGTTTGACAGATTGGCGGATTCAGAAAATCCCCAAATTAAAAATCCGTCAAATTTCAGTTTAGAATTTTTGTCCATTATGCTCTTCAGAAGTTAAACTCCAGTGAGGGGCCCATTTTCCTGTCAACATGTCATCTACATTATTCCCAAAAATATACAGAAAATATCTTAGTAAACACCTGTCCTAATGATATAAACATCTACAAAAATTAAACTTCAGTCCTGAATCCGCCAAATTAAATAGCCACCAATATTTGAAATTGAGCAAATCCGTAAATTAAGTAGCGTCAAAATAAGTGTATCTACAGTATCTATCTGACAACTGTATTCTTGGGACTTTGGGCAATAGGCCTAAAATTTGATTTTAAAGAATTGTTTCACATTGATTGATTTCTATATAATAGTAAACATTTTAAGTGAGCATTGAATAAAGTTTGTTTCAAATGTTTTCATTTCACCCCTCTACAGATTTCTACATATTGCCTATAATATCTTAATATTATTTCAGATCCATAGCCAAAGTCATTAACCAGATAAGAATATTCAAAGAGCACACCTATACCTTTGAGTCAGACCCTGATCTCCAAGATTCTCTGCGACAACGAATGCGAGAGTTCCGTGAACATGATCTCCAAACTCTTGCTCTGCAGCAAGAGACCAATTATCACAAACCTTCCACTGGGTTACTCCAAGGTGCTTTGAGGAAGGTGAAAGGGAAGTTTCAAAAGGATTGATAAAATGGGGAGTACTAAATTGGCCATTGCAAATAAAGTTCAATATTATGAATATGGATACATTGACATTGATAGTCTAGATCAAGAAGGGTAGTGTTGGAATATACTGATGGATATGGATATACAAAGATGGATATTATATTTTTATAAAATGGATTATACATATTAAGTTGGATCCAATAGATAAAAATACTGCTAGAATTCTTAGTCTTTCAGTTTAATGTTAAGATGATGATTCAGCTGATTGGAAAGTGGAAATAGATTGACATACAGGCAACGAATTGCATTCCATGAACTCTTACGTCCCACCAAATGAAGTTTGAATAGGGATATACAGAATCTATCCGTCCATTTGTCTGTGCATTCGTTCCTCCATCCATCTCCATGTTTGCCTGTCCAGGTGAAAACTCAGATACCAATGGAGGGATTTGGTTAAAATGTATAAACTGTTGTCTGATATTGAGAAGGAATATCCCAACATGGATACTCATTTCAAAATAGCCACCATTTTTCACCAAACACTCTTTGCGAGTCTCTACAACATGTACAATAATTGTGGCTTATCTTTACATATGATACTCAATACCCAAGTGCTGTTGAACTAATGGATTGGCAATTTTTGCAAAATACATATTGAAATAAATAAAATATGATTATCTGTATTAACAATATACATTTATATATTGAATGTTTTTTTCTACATATTTTTGTCTTGCTCATTGCATTCCAAGAGAAACCATCCATTTGACATGAATTTAAAGTTTTATTAACAGAGGGATGTTTGATGAATGATCATTTCTGCAAAACAAATTCATATTATTGTAAATATTATGAATTTCTTAAAATTGTATCTAATTTATGTATGAACCATATTGTCTACTATATTTACATGAACCAAACTAGGAAAAAGGGATGAAAATATGAAAAGACAAAAAGAGGTGGATTATCTGACACAGCCACCATATTTGGATGAAGCAGAGCTGATGTAATGTTCACATTTACATGTGTCAGTTACTAGTATACAAATATCATGGTTTATATTTGATATTTTTTGTCGCTTTTGTATTGGCCTGTACAGCCACACACAATAGCCATGTTTGTAGAAAGACATTTGCCACCTTTTAAATTAGGCTTTGCACTAAATTATTAATACTAAAATGTCATTTATAATGATTTTCTATAATGCATAAAAATATGAAGGCCATCTAAAAATGACACATTATTATAATAAGACGTATGTCAGGTATTGTACATAATACTCACATTTTGTATATTGACATGTATTTACTAAGCCATAACTTATTTACAATAATGTATTTATTAAAATATTTATATATATACCAGTTGATATGATTTTACTTTTTAATGTGTATGAGAATTCAATGAGATCATGGAACTTGTAAAAATGTTCAGACTTTATAATAAAAAGTAAAAAAAAAAATTTAATATGAATATTGTTGGGTTTATTACAGTCAGTCATACCTCAATTAGCCACTTCATTTTTTATTGTACTTTGAAAAAGTGCTATATTGATGCTGATATCCATGTCATTTATGTCCAAATAAATATTGTCATCAAAGTTGTAGGAAAAATGCTCTTCCGTTCAACTTGAAATTTTTACAGATGCTGATGCAAGATCTGATCAGGTTCTCGGCATGCTGGATAAATTAAATGGTGCCTATTTTGCTCTTCAAAGTGCAGTATTGATCATTGTTTATATTGTTTCAAACTTATGCATTAACTGTTCCTTGGACAATTTAGAGTTAAAATAAAAGTAAGTCTATCTGGCTATCTTGCCAGGCTAAAGAAGTAATGTGGCAATGTTCAGTTGACAAGCACTTTTGAGCTTTTGAACCAATGAGAATAATCATATTGTTTAACTTGTATCAAGCATGTTAAAAAACTCCTTCATCCATAAATAGTCTTTTATTGTGTTGGGTACTGGCAGATCATCTATTCCTTGCATCCTCCCCCAGCTGAGTGTTTGTCTAATGCGAATCCGAGCTAATTGTTTCAAAGTCAGGGGATTCATCTCATATGCTGTAAAGAATTCACGGATGGCTGGTGATAAATTTTGTATTTGGGGAAGAATATTTGGAAGATGGGTCCCTGTACAAAATACACACTCCATTGTGGTTAAGAGATCTTTGGTGATTTTTGAAAGTCTTTTTTCCTCTGTAAATCTTTTTAATAAATAAGTACTTGCTTTATGATCCAGCTGACATCCATGCTGCATTAAGGTGATAGCACAGGAGTAAAAATCAGTGCTTATTGCCTTATGTAATGGAGATGTATGGAAATTATCGCAAATGTTTGGATCGGCACCTGTAAATATAAACAAGGTCACCATGACATTATTAATTCTACAAATTTTTTCGGCTTTAAAAAGGAGCACATGCCACATAGATTATCGCAAACAATTTCAAACGAAATTTTCTGATCATGAACATGGGTGTATCTTTAAGATCCATTCATTATCTTCAAGGGCAATGGACCAATCAACATACTTTTTCAAAAGTGTTGACCTAATTTTCACCAAAAATGCAACCTTTTATTATATTGTTGAATGTATAATTAGAATGTGCTTTGAGACATGTTCGATTTCCTAAAAGGAAAAGTTGATTGCTCCAGAGACTTTAAAGATACTGAATTTGGATGACCAAAATGAACTGAAACCAATGGATAGCATGAGATTTTTCAATGGAGAAATAACATGGGGAACACTTATCTTAAAACAATTAAGTTTTTCTTTCAATAACTATTTGATACATTAAAATAGAGAATAGTAATGCATTAAACATTGTAAAAAATGATTGCATTTTTGGTGAAAATGGGGTCAACATCTTTGAAAAAAGTGTGGGTTGACTGCTAGTTAAATATCTCTGAGTTTGTTTGACTTTATTATTACTGTATATTATACAGTAATAATTTCTTTGAGATAATGAATGGATCTCAAAGATATACCTGTTTTCATGGTCAGAAAATAGTCATAATCCAAGATATAACCTTCTGAAATTGTTTGCGATAACCTACGTGCTCCTTTGATAAAAACATTATCCTCCCAATTTAACATAAAAATATGCCTGGTAAATATACTCATGCATATTGCATAGTAGGGTTTGTTAATTTTCATAATTATATAACAGCACTATAGACCAAAAAATGGTAAATAAGAAAAACATACTGTACTCACGGTATTTTTGGCGTGCGATTTAGTTTCGCGCTTTTAATTAATCTTCGGGAAAAAGTCAATTAAACCCCGGGATTTGTGAAATTACGTGGGATTCCATTGTATTTCGCGACTTGTAATACACTTGTCTAGTGTTATTAGGTGATAAATGGGATACTAAGCAACGTGTCCTTACAGTGGCTTATTAGATCAAATAAACCAAAAATGACAATGTAATAGAGGTTAAGATGCAGCGTACCATTGACCAAGATCTAGTAGTAATTGTAAATCTTATCCAAATATGACATTAGGCAAGTGTACTTTTTGTGCATGAGATAACTTTATTTACAGAGCTTGAGGATTCAGAGAATAACGGGATCTTAACTTGATACCCGCGAATTTTAATTGCCGCGAAATCGTGTTTTCTCAAAATTTGCGAAATTAAAACTCACGAAATTAACCAGGAGTACAGTAGCTTTGTGATACACAAGTAAGAAATTGAGGCAAAGTTATGTCAGGCAAACTGTATCAAGAAAAAATGAAATAGAATGCATTTTGCTACCTTGCTGTAAAAGGTACAGGAATGTATTCAACAGTTGTGGACGGTGTTGCTCAACTTTAATTCTTTGTTTCCAAACATGCAGATACAAGGGGGTCATTCCATGCTCATTCTAAAAGAAGGAAGTATGCAATTAGTATAGTTGTGAATACATGCCATTTTCTGCAAAAGGACTGCAAAACAAATTGAGGAATGTTAAATTTCCATGATAATTAAAAATTTAGCAAAAAGGTTTTCATACCCTTTGATAGTGAAATTACTCAGATGCGAGTAGGTAGTAACCAGTTTCGCCACCAGGTGGCTGATTCGGGGGAAATAACATGGCAGGGTATTACAAAATTCCCTTAAACTTGAATATTCATCAGTTTTAGTGGTTCACATTTCATATTACCCTTATGTATCTGATAGTTATTTTCAAAGTTGATAAACTCTTTTCAAAACCATATTTCTAGATGTGATTTTACATGTAGATTCCAAATATGACATCAGTTTGACTGAATTTTGAATTTTTAATGACGTAAATCAAGATTACTTCTACTCGCATCTAGGATATTGGATCTCAGTCAGTATATAGCGTATAAACAATGAATTGGCCTTGAGCCTAAGTTACTCACCTGAATATCAATATCTGCATTGTGTTTGATAAGCAGTTGTACAAATGAGATGGGCAAATGAGCATCTACATAGTGAAGGGGTGCATTCTGGTCATTGTTCTTCACATTCACATCTGCCCCATCTGGAAGCAAAAATAAAGATTAAAGCTTTTATTCAAACTTAGATAATTATAAATTTAAACAATGCAAAACGTTCACTGATGTAATATCAATGCAACACATTAATTTGTTCATAATAAATTCTACTAGCAGAAATTTACTTCTCCAGTAAACATTAGACTCATGATGAGAAATCACGATGAAAAATAGACAAATGTTAATAAAATTAAAAATATTCAACAAATATACAAATCCTTTCTTACATGTGATCCTAATGGGAAAAATTGTTTTTCCTTGGGAAAAAAGTGTTTACTATTTTACAGATTTTACTGTAACCTTACTTGTGAGAAGTACTTCAGCAACATCTTGATAGCCCATCTGCACAGCTTTATGGAGAGCAGTATTTCCTGAATGATCACATGCATTTAAGTCACATCTGAAACAACAATAACAGTAGGACATACAATCCAATCCATTACACAACATAAACCAATAACCCACATTGGCAAGTACAAAAATTCAAAATGATCCACTGACTCAAACCATTCGTGTAGAATTAACAATGATAACAAAGAGTGTCATCAAATTGTATAAAAAGTCTAGCCTAAACTGGACACCTGCTTAGGAGGATGAAACTTTTCATTTTTAGAAATTCTTGTGATGGTGTACATTTACTATACAGTAATTATGAGTTATCAAATGAAACAATGAAAAGCTTAAATAATTGTTTGTATAAATCTCACCCTTTATTGATTAAACATTGTACAACATCTTTAAGTCCATGTTCAGCAGCTGATATGAGAGTGGTAGATCTTGATGTTGGTTGATGCTCAGGCTCAGTGCTATATTCTGCATTGATGATCATATTTGCTATAGCGGTTTGTTGATGACTTAAAGCCGTTAGTAGGGGAGTCAGACCTTCTTTGTCCATCTGGGATTAAAATAGATATATTGTATGTGTGAGCAGTAAGGTATATTGTATGCATGAGCAGTAAGGTACATTGTATGCATGAGCAGTAAGGTATATTGTATGCGTGAGCAGTAAGGTATATTGTATGCATGAGCAGTAAGGTATATTGTATGTGTGAGCAGTAAGGTATATTGTATGCATGAGCAGTAAGGTATATTGTATGCGTGAGCAGTAAGGTATATTGTATGCGTGAGCAGTAAGGTATATTGTATGCATGAGCAGTAAGGTACATTGTATGCATGAGCAGTAAGGTATATTGTATGTGTGAGCAGTAAGGTATATTGTATGTGTGAGCAGTAAGGTATATTGTATGTTTGAGCAGTAAGGTATATTGTATGCATGAGCAGTAAGGTATATTGTATGCGTGAGCAGTAAGGTATATTGTATGTGTGAGCAGTAAGGTATATTGTATGTGTGAGCAGTAAGGTATATTGTATGTTTGAGCAGTAAGGTATATTGTATGCATGAGCAGTAAGGTATATTGTATGCGTGAGCAGTAAGGTATATTGTATGTGTGAGCAGCAAGGTATATTGTATGCGTGAGCAGTAAGGTATATTGTATGCGTGAGCAGTAAGGTATATTGTATGTTTGAGCAGTAAGGTATATTGTATGTTTGAGCAGTTAGGTATATTGTATGCATGAGCAGTAAGGTATATTGTATGTGTGAGCAGTAAGGTATATTGTATGCGTGAGCAGTAAGGTATATTGAATGTTTGAGCAGTAAGGTATATTGTATGTGTGAGCAGTAAGGTATATTGTATGTGTGAGCAGTAAGGTATATTGTATGTTTGAGCAGTAAGGTATATTGTATGCATGAGCAGTAAGGTATATTGTATGTGTGAGCAGTAAGGTATATTGTATGTTTGAGCAGTAAGGTATATTGTATGCGTGAGCAGTAAGGTATATTGTATGCATGAGCAGTAAGGTACATTGTATGCATGAGCAGTAAGGTATATTGTATGTGTGAGCAGTAAGGTATATTGTATGTGTGAGCAGTAAGGTATATTGTATGTGTGAGCAGTAAGGTATATTGTATGTTTGAGCAGTAAGGTATATTGTATGCATGAGCAGTAAGGTATATTGTATGCATGAGCAGTAAGGTATATTGTATGCGTGAGCAGCAAGGTATATTGTATGCGTGAGCAGTAAGGTATATTGTATGTGTGAGCAGTGAGGTATATTGTATGTGTGAGCAGTAAGGTATATTGTATGCGTGAGCAGTAAGGTATATTGTATGTGTGAGCAGTAAGGTATATTGTATGTGTGAGCAGTGAGGTATATTGTATGCGTGAGCAGTAAGGTATATTGTATGCATGAGCAGTAAGGTACATTGTATGCATGAGCAGTAAGGTATATTGTATGTGTGAGCAGTAAGGTATATTGTATGTGTGAGCAGTAAGGTATATTGTATGTTTGAGCAGTAAGGTATATTGTATGCATGAGCAGTAAGGTATATTGTATGCGTGAGCAGTAAGGTATATTGTATGTGTGAGCAGCAAGGTATATTGTATGCGTGAGCAGTAAGGTATATTGTATGTGTGAGCAGTAAGGTATATTGTATGTGTGAGCAGTAAGGTATATTGTATGTGTGAGCAGTAAGGTATATTGTATGTGTGAGCAGTAAGGTATATTGTATTCATGAGCAGTAAGGTACATTGTATGCATGAGCAGTAAGGTATATTGTATGCGTGAGCAGTAAGGTATATTGTATGCGTGAGCAGTAAGGTATATTGTATGCATGAGCAGTAAGGTATATTGTATGCGTGAGCAGTAAGGTATATTGTATGCGTGAGCAGTAAGGTATATTGTATGTGTGAGCAGTAAGGTATATTGTATGTTTGAGCAGTAAGGTATATTGTATGCATGAGCAGTAAGGTATATTGTATGCGTGAGCAGTAAGGTATATTGTATGTGTGAGCAGCAAGGTATATTGTATGCGTGAGCAGTAAGGTATATTGTATGTGTGAGCAGTAAGGTATATTGTATGTGTGAGCAGTAAGGTATATTGTATGTGTGAGCAGTAAGGTATATTGTATTCATGAGCAGTAAAATACATTGTATGCATGAGCAGTAAGGTATATTGTATGCATGAGCAGTAAGGTATATTGTATGCGTGAGCAGTAAGGTATATTGTATGCGTGAGCAGTAAGGTATATTGTATGCATGAGCAGTAAGGTACATTGTATGCATGAGCAGTAAGGTATATTGTATGCATGAGCAGTAAGGTATATTGTATGCATGAGCAGTAAGGTATATTGTATGCGTGAGCAGCAAGGTATATTGTATGCGTGAGCAGTAAGGTATATTGTATGCGTGAGCAGTGAGGTATATTGTATGTGTGAGCAGTAAGGTATATTGTATGCGTGAGCAGTAAGGTATATTGTATGCGTGAGCAGTAAGGTATATTGTATGTGTGAGCAGTGAGGTATATTGTATGCGTGAGCAGTAAGGTATATTGTATGCATGAGCAGTAAGGTACATTGTATGCATGAGCAGTAAGGTATATTGTATGTGTGAGCAGTAAGGTATATTGTATGTGTGAGCAGTAAGGTATATTGTATGTGTGAGCAGTAAGGTATATTGTATTCATGAGCAGTAAGGTACATTGTATGCATGAGCAGTAAGGTATATTGTATGCATGAGCAGTAGGGTATATTGTATGCGTGAGCAGTAAGGTATATTGTATGTGTGAGCAGTAAGGTATATTGTATGTTTGAGCAGTAAGGTATATTGTATGCATGAGCAGTAAGGTATATTGTATGCGTGAGCAGTAAGGTATATTGTATGCATGAGCAGTAAGGTATATTGTATGCGTGAGCAGTAAGGTATATTGTATGTTTGAGCAGTAAGGTATATTGAATGTTTGAGCAGTAAGGTATATTGTATGCATGAGCAGTAAGGTATATTGTATGCGTGAGCAGTAAGGTATATTGTATGCATGAGCAGTAAGGTATATTGTATGCGTGAGCATTAAGGTATATTGTATGTTTGAGCAGTAAGGTATATTGAATGTTTGAGCAGTAAGGTATATTGTATGTGTGAACAGTAAGGTATATTATATTGTATGTGTGATCAGTAAGGTATATAATATTGTATGTGTGAGCAGTAAGGTATATAATATTGTATGTGTGATCAGTAAGGTATATAATATTGTATGTGTGAGCAGTAAGGTGTTGTCTTAAAGTTTCAACTCAATATGAACCAAATCTTAATGTGTAGAAAGTGTAGACAAAGTGCTGCCTTTAAATTTACCCAGAATTGTCCAAAATTTAATCAATGTCAGATTTTCATACCAAGGAACATCTCTGACATTTCTTTCATAAAGTATTACCAAATACTACCTTGGTTTGGTCCATTGATATATCAATTAAAAATCACAAAATGAAATAAGCTCCAAACTAATCATTCACCATGTTCAATGATGCCCCAGCTTGTATGAGGAGTTTTGCCACATCTGCTCCATCTTGGTTGACACTGGCTGCAACATGCAGAGGAGTCTTCCCATCTTCATCAGCAATATCCAAGGCTGCACCTGGAACATGCGAAAGTTTACTACAATACCCTATTACTGTCAAATCTCTCCTGATGTGAAATCCTGAGGAATCAACAACTTTTAATGTCTTAAAATTAAATTCTTTTCAGTCTGGACAATTTCACTTGATTACAAGCCTGTGATCTGCTGTTTTTCAATAATATGCGTTTTGGTTGAGTAGATTATATTTGTCGATTAGTAGCCTATATTCGTCAGCAAATACAAAAGAAATGTCAATTTTGCAATATTATTGCAGTCAGGTGCGAGTAGAAATAATCTTGATTTACATCATTAAAAATTCAAAACTCAGTCAAAGTGATATCATATTTGAAATCTACATGTAGAATATGTAGAAATGTGGTTTTAAAAAATGTTTAACATCTTTGAAAATGTGACTTCTAGATAAAAGGAACTTTCCAATACCCTGCCACCTAGTGGTGAAAATGGTACCTAATCGCATCTGAATAATTAAAACACTCTGCTATACAAAACATGTGTAAATTGAATTAAGAAGTACAGTAAAACCTGTCTGAAGCAAACACCATAGAGACCGACCAAAAGTCATCAGATTAACAGATGTTCAGATTTCAAGGTTTATAATGCGAGTCTATGGGACATTTTGGAAAATTGGAACTGAGAAAAAGTGCTCACATTGAGAGATGTTGAGATAAGAGAGATGTTCATATATACAGGTTTAACTGTATGTAAGTGATTCAAACCTGATGCAATTAACACTTTCACTGTGTCAACATTTGACTGTTGCACAGCAACCCACAGAGGTGTCCTGTTGACTTTATCCCTAGCATTAATGTCACAACCAGACTCCAGTAGTTGGATCACAATGGAGATATCACTATGCTGAGAAGCTGTGTGTAGAGCTGTTCCACCTAAATATAGTTACAATATATATTACAATCAATGATGCAGTTAACAATGAGGTTGAGGCATATGAGGCAATTACCTCACCATATTTTACAGATAATAAAAAGTAGTTTAATATACTCTTTGCCTCACCTTGCTTTTTAAAACCTTGTAGTAGTTGAGCAAACTAATATTGAGGCAAAATTTTAGGCAATTTTAAATAGTACTTGAATTTACTTCTACTTTTCACAGTTTTAGATTAAATAATATTACTGGAAAAGGCGCTGCCTTATAACTGATTATTCCCAAGCAATTTGCACTTAATATTCAAAAAATGAATGTTCAATACTTATATAACAGTAACATATTACCATTAGATCCTGGGGTCTCTATGTTTGCACCATTTCTTAATAAAATTGTCACTGCCTCCAGCTGATTGCTCTGGACTGCACAATGGAGGGCATTATTTCTTCTACCTGAGGAGGGCATTATAACATGCAGTTAGTTCCTCATTAATTATGGGAGGGTTAACAATAAGATTTAACGCTATAACAATGGAGGGCATGTAGCACATGTTTCATTGGAGGCAATCACATGCCTTTCAGTATTTATCATGTAACTTATAACTTTTTCTAAATAAATGATTATTTAATGTGATATTGAAGGGTGTATTTGTTTATCAGAATATGACAGTGTATGAGAGACATGTTGAATCTGGGTAAATAGGATTTAGTTTAAAAAGAGGACAGGAGATTAACTGCAACACAAGAAATAGATTTTTCAGAAAAAAAATACCTTCATCAGTCGAAAATGGTGGATAATCAAATGATCCTTCCCATGGTGCATTTACATTACGATTTCTTCTTGGATTTTTCTCTTTGAATGGAGAGCTATTGACATCAACTCCTTTCTTCAGTAACAGTTTCAATACATCAATATGTCCTGTCTCTGCGGCATGACACAGAGCACAGGCCTTGCCATTGGTTGAGTCAAGGGACACGCTGAGTGAGGACAAGAATCGCTGGATCCACATCTCTGCATGACCCTCACTGTTCAGCCCTACTGCTCCCCTTCTCCATTCACTCATTGCCAATGACCAAAAGTTATCAAATGGGAGTCAATTACTTGGGCCAGGACTTTCTGCTGACAAGTACCCTTATGGGGTTGTTTTTCAAATCACTCTCTCAACTACATATGTATTGATATCTTTGGGGTTGAAATGTTCAATCGACACAAAGCTGAATTTTGTCTAAACATGGATATTTATTCATTCTATTGAAAGCCCTATGGTCTAAATAACCACTAGATCTTACTTAGGTCCAAAACCTTTTCAATGTAAGCTAGAGACTCGAGTAAACTAGATCCAGCTTATTTTCAACCCCAAAAGATTCCAATAAACGAGTGTTGGGCCCCCACTTAGACTATATCCTATTTAGTCTGAATTATATTCAGACTGACTTCTAGATAGATCTACATACTAGGCCCCCACTGGGAGTGATTTGAAAAACCTCACTTCACAGTAAGCACCATCAATCTTCATTCTATTATATTAGATATTAGATAGATAGTGCTGACTGTGCCTTACTTATACTAAAGCGAACAAAAGCAGAATGAGATAAATCAAAAACAGGAAACTTTTTGAGTTTTTTTATTGTCATTATTGCTAGGATATCCTTGTTTTCAGAATGAGGCTAAATTGGAATTCCCAAATTAAATGCAATGAACCAATCAGAATTTAAGACCCCCAACGATGTATTTACCAGGGCAATCTGCGCCATATTCGCTTCATTCGCTTGTTGGTTAAGGCCCGGTCACACCGCCCGGACGTTGCTGGAGCGTTCCTTGAACGTTGAAAAAATTCATCAACGCTCGTCAACGCGCACAAAATGGGAAAAAAACAAAAACACGGGCGTTGGCTTAGCGGTGCACCGCTGAAGCCGGCGTTGCTTAAGCGTTGGTTATGCGGTTGCGAGCGGTAGCTAGCGTTTGTTTAGCGGTAATGCGAGCGTTTGGTATAGCGGCGTTCTGCGCATGAGAGCGTTGCCTCGGCGGGGGTATAAATAGCAGCAGCGTTGGTTTAGCAGCATATCGCGTTTGACTCCAAAAGAGCTCGTGGCGCATTTCTCCACGTATTTATAGCCAAATTCTGGTCCCGCTCCGACACCTCTATACCAACGCCAAAGCAAAGTTCATCGCCGCCATGGAACGCTGCGACAACGTCCGACACCGTTCCAACAACCCCATGTACGCTGATAAAACGCTAACAACCGCTCCACCGACGTTTGTGCAACGTTTAATCGCCGCCCGGGCAACGCTGGCGAAGCAGCGGTGGTCCAGCATTTAAGATTTCTGCGTTGGTCTAGCGGATTCAAGCGTCCATGAACTTGCGTCTAGCGGTGCCAAACTTTGACTGGGCGTTGGTGGAGCGGTGATAAACTTTGCCAGGGCGTAAAATTGTCCCTTTTTCAACGCTCGCAATATTTTGAGCAGCTCAAAACTTTTGGAGCGTTAGGATGGCCACTCGAGAAACATCCGCGTTGGCCGAGCGTTTACAGCGTTGCTTTAACGGATGCCAACTTTTGTTTAACGGTGGTGAACGTTTACGAGCGTCGATGATTTTTTTCAACGTTCAAGGAACGCTCCAGCAACGTTTAGGCGGTGTGACCGGGCCTTTACTTAAATATTACAGTATGTCCGCCCATGCGCCGAAATGAATGCATTTCATTCCCAAGCGACAATAAAGGACAATAGAGGAAATTTGGGAGTCATTTTACACCCGGGATTTTACATTTCCCGAGCTATTAGTGCAACGTTTGGCCTAATATCTTCTTCGCCATACATACCATACCTTATCCCGTTCCCGGTCCGGGAACGGGATAAACCATACCTACATGTACACACTGGCGGATCTGGGGGGAGGCCCAGGGCCCCCTCCAGAAAAGAAATTGGGCCTAAAAAATGTTGAGCCAAGGCCTTTAAGCCCCAAAAAGTGGGCCTTTTTGGTCATAAATGGCCCTTCTAAAGCCTTATTTTTTAATTTAGGCCAAATTTTGAAGAAAATGGGCCTCAAAATGACGTAATGCTGAAAACCCTTTAAAAGTTCATTTAGGCCCTACTCTTACAAGGATCACAAGTATAATGTGAAATCGCAATCCACATAAGATCAATAATCAATAAGCAATGGTGTTTTAAGTTGTTTCAAATGCAATTACTTCTTAAATCAAGAAATTAAGTGACTCTGGCAACGGGGAACATGGGGCAAAACGGCCCTAAAAATGTAATTTTAAGTTGTTCTGTACGGGGTATTTTCTTATCTGTCAATCATCGTGCACTTTGATGTTCCACTTTATTAATGGTTTGTGGTTTACATTTTTCGAGTGTTTTATACTTGCCTAGGACTATCTTCTGTGATTTTTCAATGGTCAAAAATATTGTCGAGAGTGGGGCAAAACGGCCCACCCTCTGTTACATGGATTTTAAAACCAAAATTAATCAATTACAAGACTCGCCCACACACATTTTATCTCAGACGTTTAAACCTTTGACAGATAAAGTATTCTTAACCCCTACCACAATTCTAGTCATTCGATATGTGTCGGAAGGAAATAAGGTACAAGCCAAATGTTAAAATCGTTATATTTGAAAACTAATTGTTCTTACAGAATAAGAATTTTGTATGTTATAACATGTGTGGGCCGATTTGCCCAAAAGACATGTGAATTTTCAAATAGACGTCATTTTAATTCATATCCAGCAATCGTAATGTTAAATCGGACATCACCTTATCTCCTAACTGGTACTATTACTGAGATTTCGTATCAACACTTTAGTCTACTAAATTATTGTTTAAAACTCATATATGTGAGCGTTAATGCAGGGGCATTTCATACAGCCTATAAACACCGCCCTTTCATTAAATGTGTTTTCTGGTTTCCTTAATTTCGCCAATTTCTTAAGAAATTGATGGATAATTTGAAGATTATATGATCAGACACATAAATATGGCATATACCACATAAGTTTCTCATATTTAGTTGTTGTTTTTTAGTTGCTGTTTTTTGTTGAACCATATATTACGTACATGGATAACGTATTTTATTTACAAGTAGGCTGCATCTTGTATTAGACCAACATAGCATCAAGTTTCACTAGAGCTGCTAAGAACACTTCTTATCAGATGTGTTGACAGCTCTCCTGATAAAGAAAGTGACCGGAGATTTCTGGATTTGTTGCCTAATATTTGAAGCTCGAAATCTTTACAAATAAAGAATAAATGTGCATACTCTATGTAAAATGTTAAATCAAAACGATATTCTATTGTTGCCGGATTTTTTAGAGATTCTCGTGGGAGGGGTGATTTACAAAAAAAGGGTGAAAAATAGAATTACCTCTAACGTGGTTAAAAATGGGCGGTCGAGATAAGGTGGCAGACATTTAAAAATTCGATTATGTGACTTTTGAAGAGCCATCTTTTTATAGTTCAAAAGATATTTCGAAGGGCCACTTTGCCCCAGAGGGCCGTTTTGCCCCATGTTCCCTTACATGTATTCTAGCCCTACCATAGTCCTACCAGTACCCATGATGCCATCTATTTTTCCATTATATGGAAAAGGATCAATTGAAAGCAGTAGGACGGCACCGTTGAAAAAAACATTGTTGTTTACAAAACTTTCATATAAGTCGTGTAGCGATGACGTCATCGAACAACTTGTTTCTGTTCCGTTGGCTACCATCTTTGAGGTCCATTGAAACGGTAAACATTTAAACATTCAGTGAAAATGAAAGCTGATCTCGCCTTTCCAACCATCTCATTTTAATACCGGTTAGAAAAATGCACATAAACGGGAGTAAAATGCAGTCAAACACGTGGGACCCTATATCCCTATTTGTACCCTATATTCGTGCAAAATTAATATTGATTAAACATCATTTTTAAATGTCTTGAATCGTTCAAAAGTAAATACAATATTTTATAGAGGTCGCAACGGTACTGAACACAAGTACCGGTAACCGTTACGCTAATAACCGTACCCCGAAATACCGGTAAAAATATGTAAGATAAAATGCCAATGCGCTGCGACCCCAACATTGTTCCTAACTCTCTCCGTAGCTTCTCAGGTCTATATGCATACATGGTGCAAGACCGATTTGAACCCATACTGATGAACTTCACGAAATAGAATGTAGAAATAGAATTTTTAGTTTTAAATTAAATATATTACACATTTCAAATCATTTCTCAATTGTGTCAATAGCAAGCGACGTGTAGTGCGCCTATACATGGGGGTGGGGTAGGTAAAATAGATTGTAACAAAACCCATAACTCTCGGATCTGAAGTTGACACTACAAATACCGGAACTGCCAAACATAACTACAACCAAATCTGAGCCTGAGCATGAAGCTACTACACCAGAACTGCCAAACATGGACATCACACCTGAACTGCCAAACATGGAAATCACACCTGAACTGCCAACATGGACATCTAAATGTCTATGTAGATGTACGCATCGTGAAAGTGGAAATTAAACGAAATAATTAAAAAAATGACGTGTCTTTTAATTCCCCGGGGATTATAGTCGGTTTTAAACCGGTTAATAATTTCAATACCGGTAAATGCTCAATTCCATACCGAAACCGTATAACCGGAATTACCGTCAGCCTCTAATATTTTATAAGTACCAAATATCAATCAGTTCCGATTAAATGCCTTGTTACATTTTTTGCGAAAACGGTTGGGTCCTTTCGGTAGAAATGTGTGAATCCAAAAAGTAGCGTCATTCAGAAAATCATCTTGTGTGCAAGCATGTGGATACTTCATTTTGAGTAACTGAATTATTAAATTGATATTTGTATTGTCTTTCGGGAACATTACCTTAAATTCAATTTTAGACTTGCAGCTGACTCGTATCAAAAATTATTTAGCAATGAGTTCAGGCTCATTGATTTTAACCGGATAGATGAAATGAACAAAAAGGGAAAAGGTTATGTGTGCGTAAAAGCATGTGGATATTTAACTTTCAATAAATGAGTTACAATTTTATTTGATGTTTATATAATCTGTGGAACATCACCTTTACACATAATTATTTTTGTGATAATTGTTCGATTTCTTTCATGATTAACTGGAATTTTAGACCAACACGTATTAAAGAAGTATTGGGCAATGTATTTAGGCTCACTGATTTTTAGGATAAATCAAATGAGCAAAGGGGAAAGGTCACGTGTGCGTAAAAGCGTGTCAGTATTTGAATTTGAAGAAATGAATTAAAGTTTTGACATCAATATTATTTATGAAGCATCACCTAACACAGAATAATTTGTACAATTATTGCTTAGTTCCTTACATGAGAAAATGCAATTATAGACCTGGCACACGTATCAAAGAAATATTTGGCGTTCAGTCTCATTGGTTTTTACTTGGTAAATGAAACATGAGCAAAATTGGAAGAGATCATGTGTGCGTAAATGCGTGTTAGTATTTAATTTTGAAGAAATGAATAAAAATGCTTGGTTCCTTCCATGAGAAAATGCAATTATAGACCTGGTACACGTATGAAAGTTGTACAGGGTGACCGGAAAAAAAGGAGACCATTGGAGTAATCAATTTCTCCTAAACTAGACAAGTGCCATCAATGAAATTTTGCATACACTGGAACAGTTATATGGAAATTTGTTACTGAAGGTTTCAATACAAGCATTCAACTGGTTCAGGAGCTATGATCATTTACATAACATGCTCCAAATAGGCACAATTGAGACCAACGCAGAGTTGGATTCATATGGCAAACTACCCTTACATGTTCTGCCCTCTATGGCATTATTATGGCATTACATATAGCAGTGATTGCCTTCTTTAGGTCAACAATAGTCTGAGGATTGTTTTGGTATAGATTGTCTTTCAAATATCCATACAAAAAGAAATCAGCAGGATTCAAGTCTAGGCTGTAATGGCAATGAAGGGTTATCTGACATGTGGTTCATCATCCTGTTGCCAAAGTGCTGATTTACCAAATCTTAAGAGTCACTTTAGGTATTGGGCATAGTGCCATGTTACTAAAACCCCTATATGGCACAATTAAATCCCATATGGAAACCAAGGGCTGCCCAAAACCTCCTTAGGATGATACTGTAACTGAGTGGGACCACTGAGTCAGAAGCCATAGGTCAGATAAGCTTCGTCTCCATACACCTCAAATTTGAATCCACCTGATTTCTTTTTGTGGGGCAATTTGAAAGACAATGTGTACCAAAACAATCCTGAGACAATTGCTGACCTAAAGGTGGCAATAAATGCTAAATGTAATGCCATAACAAGGTCGGAATATGTAAGGGTATTTGCCAAATGTATCCAGCTCTGCGTTGGTCTCAATTGCGCCTATTTGGAGCATGTTATGTAAATGATCATAGCTCCTGAACCAGTTGACTGCTTGTATTGACACTTTCAGGAACAAATTTCCATAGAACTGTCCTGATGTATGCAAAATTTCATTGATGTCACTAGTCTATTTTAGGAGATATTGCCTATTTCAATGGTCTCCTTTTTTTCCGGTCACCCTGTATTTAGCAATTGCGTTCAGTCTCATTGGTTTTCAAGGTAAATGAAATGAGCAAAACTGGAAAAGGTCATGTGTGTGTAAAAGCGTGTATCTAATTTTTAATAAATAAATTAAACTTTTGACATTTATTATATCTATGGGAATCATCTTTAAACAGAATTACTTTTTGATTCAAGTTTAGTTCCTTCTATTAGAAAGGCATCGCTAAGATTGGTTCTGTAATGAGATTTTATGTTTCGAATCGCATAAAAAGAGATAATGTCACATGTGCGTGAATGCATGTCAATATCATCTTATTTTAAAAACTGAATTATGATTTTAACATTTTCACAAGCTTTTAACCATTGCCTTTCCACATATTATTTTCTTAACAATAGAACTTGAAAACGTTCTATATAAAAAAAAATAAAAAGGTCAATATGAGTTGAAATATGAGTGTGAGAAAAGGTTTGTTATAAATTTACCTTTCAAAATACATCCTTAATTTTTACATTTCTATGATATATTACCAATGCATTATTTTCAAATTAATTGCTATATTATTCAATAAGCAATTCTGAGGTATATTTGAACTTTAATTCTATAGCAGATATAATTCGAACAAATGTTTTAAAATTCAAGAAATTAAATCAAATCAAAATATCTTATTATTCAACCGAGTAGACAATAATTGGTTCAATTCTGTTATTTTCGATCATACCACGGCCATAGCTTAACATATAAGTAACTGTTCGAAAATATAAAATTTTGTAGAAAATAAACAAAATCGCGTTATACTTAGAGGTTATGTCACTATGACGTGAAATATGCCTGAGTTCTCCCAATATAGGCCGACCTTGGGAGGCTCTATATTTGGGCAAGAACGAAGGCATATTTCACGTCATAGTGACATAACTGATGTATTACATGCCTTTGTTCCCATGGTTACTTTGTATCAATGACGTGACGTCATGATATTATCATGGTTATTAAAGAAATCTAATATCAAAACGAGGTAAGCGGGCTATATCGGGGTAATCGGGCAATATCGGTGGATATAGCTCGCTAACTTTCCCATTGACTTCCATACAAATGCTTCGCTAGGTATGTAATACATGTTATAACCTGTCAGCCTGTATCTTCTGTATGAGTAATTGCCAAGTTTACGTCTCAAGTCTGATGTGTTAAACAGCATACTTCATTAAGTCACAACTGGAAGTTAGGTGAAAGCAAAATATAATTCATTTAAAAATGAAACATTTAAATAGATATTTTAAACATTGAAATACTTTTAGAAAGTATACTAGTAGATAGCCGTTTGACATCGTGGTAAGCCACGCCCTCTCCATCTCTATCCTTCTGGATAGAGGTTGAAATGCCGATCAAAGGGGCGGGCCCAAATATTCGTAATATTAATTTAAGCGGTGGCGTATTGAATTAAGACCAGAGACGGTGTCCAAGCCAAACGCTCTTACATGCACGACAGAGCGTTTCATTGACGCGGAAACGCTGTGGAGCAAAATAAAATGGCGGCTAATGAAGATTCCACTATGACCGTATAAAGTATTGTTTCACTCATTTCTCTTACATATCATACTTTATGGTGACATTATGTACCATGCGATGAACAATACCGTGAGCAAAGATCTTATCTATTCAACTTCTGGTGGTAAACTGTTATTTGCTTCGTCTTAGGTAGTTTATAGCTAGACTCTGCACGCAGGGTACTTTTTCAGACTCATCTTTTGTTTCAGACATTTTTCACACAATGATGCGGACTTGTGGCTACCTGGCTATCATAATAATCATACATCAACAAATCTTTAGTTCAATGCAGATATATATTCTATATTTACATTGGAAGGGTTTTAGAACATAATATACAATACCTCATTTTTTAAAACTCAATTTCGCTTATTAAAACAAATGATCATATTTTTTCATCATCTAACTTATGTACATGCAAATCATAAATTTAAACATGTTTTAGTTGGTGCATACAATTTCTGTTTCAGAGAGTGTTTGCTACTTCATAATATGATGCATTTCATAGGCCAAGGGAAAAGTAATAGTAAGCTGTATAGAAGAGACAGGTCCACAAGTAAGATTGAAAATTTTTCAAATTTTTTTAGTCTTGGCACGAGTTCTCCTTACTGGTATCAAATTGTATTCCCAAATCTCTCCAAAATCTTCTTCAAAGTGTTTTTCAAACTTATATCATTGTTTTTTTCAAATCTTTATCTAAAAACTGCATATAATACTGCATATAAAACAACAACTATGGATATCTGCAATTGCCTGGCAAGCTGAAACTGATTGTCACTGGTGGAGGTCAGGGAGGTCAGCAGTGACCAATCAGATCACTTGTTTACTAATAAATTTGCCAAGCAATTGCAGGTTTTCAGAAATTCTCTCTTTTAGACAGCATTATTCACTCTATATCATCTGACTGAGTTTCAATGTTAGGTAAAAGCTACAAACTATCAATTTTCTATCAACTCCCCATGGCTTTTTGAAAATAATACACTAAATATTGTTGAAATTTCCATCTTAACAAGTGGCCTAGAGTTGTTCACCTGTCTCTTCTATATACGGCTTACTATTACTTTACCCTTGGCCTATGATGCATTTCTACAAATGACTTGATGCAAAAAGTATATTTTTTGTAACTTAAAGCACTTAAAGATTCCGGTTAGCTTCCAGTGTAAAAAAAATATGGTGGCTCCAGGCGAGTCAACTGGATGGATCAATCCATTTTTAAGAAATAAGGGGACTTTTGTAAAATCCAGTTTATTGAAATTGTCTTGGAGATAAAGCAATCCGTTTATAATGATTCTGAAAACATTATTCAGAGAGTGATTTTTCAAAGAATGCATGTACAACAGCCTATATAAATCCTTGTATTAGAACTGCTTCGTTTCATTCAGAGGATATTTCATATGCCAAGGTGTGTACTATTATGCAATGGGGAAATATAGATGTCAATTCTTCCTTATTATACACAAATAGAAGATCCTGAAACTTCACCCATAAATGTGAAATTGATTTGCCATATTAAAAATCTTCCTTTTATAAATGTGTGACGATCTATAATATACTAATGCTATATAACAAACGATATGCGTCACCCTTTAACATGATTGCACAGAATGTCAGTTGCAATCTAACACCTTACAATACTCATACAAAAATCTGTATTGGTTCATGAATACAGATTTTACATAATACTATTTATCTGTTCTGTTTCTTCAATATTTCTATCAATATATTCAATTTTACGCAGATGGGTGCTCCTGCTAGTGCCTCTGATAATTCTGTTGACTCATAGAATATTGTAATGATGCCCAGAGTATTCAACTGATACACACAGTTCATTCTATGAATGCATTTAGTGGTATTGTTCATGTTTAGCACCAGATTTCTGCTGATACGCATTTCATATTTATTAATTCATATGATATGATAGTTGATACTAATGCATACCTAATAATGTATCCCACATTTTTGCTGATGCATATTCTTTTTGCTGATGCATACAAAACTTATGTTGATATTAACTGACTTCAATGTCCAAGTTGAATGAGACCTCATGAGTTTGGAGGCTTTGGAAGAAAGCTAAGTTGGGCAGGTTCTACAAATAGAAACAATTTTTCTTAGACATCTTATGCCGTATTCTTATAAGGAGACATTCAGGTTAATAATACCTCAATTAATAATAAAAAGAACATTTGTAAATGCTAAGTATTCAAACTATAGCAAGCTAAAAATATTACTCAATTCTTTTCAAACTATTTCATCGCAAATATGCATTCAGCCAGGCAAAAGTCCAGATTTTTCCTCCAACTAAGCAAAATTGTCTAGAAAATAAGTACTTTTATTAAAGGACGATTCTCGGTTTGGAGAACGAAGTTCATCAATCTAAATGAGCATTATCCCTGCTTCGGACAAATTTGATTTTTTTACATAATATAGATTTGAATGTCTTCTTTTGAATAGTCATAATTTAATTTGGGTAATATTTCTAGATTTTTCGCAAAAAAATATTAGCGCAGTACACTGATGAACTTCTTTCCCCAAATCGAGACTTGTATTTTATTGAATCGGTCTATTTGAGCATTATCCCTGCTTCAGACCAATTTGTTATTTTTACATCTTGTAGATTTAATTGTCCTCTTTTGAATATTCATAGTTTAATTTGGGTAATATTTCTATATTTTTCATGAAAATTTTTTTAGCCCAGGAGGCTGTTCTCCAAACCGAGAATCGTCCTTTATCTTATTCTGCCCCTGTGTGCAGTAATTTTATGATTTTTCACTCTGTGCTTTCTTTGCAAGTGTGCCAAATTAGCATACGGTGCCTGATTATACAAACTTACTTTGGACATCATCCTCTGTAGGCCTTTTCCGACTCTGATCTCCACTGAAATATAAAGCAACAGTTTATTGTTTCTCAATTGTGTTACCAATCATGTTTACAAATGGAAGACAGATCAATGTATCATTATATTAGCCCCAAGTGAAAAAAAGTAAATTCTTTTTTGTCAGTCAGATAGGTTTAATGTTGACTGTTCAACTGAAAAGGAATGTAGGGTACCCTCAATGCAATTGATTGTAAACAGTTATATTTTCTGACCAAACAAACAAGTTTCTGCAAATTTATAATCATCAATAAAAGTTCATAGAATGAACTGGTCCATTGGGTTTTCTTGTACTGATAGAAGATTCTGAAAAAAATTGAAGTCAGTTTAAACAGTATTTGTTAAATTATTGGAAGTTGTAAGAATTTGTTACAGACGCCGATTGCTAACCACCAAACGCCAGCCACCAACTGCCATCAAAAAAGGAGACCATAACAATATGTCACCACTTTTTGGTAGTGACATAATAAAAACCACTCAGAAAGTGGTCATGGTGAAAGATATGACTGTCCAAAATCACTTGCAATTCTATACCTGATCCTTTCCAGGAATTTCTTGTTTTCTGTATTAAGATCCCCATTCTAAATACACATTGATAAGATGTTAAAAAACTTTGAAATTTCATTCACTCTTTTAATGTTTATAATGTTAAATCACCATCCACATGGTAAAAACCTCATAGTTACATGATAATGGAGCTTTACACTAATCCAAAAAATCAAGAAATTGAGTAACTGTAGGTGCCATTTTTTAAAATTGGCCACCATGTCTTTTATTATAACTGAAAAGTAGAGTGATTTTGTTCATATTTGATGAGTATGGCTCACTGTCTATCTTTTGACACTTTGACTTGTAAGCGGCCTTTTTTCAAAATCACCGCCATCTTTGCATGTGTAATTTTACATTTTTTTGATAACTCAACAAGACAAAGAGTGAACAAAATCGTACCCTTGAATAGAATAGACAAATTAAGGGTTGGAAAGTCCAAAATGGCTGCCTAAGATTTACCCAGAATGCCCCAAAACTAATCGCTTGTAGATTTTCATACCTAAAAATTTCAGATGAATGAAACAGTTTGAATGGAAACATGTGAAAAAAAATGAAACATCGACAGACAGACAAGATCCAAATTGGTTGCATTAACATTTACCCAGAATGTCCAAAAACTGAGCAGTTTTAAACTTTCATACATAGAAACATCCCTGAAAATTTCAGATGAATCTCTCATATGGTTTGGCTGGAAACCTGTAGACAAGATTTAACGGGATCTAAGTGAAGCGATTTTGTTGATATTCTATACTTGCCTACTAAGAAGCATATTCCACTAGCTAATGACAATTTGGCTAGTGCGCAGCTATTTTGAAAAATGGTGGCCATTTTTATGTGCGTTATTTTACGATTTATGCTGCAAGTTACATGTCAAAATGAAAACGTAGTGGAGGGATTTTGTAAAAATGGCAGCCATGACTGTTCGATGGGACTTGCTATGCTTTGGCATTGCTGTTATGTAGTATAGATCAAATATAGTAATGAATTGCCACAATATGCCATTTTCCACTCTCATCAAAGACAACAGATTCTGAATTTCAAAAAATAAAGGGGGATAACTGTAGATGTTAAGATAATTGGACTATAGTGGATATATTACAGAGGGGCATATGCAAAATGCATTTTCTATATCCCCTGAACTTCATTCAACAAGATAATTTTAATATCAGGAATTAAAATACCATTCTATTATACAGAGAACACAAAATCATACCTTGTATATAGGGGGTGTGTTTTAAGATCTCGCTGCATCTGTGCGGTCTCATCTATGTAGTGTTGTATATCGTCAGGAGTGGATGGTGGCAGAATATTTGGAATATACTTTGCGAACAACTGTGGGTGGTGAGCAGAGAAATCTGCAAACACAAATCACAAACTTGGTAATTCACATGAGACAGATTGCTAACGTGTACAGGGTGTCCCGAAAGTATGGGCATTTTAGAAGTTTCCTTTGAGTAGTTGCATAACCATCCTCTGCTCCAACTAAATATCCATCCTACCTTTGACGATAACAACCATATTTTTGGTCACATTCATGTCAAAACTGTTTCTAGGATACTAAACTGACCTTAAAGCGGAAATAATGTCAGGTATTCTAATCATCATTATATGTAGTTACAATACTACTGAATAAAATGCAATAAGTTGAAAATCTTGTTATGTGTTAGTTTTTGTATAATATTAAAAATAAAAATCATAAATTGACCCAGTGACCCAGTTGTCTGTTGGACGGGGCTCGCCATATTTCCCTCAGAGACCCGGATGTAGACCGGAAGTGTGACGTTTCTGCGACCTGAGCCGCCATCTTGAAAGCATTCACAACAAAGGAAAATGCCTATGTGTTGTGCGGTAAATTGTTCAAATATTTCCACTGATAGAGCTAGACTTGGGATAAGGACTTGATAAGAAATGCCTGAACGACAGTCGGCTGATGACGGTACCATTAAAATCTGTCGACAGTTAAAACAAGCTGTCGTTGTCGTGGACCGAATCCCCGGGGAATAGAACACATTTAAAACAGTGTCACTTACTATAGTTTCTGAAAAGTTTAATGCACGGCTTTTAACAATCAAAGATTCCTACTTATTATTGTCTTGTTTGTCGTCCTATAATTATCCTGGGGTTGTGTTTTTTCTCCCCAATACGGGAAAACATTTTGAATAAAGAATTTTCCAATTCCGCCATCGAATAAGTAGGGTAATCTGCAGCAGTTTCGTTTTTGCTTCAACTCTTCGCGCATGCCTAGTAGTTTGAAATAATTTACAAGTGCGCATGTGTTTTTGGAATTAAGCCAATCAAATTATTCATTCTAATGCGCATGAACTAGATTCCGAATCAAGAGGAACTGGCGCAGATTGCCTCAAATGCTGAAATCGCTCTTCAAAATTAAAGCTCTTCAAAATAGATTGGTGAATAAAAATGAATAACAACTGAAGTTAGAGTGGTTTATTTAGTTTCGATGTCAGGATATTTCAAGTAAGTATTGATTATATAGACGCTACAGTGATGATGGTTCTAGACACGCGGGGCAAGTTGTTTTAGCTGATTTTCTCCTCAAACGGCGTAGATTGAACACTATTTTACTTCCGGGTTTACCCACGACAGTTTGCTATCGGCAACAGAAATAACACTGTCGTTATCGACAATGGAATCTCACTGTCGTTCGGGCAGTTGCCATACCATACATATTCTCTCACAAGAAACCAAAGAAAACGGATTCAAGGCGAGCAATCCGGTCCCGAAAAGAGAACTGAACCAGGCCATGTGCCGGTTAGATCGACGCCATTTTGAAAAAACTTTTTGAATTGTATCGTATCGTATCGTATCGTATGTCTTTAATAGCTTTATAACTTAATACCATATTTGTGAAATAAATATAACATACTAGGTCTACGAGCCTTTAAATTGTTTGTTGTCTACTGTAAATACAACAGAAATACACCTCCATGGTGATCGAAATGACGAACCTTGCGTCATCGATCGCGATGATTCATGACGGGGAATACATTATCAGTTCTGCCTTATATTTATAACAGAGTGTCAAAAATCCAATTAATATCTGCCATTCGTCATTTTATTAAATAAAAGATCCGAATATGTTTAATCTTCAAGCAAAACGATCGAGAGATAATTGATTGTCAACATAAAATTAACGCATTTTCCTGTCATGTCGGTAACCAACGTTCACGAGTTGGTCAGTTTTTGGTTTTGATTGGCACTTTGGGAGTTAATTCTATGAATTGTAAGTATTGATGTGAACATGGTCATGTTTTTCTCGAACAGGTGATATCATATTATAGTATGTCAATATGCCAAATACATCGTCAAAATCTTCAAATTGCTCCATTTTCTTGTTAAGAAGTTCGTAATATTTTTCAATGTGGCCGCCCCGCTACAATTGCGCATGCGCATTTTTCGGGCCAATCAAAATTCTGGAATTTGTCGAGTCGTAGTGACGCCGCTCATGAATATTCATAGGTAGGTTATGGCGACCTCCATAATCCAGGTGAAGATCCAATACCTCAAAATTAATTCCAATATATCTGCCGATGCATTAGAAGATCGTCGCTCATACCCGGGTCATGTTTTTGATTATAGACTTATTATTCTGATGAATCATAGTTTTTACTTGAGGTTATTATCCCTTTAAATTTGGCTGAACACTAAGTTTTCATCTTTTTCAGATTTGTGAGTTGAACCATGATATTTGGCAAATCAATGTAACTTTGGTGGATAAGCTTAAAATGATAAATGGCACATACAATGGAGACATTTGTATATGTCTGCCTAGGGGGGGGGCATACTTTCGGGACACCCTGTATGTATCTTAATACAGGGACAATAGTTCTAGATTGGGTGTGAAATATCAAGGTGTTTAATTGTTTTGAGTTACATTACTGTTACCTGTACATAAAGTAGCAGTTTTGGTAATGTGAAGGGTAGTGTATTATAGCACAATGACCATGATATGTTCCAAAAGTAAACAATACGACACTCCCCTGCCTTGTGACACTGGCTCAGCCACGAGTGTTCAACAGGAGCCAATTTACATAATGACATGACAATCTAGGGGCACACTATGTATGAATTATGAATGTGATGATGTATCAGCGTTAAATAGATTCTTAATAGTGTATTGCCTTTAGTAAACTTACCAGGTTTAAGTGCATGTAGATTCTTTATGATACTGCTCATGACAGGGGGCGACACAGAGAATGGTTTAGTATTGGCATCAGCTAGTATCGCTAAAATGTATAAGTGAGATATATTTTCTAAAATATCTAGGTGAACGATATGCTGATGTATAAAAAATGTGAACAAATTAGAAAGATTGACTGATTGGTTATTAAACTAGACAAACAGCAACTCCACGGAGTAGCAAATCCCACAGAACAAAACATATTATGCTTATTATAGCTAGTGTAAATGTTGAAATGTTTGTGCACTTTGTGATAGAAGCATGAAATTTGGCACAAAGTTAGTTTATACCATTGTGAACTAGGCATCATCATATAAAATTTGAACCAAATCCGTTCACTGGTATATGAGTTATCAAAGATTACGTTTTTTACGAAAATTGGCCGAACACTTCGTTCGGTGGGATAAAAATGGTTTAATTTAACATTGGTTTCAATGGAAAAATTCTTTTTTATTTAAAAAGCTGCAAAATTCAGATTTTCTTCAAATTTTTTTTAATAATTCTAGAAAAGCATAAGGGTTAACACACACACAAACACAGGGAGGTTTTGGATACAGGGTTTATCCCAAGGGAAATATGTGTATCACCCCAGGGACCACAGGGACCGATGGAGAGACACAAAAATTCCACGAGGGATAAATTCTGTATCCAAAATTGACCGTACATAACAGATGTACAGTATTCCATACCTACTGGGGTTCACAGAGAAGCTGTTCAGAGAAAACTACGATACAGAAGTATTTAAATGTGATAAACATTTCTTTTCAATGTAGACAGCCCAACAAAATTTAGAAATTGAGAAAACATTTTTGATATAAATTGCAGAAGACTAACAATTTGACATTGCAGACACTGAGCATCAACTGCTGTGACAAAAATATGGTGACTGAAGCAAATGTTGCCAATTCTTGGTGAAGACATGATAACAAAAATCATATACATGTACTGTTAGTCTTAACAGTTGTAAATCAAACAAAAGATAAGCCAGGTGGATAAAAAATTGAAAAAGGAAGCCAATGTGACGATTTTAATTGAATCAACATGCATTTTACACTCTATTTCCTTCAGAAAATGATAGAAAATTGTTTAATTTATATGGGCGATGATGGAGTTAGCTCAAAAAAGCAATCACTTAGACCCAAAGTAATCTTATTGCGACTTTTTAACACCAAATGGTCGAATTTATTGGATAAAACAGATCTTAACATTTGAACTGCGATTCACCAGTTTTCCAAACAGAAATTATACTGGACAAAAATTTCCTGGGATTTCTGAAAAATTGGCTTAGACATGATTTGGCAAATTTTTGCAATTTGCCAAATCAAGTTAACTAACAGTACAAGGCATTAACATACAAAATGTCACTACCTGCCATTAGTTACATATGCACAAACACTGTCTGCTAAATGAGCCAACTGTTGAATGTCTTACACTTTCCAGAAGAAAGTTGGAGACTATAACATTAATGTCACCTTTTCTGGTGGTGACATAATTAAACTAAGTACATGTTACATGTTTCTTATCAACTGAATCACATTACTTACGTATTAAATTGTTTATATGTTTTTCTGCAACACAAGTCACAAATAATTTTTTCAGTTCTAACTGTAAATCTGTTTTTAGTTTACTCTCTATGTAAAAACGATTCTGAAAATAAAAAACATTTATTTTAAGTTCAGTTTTTGAATTCAAAGCAGCCATTCTGGATAATGACCAAATGAAAAAAAGTCAGGTAAGATAAAACTTCTTACAATGACAAGGTGGCCAAAAAAACAGGCCAAGTTGAACTTCAATAATTATTTAATAACTATCCATGCATTAACTAAAATTTATGAATCTTGCTCTGTAATGTTCACCACCACAAGCAAATATCTGTAAAACACATAAAAAGCCTACCATGTAAATAAATATAGTTGCTATGCCCGCCATTGCTTGTAGATACTGGTTCATGGAGAAGTTGAATTTTTCTACATATTCTTTAGAATCAAGTTCCTGAAATAAAAGAATATCTTTTTTATTTAAAATGTTTTAATATTGCAAAGTGAATTTTTGATAAATATGACTTATATCCATGATTTGGTAAATGCATCTCTTCATTTACATGGCTCAGTGAAATTAAAGGCTGACATGATACAATAAATGCCCTTAGATAACCAGAAGTCCTTGGGAAACTGGCACTAAAACTTATCATCTAAACACTGATTGCAACATATGTATGTATATAATCTGAACTGGAAACACTATAAATGATACAGACTTGTATACATGATATTTTGATGACAAAAGCAAAGCTGTCACTTCAAAAAGAGGCAAAGCGAGATGGGAGTAACGGTATAAATTACTATAGTACTCACTAGTATGGATATGGGCATTAGTTCAGATGAAGGACAGTTTTCATATGTCTATAAATTGTAGACAGATAGACAGTCCCATTCAGATGAATTAGAAGGACAGACAAATGAGTTGAGTGGTTGATTCCAAAGGCTAACCGAAACCCTTGCTCATGGTTAAAGATATGGCGTCTAAAATAACTTGTCAAACCATACATGATTCTCCCAATACAGTGTCTATTACCCATTGTCAGTTGGCATTTAATAAAGTTTCAAATGACAAGTGCTGTTGAAAAGCAGAATACTTACATAATATCTTTTTTGTAACTGCACACAGAGGTCTTCTAAGTGATTGGATATTTGCTCTAGCAGGTCTTTATACAGTCTCTCTGAGAACTGCTTGCATACACATTTATATACACAACTGAAAAAATAAGCATTTTTGAAGCACAAATGATAGACAATAACTTGGTGTATCAATTTCAAATAACAACAATTTTTATGCCAATATCTCATTGATAACAAATCCAGACAAAGTCCATACCACACAGAGTCTGCCATTCTCTATGCATTTGATTGAAATATTCCCATAGATATTTTGCTCATAGGTTATTGAATGCATTCATTAGTTGATAAAATTGAAATATTTCCCAACATACCTATATTTGTTCATATCAGAATGTAAAGTTTCCAATCGTACCTATACATTTGTTCATATCAGAATGGAATGTTGCTATTATACCTATATATTTGTTCATATGAGAATGGAATATTGCTATCATACCTATATATTTGTTCATATGAGAATGGAATCTTGCTATTTATATATATATTTGTTCATGAGACCAGAATATTTCCCATCATACCTATATATTTGTTCATATGAGAATGGAATATTGCTATCATACCTATATATTTGTTCATATGAGAATGGAATATTGCTATCATACCTATATATTTGTTCATATGAGAATGGAATATTGCTATCATACCTATATATTTGTTCATATGAAAATTGAATATTGCTATCATATCATACCTATATATTTATTCATATGAGAATGGAATATTGCTATCATACCTATATATTTGTTCATATGAGAATGGAATATTGCTATCATACCTATATATTTGTTCATATGAGAATGGAATGGTGCTATCATACCTATATATTTGTTCATATGAGAATGGAATATTGCTATCATACCTATATATTTGTTCATATGAGAATGGAATATTGCTATCATACCTATACATTTATTCATATGAGAATGGAATATTGCCATCATACCTACACATTTGTTCATATGAGAATGGAATATTGCTATCATACCTATACATTTGTTCATATGAGAATGGAATGTTGCTATTATACCTATATATTTGTTCATATGAGAATGGAATATTGCTATCATACCTATATATTTGTTCATATGAGAATGGAATATTGCTATCATACCTATACATTTCTTCATATGAGAATGGAATGTTGCTGTTATACCTATATATTTGTTCATATGAGAATGGAATGTTGCTATTATACCATTACATTTCTTCATATGAGAATGGAATGTTGCCATTATACCTATATATTTGTTCATATGAGAATGGAATATTGCTATCATACGTATATATTTGTTCATATGAGAATGAAATGATGCCATTATACCTTTACATTTGTTCATATGAGAATGGAATGTTGCCATTATACCTATATATTTGTTCATATGAGAATGGAATATTGCTAATATTGCTATCATACCTATATATTTGTTCATATGAGAATGGAATATTGCTATCATACCTATACATTTGTTCATATGAGAATGGAATATTGCTATTATACCTATACATTTGTTCATATGAGAATGGAATGTTGCTATTATACCTATACATTTGTTCATATGAGAATGGAATGTTGCTATTATACCTATATATTTGTTCATATGAGAATGGAATGTTGCTATTATACCTATACATTTGTTCATATGATATTGGAATATAGTCTCCAGGCGTCATTGTCAGGAGGTGGTTGATGGCACCTTCTAGTTTTGGCCAGTACTGCTGTTCATAATCTTCTGTTGTGATCGTCATCATTACTGCAAAAAAATAGTAGATAATCTGTGTGAATTGTGACAAGATGTACAAAAATGGAAAGAGATTAATATCTAAATAGATGCTGAAAATTAATTTATTAAATACTGGTTTCATCTCATGCAAGAAACTGCTAACAGTTTTGATTATGGATCCTATTTAATGTTCTCCATTTTGTATTTTGTTAATGCATTCAACACAAAATAATCTGTTGCTTTATTAAGAGCAGAGATCTATCCATGTCATGCTTTTCATTTTGATTTATATTAAAATGGAATAGGTTAAAAGCACTAGTGTAAACCACAGACTTATACATTTTTGTATATCTGGGAAGTGAATATCTTTATTTTGCACAGTCCTTAAAATAAATATGAACTTACTAAGATTAATCCTTATATTAGCTTACTGAGTGAATTATATTAGATGTACATGTATACACTGACTAATTTAATTCAAACATATAGGTACGTGTTTATGTATATTTAATAACCATTTTGGAATATCATTTTTCAGCCAATTCACAATATCATTAATTATGAAAACCATGTTCCAGTTTTTCGCAAGGTAGTCTGGTAGTCTTAGTGTGCATTCGTTATATCCCAAATATCGGACCATCACCTGAAATATTGATTACCCATTGGCCAATTAATTATCGATCTTATATCTGTTTACATTATCTTCAAATGACAGCAAATGAGGGTTATCATTCGTAATATCAATAGGCAATCCTGGACCCTGTTGCTTTAATAGCCTGATAACCATCTCGAACTAACACCAAATGACAACATGTTCTCTGCAAAACTGTTAAAACAGCTTGTATGATATTATATCACTGATACATAGGTGGAATATTTTCTAGCCAATATACACTTGCTCCATCTTCGCATGCTCCGGTCTTCACTGCGACCGATGAAAGCCAAGTGACCGAAGATGTACTTACTCTAACTACAAACGTTCAGTCAGGTGCTAAATACAGTATGGTTGTTCTCAGGCCTCCTTGACTTCCACTGATGCAATCATCAGTTCCGACCTTGTGAACTACGTTTCTTCCTCTCGAATCACAATTCTCACAAAGCAAATATTAGTTCTTTAAACCCAAAATTCCTCTTTCCCAAACTTATTTCTCCACTCGCGAATGGAGTTCCCACATCGCCATCAGCCCCTAAATAATTGATTTTCACGTTGTGAGATCTGTGGTTTGGGTGGAAGGAACATTCACAAGGCCAGAACTGATGATCGCATTTGTGGAAGTCTACGAGGCCTGGTTCTGCCACTCCATTATACCTAATCATCACAATCTCCTATAACACCTAGAGACTCTATTCATATTTAGATTTAGAAGAGGTGTCACACCGACCCAAAGATGACCCGAATCTCAGGTCGAAAGGCTCGGGTCACAAACAACTACTTACCAATTTCAGGTCGGGTCAGAACATTCAGGAATATCACAAATAAGGGCTTTAAGCACAAGTAAATGACATTTATAGATGTCAGTCATATCATAAAAATTGGGTCAATGTTAACATAGAAGGTATGGGGATTTTATAGATTTTTCACCATTTTCTTTGATTACTTGAAAAAATAATTTTAATCTAAAAAATTCTTGGGCCATAGATTATGATAAGGCACTTATCTATTTGCTATATAACTGGAAAATGACTAATTTGTCATGGGTCACTACAGGGCCATATATATGTATAAATAAAAAACTGTAATATAGTTTATACTAATCAGAGGGTAGTTTTTAACTCTGTGTGTAGGGTAGCAAGTTTCTGAGTCTGCAAATTAATTATTTGGGATTATAAAAACTATGTCTGAATGTAAACTATCAAATCTTGCATCGAATTCTTAATGGTCTCTAACTACCTACTTAACCTTTTTAGTCTGTACAAGTATAGTCAACATTATAATTCATGCTGTATTTAAAACTGGCAGTGTCTTACTGGTCAGGCCAGTAGCCAGGATTTGCCAAGGGGGGTTCAGTTTTCCAAAATTTCCAGGGGGGGTTCACATTTGACAATTTTGGCCCAAAAATTAAGATTCTCCACTTAAAGAGGCATCTTCCCCAAGGATGATGCTCCCGTTTGTAGAAAAGTGGGCCATATTCAATAATCATTTGTATAGAACAATTTTTTAATAACAAATTTCAAGAATGTATATATATCTTTTATTGACTCTTTAGATGTCATATCATGACATATTAGTCACTAAGGTAGAGCAGTTTTTCCCATTGTCGAGTTGAAGAACTGGTATCTTTATCCTGGCTAGATCCATAGACAATTCTAGCCAGCGCCAGCCTTTTATCGAGTTAGCAGCACTCTAGTATTCGCCGGTATAGGTCAGCAGTCATAGGTCAAAGACAAATCACAAGAAGTGCTGTGACCTGGGTTTGAACCCAAGACCTCTACTTTTCAGCCTGAAGCCAGACTTCCTGCTTTTCAGACCAATGCCTTAACCACTAGGCCAACCTGGCGACCACATAGACCTATTGCTAAAATACAACTGAGCTTAATTGTTAAGCTGCTTGCTGACAGAAGATTTAAAACTGGATAGGCTATCACTGTCTAAAATATCACTTCCATTTTACTATTGTCCTTGGAAAGTAACTAAACTTGTATACATCTGTTCTGGCAGCTGGTTGGATGAATTTGGATGGATGGAACTGTCTAGTGCTAGTGTTTATTTGAGGGCTGAAGTATGTGGGTATAGTGATGGCTGCTAAGTTGTGAGTTCCTTTGTAGAAGAGGGAAAGTCTAGAAGCCTCCCTACGGGATTGTAGTGATTCCCACTGCAAATGACACAGCCTGGTTCCATTGAGTGACATTTGGTGACAAATCTGGCTGCTCTACTTTGTACCTGTTACAGCATGTTGATATCCTTCTGGCGGTAAGGATCTCATGCTGCACTAGCATATTAAGGGACGAAGGGATTCCCTATATCCCTCCAAATTTGGTTTGATGGAATAACTAACAGATATAGTGACTCTTAACATACTTTATAGACTAGATGCAAATAAAAAATAATCTTGATTTACATCATTAAAAATTCAAAATTCGGGAAATTGATATCATAGTACCCCACACATAATTTTGTCGCCAACTTCAGTTTAAGATTTTAGTGCTTTCCCATTCATATATCTTTATGAAATTTAGCATACTTAAACTTTAACATATATCCAACACTCAATTTTTTATTTAATATTAGATCTAAATGGACAAAATAAACCTTTACTTATTTGCTCACCCTTCACTTACTCAGGAACAAATTGACAATCTTTTATCAGTGGTGAGCCTATTTCTTATTGAGCACGCATAGATACATGTATTTGGAAGCTCGCCTACTTTTGTTCTCAGCCCTACCACTCCTTATCTCTACTGCTTATCTCCCCTTGTTTCATTCTCTTACATTATACTGTAGCACCAAGAAGTCTTCTTTGTGCCACATAGAAAGTACAGATCAGCCATTTAGCCATGGTAGATTATGGCACAAACCTCTTTTCCATGCTCATACTACTACTGTATATCTCTGTTTCCAGGACCCTATAGGCAGAGGCAGCAGCCCCCCACACTCCCAATTAAAATGCAGATGCTTTCTTTTTTATTTTTATTCTAATATATAATTGTGTATAAACCATGTTTACAAATTGTAATTACTACATTGAGGGACACCTATAATGCCACTGGCGATTGGGTATATGTACTTTTAATGATAATGGCAATAAAATCTCTTGATGAAAAAAAAATTAGACTAAACTTATTATTTATTTTTTAAGGTACAGCTGGAAAGTAACATTTTGGACAAAAAATTGCTATGCCTGCACATGTTATTTGCTGGTACAAAATAAAGTATGAAGGCATGTGTCAATTTACTTGCTTTTTTCAGGAAAGTATCATTACATTGTCTTCTTTTAGAATATCTGGTAGGATGGGAACTCCAGGAAATTCTGATATTTCGCACTTTCTATTTTTCCAAATTTTCTTTCAAAGTTTCCAAACAACACAGGAGCTACCATTGACCTGTTTCCAGGTTTACTAAAAGTAAATAATGTAAGGATACTTTCCTGAAAAAAGCAAGGAAAAATACACATGCCTTCATACTTTATTTTGTACCAGAAAATAACATGTGCAGGTATAGCATTTTTTTTACCCAAATTTTACTTTCCAGCTGAACCCAGAGGGGGAGAAACACCAGGGTTCAAAGATGACATACGCTTATAATGTAAATCTGTATTGAGATGACATCGTCGCTGATTTGTCAAAAGTCGGCAAACAAATGACGTCATCAATGGCGGTTTCAAAATTTTCGAAATACACTTCGAATAATATTATGTTCATTTCTGGCGTGTTAACCAATATCATAGCTTCTCATTTCCAATCAAGATAAAGAAAGGTGTACAGAATATGCGTATATCAATTAAAACATCCCATCGAAGTGTACTATTTGATAACTAGCCGATGAAAATTCGAACGAACAAAGGTGGTAAGAACGAGACATAATTATGTGTCATCTTTAAACTCTCGGGCTTTCCCTCTTAGCTGAACCTAACAACATTTTCAAAATGCTGTATCATTTTACAAAAATTGTCTCAAATTAGGCTATTAAGCATTTTGACTGCATTCTTGAATGTTTTATTCTTGCATGTTGTATATTTCACTAGCGAAGTAAATGAACTGTTTCTACTGTTTAGCTTAACGTGGTAATATTTGAATTTATTCTAAAAAATTTCTACAGAAAAAATATAAGTTTGCTCACCCATACTTCCTGGCCTCAAAATACTACTGGATTTCGGCCTTTTCTCCTCCTTAGAAGCAACATTGCCTGACGAATCACAGACTTCCTCCTCCATAGGTTCGTCCATCTCGAAAGTACAGTTTTGAACAGAAAGGGGTAAACTTTCATAAAGTTTTTAGAATTTTTGAAAAATGGCTACGTTTACCGAAAAGTTTTACGACATAAAAGTACTTCCTGACTTCCGGGATTTTATAGGGGCGCTAAAGTTCTTCAATAATCTTTAATATGCATAAATACAATTCCATGGAGTATCCTAGTATACAGCATCATAAACGAATTGATATTTGTTATTTTCTTTAAAAAAAATTGAAAATTTATTTATGAATATTAAATTTACGCATTATGCCATCTCGGCGAACTAGCCTCGCCGTTGTCGTCTAGTGGTTAGGACCCTACGTTGTGGCCGTAGTAACCCAGGTTCGAATCCTGGCAACGGCATCGCCGAGATTTTTTTATCCTGCCGATCGAGATTTTTATCCTGCTATTTTGTCTCAAGGGATATTATGTACTTTTCATTTTTTTATTTATTACGTATGCAAAGTTCCCAAGTGCACAAATGAAACGAAGTAACTATGTGTTTTATGCATCATTTTGAAGTATTTTTCATACGCATTTCAGTTATCATTATTTAAGTTCCTAGAAAAGTTTGATCAGGATGTGATCACGGACTTTTCAGGTCCGTGATGTGATCTACCATACAAAATACGACTTTACCATTGTACGTTCTGTTGAAAGGATAACTTTTGAAATCAGAATCAGAATCCCACTAACTTAGAAATTATAAAATGTAACACTAAATTTTTAGCCTACCTCAATTTGCATCAGGCAGTCAGGCATATCAATTTTTCTGTTGAAATTTGGATAACTTTTGAAATCAGAATCAGAATCCACTAACTTAGAAATTATTAGTTCAACAAGTTAAACCCAACACCACGGCGTTCATTTATTAATCAGAATGTTCTTGTTGCCGTGATTGGGTTTAACTTCCGTGCTTGCTTTCATTTGTTGCAAATTCTCACTATCGGTTATTATTTAAACGCGCATGAAATTCTTTGCGCTGCCATAGACTACCATTAATTTTTTGCATAAAAGGCCGAATAGGCACGGACGTTAAACCTAGGGCGGGCCACAAGATATGTCAGATAAGAAATAAGGTCCAGACTAGGTTTAACTTGTTGAACTAAGAAATTATAAAATGTAACACTCCATGTTTTAGCCTATCTCAATTTGCATCAGGCATATCAATTTTTGCTTACGCTGCATGTGAATTTCTTGACCGTTTTTCAAAATTCAAAAACATTTTAGAAATATCGTCCTCGAGATCTTGTTACTGTGAATTTCATCATGATTGAACTAAGGATACAGTAATTTATTCTCAGGTTAACTAAATCTTACAAAAATGTAACACTTGTAGTTTTTGAAGTCAGAACGCTATTTGCATCCCCCCAAATTTCAGGACCGAAAATTTTGGGCCCCTTAAACCAAAAAGTGGGTCCAAATTTTGAAATTTTGAGGCCCATTATCTTCAAAATTTTGACTAAAATTAAAAAATAAGGCCTTAAAAGACCCAGTAATGACCAGAAAGGTCAACCTTTTGAAGCCTTAAGAGGCCTTTTTTTTTTTTCTGGGCCCACCATAGGGGGGGGGGACGGTGGTCACGTGGTAGGGTAGTGTGATAATATTTAATAAGTCTTTAATATTTAATAAGTCTTCCCCTAGGTATCACGAAAAAGAACAATAATCCCCTGATGTGCAAATTACATGATGGTCACACGTTTTCAACAAAAACAGTTCGTCGAAGAGCATTGCAGGGCTTATTGTTCTTTTTAGTGATACCTGTGGAGAACTCATTATCTTATTAAAATATTACGCAATTCACTTGCACCGCGGGGATACACAAATACAGCCTGCACTTCCAACCTGTTGCGTTTACTTAGCAATAGTTCCTTCGATCGAAGTTCTAACATTTTGTTCATTTTGTTACCAAAACGAACCGTTTCGGTAACCAACATAATCAAGTGGATCACCAGTGATAATTGAGATCCACTCCATGCACTCTAAGATTCCTTCAATTAGTGAGTAAAGACGAGCGTATGGACGGAGGGCTTCACTATAACCCTACCGAACTTCGTTCGTTGGGATAACGATAGACGGAATTTTTTAATCCTCTAGATCAGACATCGTCTACTCACATTTCGAAACGCGTGTTTAATTTCCTTGCTAGCTAATCTTGTTGGAATTCTCCGACGACGACGATGACACCGCAAGGGTTTACTTATCATGGGCTTAAAAAGCTCATGGCATGATCATATGATAATGATTAAGGGCTGTTGAAAGTGACATAAAGTGTGTCAAGAATATCATTTATAGATAATGTAGTATTTTGTATATTGTCCTTAGGTCTAAAATCCTTTCTAAATTAATTTTCTATTCAACATATTTTCCATTCATTTGTGTAAAAGTGCTGATTTAAACTAATTTCTTTATAGGGCATGATATACAGCGATTCAATTATGCAACATGCAAGTAATCATAATTTTCCCACGACTGCTTTTATTCCACATTGTGGAGGCGAATTACCACAAACTAAAATATTTATAAGGTTAAGACCTCAAGAATTCAAAACACAATTGTCATTCCCCAAACAGTAACAATCATATTGGTAGATCCGCCTCCCGCATGATCACCGACGTATTTCACAATGAAGGTATTGATCTTGTCTGTTTTGGCGACCCTGGCACTAGGAGCCCCGGGGGTGATTCACATGCAGCAAAGACGTCATCAATACAAAGAGGGTGTCACTATTGAGGAAACACTAAGGAAATACGGCATCTCTACTCTGTTGAAATTGGCCAAGGATGCAGGACTCCCCATGGGAGAAACGGGTAATTATGATATTGTTAGATATACTTTATAACGTACAACTTTTAATTTTGAATGTGTAAAAGTAAAGCTTACATGCTATTTAATAAGTACTTTCTTAACGTGCACAGCTTGCCTTTTCTGATTTTTAATAGTCAGTTTTTCACTGCTATTTTACAGGGCAATACCCTTTCGTCTCCCCCGCATTACAGAATTAAATATTCAAGGATTTAAGCCATTTTGGGCACAGTATAATGTAGAATGACCATTCGTTGAAGGTGTACATGTTGGTTTGCAATATGCACGAAATGCGCCAGCATCGAGTGTTAATTTTAGGAAACAACGCCTGGAAGGAATGGCCATTCCACAATGCATCGAGTCTTGGGCTCAAATTCTTTTCGCACATTGCAAAATATTTTCTACCGTGTCACTTAAGATACGGAGTCACTAAAAAACATATTTTCAATGAAACTCTTTGCAAGGGTCAAGTTGGCAATGCATCAATTTCAATTTGTAGAATCAGGTTCTCACCTAGACAATCATAAACTAAAATTCAACGGATGCGGTGATCGGTTATATAATTGAATGCAGTTACGTTGGATAGCGTGTTCTAATTGGCTGGTATCGGACACACCTTGTCTAGCTATGTGTGAATGAGTTATTGAGTCAATGAACAGATTCAGTAATTTGTCTAGCCGATTGTTCAGACCGATTTTGCATTAATTAATTTCTCTCATTATATGATGCATATGTGGATCCATACTAGACATTCCAGCTTCAGAACATCACTCTGGCGGTTTGTCATTTTAGGCCCATTCACCGTGTTTGCCCCAACTGATGAGGCCTTCAGTACCTTGAGCCCTCAGATTTTGAGGGAACTTGAAAAAGACAAAGAGTTGTTGAAGAACGTCCTGCTCTACCACATCGTTGGGGGTAGTGTCATGTCCAATGACATTACTAATGAGATGACTGCCCAGAGCATGTGGACGGGACATGATATCAGGTTCAACATCTACAAGAGAATGCTAGAAAAGGACACAGTAAGTTTTATTCTGTGCCAAACAACAATGCTGTATTCTTAAATTATATGTTTCATAAATGCATGTAGCACAGTACAAACTTCAAAATCGTATGTATATTACCATTTGTGCTTGACTAGAGGGTGACAGCAGATGGCAGTCCAATCATAATTGCCGATATTAAGTGCAGTAACGGAGTAATCCACATCATAGACAGAGTCATGTACCCGATACCCAGTGACACTGCTGCAGCATTTGTAGCAGGTGAACAGAAGGAGTTTTCCACTCTCCTCACTGCCCTGACTAAAGCAAACTTGGTTGACACACTAAAAGGTATAAACTTGACACAGGTACATGTATCATTATAATGAAAAAGTCCAGGTTTCATAACTTAGTTTAAAACATAACTGCCACACTTCGAGTTTTTCTAAGTCCATTGCCAAGAGAGAAAATGGTTACCATTGGCAAACAGGCAATTACGAATTGGCAATTACGAATTCTATATTGCGTTTTGTAATAAACACTGTATGACTCTGTATTAAAAAGTAAAGTTGCTGCCAGGCTGCTATATGTTGGCATAATTTGAAGATTTAAGGGAAATCTTCTGTCTTGCAGGAAAAGGTCCATTCACCGTGTTTGCCCCTACAGACGAGGCATTCAAAAGACTCAAACCAGGAGTTCTTGATCATCTGTTGGCCAATGTTACCCTTCTTAAATGTAAGTTATCCAACGATTGGACCAGACCTACGTCCTGGGCAGATATATTTTAGCCTCGGAATAATTCCAATATCCCGAACCTCATACAGCATATTCTAAATATATTGACCATTGCAGCTGTATCAGAGTCCCATGTAGAACTATACTAGATAGTACGAGTGTTCTATGTTGACGATTGCAGCTGTATTGGAGTACCACGTAGTACCAGCGTTATATTTTGACCATTGCAGCTGCATTAGAGTCCCATGTAATACTAGTGTTATATATTGACCATTACAGCGGTTTGAGAGTTCCACATAGTACTAGCGTTTTACTAGTGTGTTGACCATTGCAGCTGTATTAGATTCCCATATATATGATACGTGTGTTATATACATGATATATTACCTATTGCATGTAGCTCTATTAAAGCAATGTGTAGTACAAGTGTTATATTTTGACCATTGTAGCTGTATTAAAGTACCATGTACTAATAGTGTTATATTTTGACCATTGCAGCTGTATTAGAGTATCATGTACAGTAGTACAAGTGTTATATTTTGACCATTACAGCTGTATTAAACTACCATGTAGTACACGTGTTATATTTTGACCATTGCAGTTGCAGCTGTATTGGAGTATCATGAAGTACTACACGTGATATATTTTGACTGTATTAGAGTATCGTGTAGTAATATTTGTGATATATTTTGACCATTGTATTTACAATAGAGTGTGATGTAGTAATAGTGTTATGTTTTGACCATTGCAGCTGTATTAGGGTACCATGTACTAATAGTGTTATACTTGACCATTGCAGCTGTATTAGAGTACCATGTTGTGTCGGGTACCTTCTTCAGCGATGGTTTTGATGACCAAGCTAAGATCACCACTCTCAATGGCAAGTCTGTTATTGTAAGGCTACTAGAAGGTGAGTGTTTGGAAAAATCCTTGAGATATAACCTTAGTGTTGGGCTTCACTCAGTATCTCTGAGAAATGTGAAAACAAATCTGAAATGTCTTCTGCAGAGTCCACTTCAAATCCTGCAACAGGTCACAAAAGGACACACTGACTACATGTAATGATTATGTAAAGGGAGGGGGAGTTGTTTGTAGAATGAATCGGAGGAGTTTTTCAAACATTTTATTAACTTATAAGATTGCACCATATAATCCCAAGAATATTTCTCATTTTCAAAAATTATCTATGGATTAACACCCAGGTATTTTCATTTTTCAAACTCAGAGGACTGGGAATTATTGATTATATTCACTTTTGAATAATATAAATGCTGTTTTAAGTAGGTTTCATGTATGCCAATAATTCATAATTGTATAAATGGTGCCTTAATCCCTAGAATTTTCTCTTTGAGGAATTTCCCATAGTAATCCAATGGTACAGTTCCAAGCAGATTTTGAGATAACAGGAAAGTAAATCTTCAATACACACCTTATTGGGTTGTTTTGGTTTATATCACAACCCAATTTTTATTCAAAAGCGAATCAATTATTCATAGTCCTCTGAAGTTTGAAGAATGAAAATACCTGGGTGTTAATACAAGTACATAGATAATCCTAGATTCGGATGATTTTTTCTCTCTCAGACAACTCCCCCTCCTTTCAGCTTAATTTGATTTGTTGATGACCTTGACCAGTGCTGAAGTTGAGGTTTATAGTTAAAACATTCAAAATACTAAGCTTTAGAATTACAGTGGTGTCACAGAACAAAAATCTTTGGGACGATCTAATGACACTGGTACAAAGTTGAGGAATACAATATACTAAGTCTATCATTGGAGGTTTACAGTATAATGGAGGTATACAACAGACCTAGTATACATTCTCATTGTGTTTCAGATATTGTTGTTGTCAACACAGCGTTTGTACAGTACCCTGACAATGTTGTCACCAATGGTGTGGTTCACGGAATACAAGCTGTCCTTATGCCACCAAACGTCCACCTCCAGTTAGTTGAGAGTTAGATCAGCTTTACATTTGGAACTCCACTGCATACTTATAAAAATTGATTGACTACATAAAAGTCCATGTTAGATATGGGGCTAAAATTTCCAACATCATGAACCATTTTGACGCTTGACTTTTATATCTAATGTATATTCAATTTGCCAGATGTCAAAAATTCTAATGAAGCCTTATGCACAGTAAAAACAAAGATATTTTAATACTATTATAGTTATTAGTATATTATTAGTTATTCAAATTGTATGACATTTTCTGTTTCTATATTTTCCCTTTTTGACAAAAAAAAATATATACAGTATATATTCTACATTTCAAATAAATCTCTGAGAATTAAAACTAAGTAATAATTAGTTTCAAAGACAAGTTCTGAAATCTTCCATTGAGATTCCTTTTTTTATTATGTGCAACCCATTAGTTACAGGCCATTAGACTTTATTTGTGAATGTTAGGGACAAATGACAAACCAAATGTAAGGAGTACGTACATTATATCTTTGGTATAATGCGACATCTGAATTAAATGAATGGGGAAGACCTCTTGATATTCCTATTGAGATTTGGAAGACAGTATCTGTTCAAGATAAACTGTCAGACTGATAGAATTTGTTCAATCTCTGAGTCTTCCAAATTCACAAAATAAAAACATGCAAAACCCATCCAAGTAAACATTTTTCTAAATTCCAAGTGAACACCTAGAAATCATTTTTCCGGCTCAACTTTAGACATCAACTTTTTTCTCTTATTTTAGTCTTCTATTAGAAACTCTCATCGCAATGTAAACACTCTATCAGTTATTAGACACAGAACCCAGTGTTCACTTTAAATAGGATTTACTGTGTACATGTATCAGTAAAAGGAAATGGCTACACCTTTCTCTCAAACTGTCTCGTGACAAAGTGGCAAATTCGATGAAAACTAAAAATATTAAGTCACACATTTTGAAAGAGAAGAAAAGGCTGATACCTTATGATCAGTGGTACAGAATGAGATATGTATAAACATTAAGCATGAACGAATTAGCTTATGTCTAAGATAAACCATCAGCATATTGAAATTGATCACTACTATGATATTCTCCCATATCTAATGCCACTTCACAACTTTCCTTCACCATTTGTTCTTTATCTGTAGCATATTTCTTCAATACATTCATACAGTCCTCTGTTGCTATGGCACCCAGGGCCTCAGCACATTCATGACGCACCATAGCGTGTTCTGATAAATCCATTAAATTTGCAGCTAGTTGTTTGGATGCAGCTTCGTGCTGCATTTGTCCTAATATGTAAGCAATCTCATGACGATAAAGAGCACTGCTACATTTTAAACCATCTGCTAGGGCGAGTACAGCATCAGAACTTCCAATATTTCTCAATGCAAACATTGCTCTATAGCGCTCAAATAATGATAATTTTTCATCTAATAAAATCTCCCGTAATTTATTTATGTCATTTTCAACACTTGGTGGTGCTGGATCAACAGATTTATAATCTGCACTCCCCGTCAGATTTTCTTGTTTAGATGGGTCTTTGTTTTTCCACTCCAAGAGATCAAGTGCAATCTGACATGTCTCAGATATCTGAAATCAAACAATTTAAAAAATATATTCAAATGACACTGGTCTTGATTTGCTTTTCGAGCCAATTGTGCTCAAAACAACAGCAACTTCTTGGAGTAGCAAAGACCAATGCATAAAACATTTTATTAAAACTCCTCATTATGAAAATTTCTTGATAAAAATTCAATATCGGCAACACCAATGTATAGAAAACTCCATCAAAGATCTTACAAGCAACAAGACTGCTAGTATCTCAAAATGATTAATATTCTAGATAAACTTCAAAAAAATAAATCTGTCACTTGGAAATATATTTCTAAAAATTACAAATCAATGGAATTGGGACATAAACCTTTTTTCTGGAATAGTTCTAATAATATTTTTGACAATTCTAAAATAGAATGTGTCCAAGACTATTGATCATGCAAGTCACATATAACCAGAACAACGGCAACGCCAAAGCATAGCGAATCCCATCGAACATTTTTCAAAAGGGGCACCTTCTACCAAAAGTGTCATTAGACAGTGTGCCATGCTTATAATATTCACATACCAAATATGAACAAAATCGCTCTACTACTTTTCGAGTTATAGTAAAATACGTTAAAATGGTGGCCATTTTGAAAAATGGCCGCCTTCTACCAAAAGTCTCATTAGACAGTGTGCCATGCTTATAGTATTCACATACCAAATATGAACAAAATCGCTCCACTGCTTTTCGAGTTATAGTAAAATACGTTAAAATGTCCGCCATTTTGAAAAATGGCCGCCTTCTACCAAAAGTGTCATTAGACAGTGTGCCATGCTTATACGTATTCACGTACCAAATATGAACAAAATCGCTCCACTACTTTTCGAGTTATAGTAAAATACGTTAAAATGTCCGCCATTTTGAAAAATGGCTGCCTTCTACCAAAAGTGTCATTAGACAGTGTGCCATGCTTAAAATATTCACGTACCAAATATGAAAAAAATCGCTCCACTACTTTTCGAGTTATAGTAAAATAAGTTAAAATGGCAGCCATTTTTCAAAATGTCCGCCATTTTTCAAAATGGCCACCTTCTACCAAAAGTGTCATTAGACAGTGTGCCATGCTTACAGTATTCACATACCGAATATGAACAAAATCGCTCCACTACTTTTCGAGTTATAGTAAAATATGTTAAAATGGCGGCCATTTTGAAAAATGACCGCCCTCTACCAAAAGTGTCATTAGACAGTGCGCCATGCTTATACGTATTCACATACCAAATATGAACAAAATCGCTCCACTACTTTTCGAGTTTTAGTAAAATAAGTTAAAATGGCGGCCATTTTTCAAAATGTCCGCCATTTTTCAAAATGGCCGCCTTCTTCCAAAAGTGTCATTAGACAGTGTGCCATGCTTATAGTATTCACAAACCAAATATGAACAAAATCGCTCCACTACTTTTCGAGTTACAGCAAAAATCGTAAAATAACGAGTAAAGGCCACCATTTTTCAAGATGGCTGCCATGTGCTTTTTTAATATCTACATTTCTAGCTTTATTAATGTCCTATATAAAACATTTAACATTTAAAACATATTGCTATTACAGTTTTACATATTGCACCTAAATTACTGTTAAATCGGCACTAAAATGGCCGCCATTTTTAAATGAGCGGCCATTTTGAAAATTGGCTTTCGAGCAGAATTTCTATCCCCATAGGGTATATGTGTACAAAATATGAATAAAATCGGGCCAATGGTATTTGAGTTATTGCCCGGACGGACAGACGGATGTACGTACGGACGGACGGAGGCGTTCCCTATATCCCTCCGAACTTCGTTCGATGGGATAATTATGAACTAAACATAATATTTTAAGGTTGTTTATAATGATAATCACAGCTATTGGCTCTTTAAATGTAAAACACACATAGTTTTCAAAAACTGACCTCAACATGTTCACTCTTCAAGTGTTCAGTCAGAGCTGCTATCACCTCAGGGGTCTGTTCACCAATTGCTCCAATGGCTTCACCAGCCTCATGACGTACAATCACATCCTGATTTGGATCAGATAATGTCTTTATCAGGGCAGGTAGTGCATAACTGGAAATATCACAAGTACATCCATATAATGTCGAGGGGATTACCCAGTCATGTTGCCAAAGACAAATTTGGAAACAGAAAACAAAACATTTCCAAGTCCTTAAAGGGAGAATAAGATCCATAGGAAGTAAGAAAGTTGCAAGCAACATGTATAGTTGACCTACCAATATATTCCTCACAATCTAAAATATAATATCTCCAAAAAGATCCAGGATATGTTATAGATTGGTGAAGTTATAAAGGATTTAGAGTGCCAAAATGGCGAAAATTTGTTTAAATTCCCTCAAATAATAAGAATCGTAACCATAAAAATAGAAAAATAATACATTCTGAATGCATAATTGTAAAAATCTTTAGTTTTCCTCAAATACAGTATGTACAGTGTGGTCCAGAAAATGGGACACTCGTATTTCGAAAATAGATATTGATTTTCTTGATGAAAACATGTCATACTATATACCAGTGGATAGGGAATTAATTCATCTTTAATTTGGTATATCATAAGTTCAAATTTATTATAATGTCTGTTAACCAGCGTCCATAATATAAAAAAATGACGTCATTTTCGTTTCAAAATGGGTTTTCCAAAACTAGCATAAACCAAGTTTTATTGTCAATTTTATTTACATAAACAGATGTTCAACATGTCCACCATTTTGATCAATAACGCAGATGCGAGTAGGTAGTTACCAGTTTCACCACCAGGTGGCTCATTCTGGTCAGATAGCATGGCGGGTATAGTAGAAAGTTCGCTTTAACTGAAATTACATCTGTTTTAGTGGTTCAATTTTCATATAACCCTTATGTATCTGATAGTTATGCAAATTAAGATATGTCCAGCAAAGGAAAATGTTATCCGTCCAATATAAGAAAAGATATTTCACTTTTTATGATTTTGTAACATGGGGTCTATGGGGAATCAACCCGAGCTAGAAGTCATATTTTCAACAAACAAAAAAATTTTCAAAGTTGATAAACAATTTTCGAAACCATATTTCTAGATGTACTTTTACATGTAGATTTCAAATATGTCATCACTTTGACTGAATTTTGAATATTTAATGACGTAAATCATGATTTTTTCTACTCGCATCTAGTCTATTGTAGCCCTTAATTTTGGCCTAAATTGGTCAATAACATCATTGATATGCTGTTGAGACAATGAATTTCACATCTCAATAATTCTGTCCTCGAGGGACTGAATAGATCTTAAAGATTTATCTGGTATATCAATTCTGTCAGTCCTCCCCATACGTTGATTACGTTGGGTAATCGGGTGATCTGGGCGAGGCAGTAATCTAGGCACATTTTCTTTTAAACATTTGACACTCTTGTGAGATCTATTGATTGGAGCCCCATCTTGTTAGAAAATGTAATGATTAGAAAATGAGCTCATATCAGGATGGTTCAAAAACAACATAATTGGACCATCCGATTTCAACATCTGCGACTACTGCGTATTTGGAGAACTAACAGAATTGATTTATCATGAACCCCTTACATCTTCTCAGTCCGACAGTCCCTTAAAGCAGATATGAAATGGTATTTTTTACCTAAAGGAATCAATATAATTTTTTGATATATGTATTTGGACATGTTTTCTCATCAGTATTGTGAAAATTATTTCAGTCTAACTATCATTATAGCTGCTTAATAAGCAATATTCGAATTGGTTGTGACGTTATTGGCCCCCACATGATCTCTCACTGGTCCCTACATGGCACGTTTTGGTCCATTAAATCATGATGTCATAATGCCTAAATGTTTTGTTATTTGCTTACACAATAATCCTATGGTTGCCGTGACATTGTGATTACCAAGGAACCAATAAACCAAAACTGTATATTGTGTATGACGTTACTAATCATGTGGGGGCCAATCTGATTGATCAGTTAATGTTATAACGTTATCTATGACCGTTAACAGTTATCTAACGTTTCATTTATAATGGCCATTGCAAGAACTCTACATTGGGCTAACAATGAAGAAAACTGCATTTTTGTAGCTGCAAGTTGAGAAAACCTATTTCAGTTGTCCTTTAAGGACAGAATTATTGAGAAGTCGAATTCACTGTCTCAACATCATGTCAATGATGCATTTGACTAGTTTAGGCCAAAATTGAGGGCTATAATTGATCAAAATGGTGGACATATTGAGAGTCTGTTTGTGTAAATCAAGTTGACAAAAAACTTGGTTTTTGCAAGTATCGGAAACCTGTTTTGAAACGAAAATGATGTCATCTATATTATGGACGCTGGTTGACAGACATTATAATAACTTTGAACTCATGGTATACCAAATTAAAGATAAGTAAATTCCCTATCCACTGGTATATAGTATGACATATTTTCCTCAAGAAAATCAATATTTATTTTTGAAATACGAGTGTCCCATTTTTTGGACCACCCTGTACTTTGGGTACTTTTAGAAAATAGACCTGACAAGGAATGATAAAGAGTCCAAAATGTTCTAAAATTGAGACAATTTTTGTCGAGATCTGATTCTGCCTTTAGTCAATGTTTCCGAAAATGGCTGAAAAGTGCAGGGACATATATCTAAGATACTGACAAAGTTCATCTTTTCTAGTTTTATGAAAAATGATTAAGTACAGTATTGAGACTTTGGCTTAAAAACAGCTTTTCAAAAAATGGGAATTTCTGAAGAAAGAAAAAGATCCAGTGCTGAACTGCAGTGATTCCACATGACAAAAATTCCGACTCATATATTACATACCGTATTCTCTCTAATCAATGCACAGTGTGGCTCACAATGTGAATGTGTTTTTGTGTCTTAATCAATTATATTGATGAAAAAATTCACTCAAACCCTTCTGCCGAGGCTGCCATTTTAGAAATTGATGACGATACCTGAGTAAAAATCTAAAGGCTTCTGTTACAGACTGGTCTTCATAGTCAGAGAAAATACTTTTTATGTTCATAAATTACAACTCACTGGTGGATCCAGAAGCTAGCAAGGGGGGGGGGGGGGGGGCAAATGTCCAAATTTTTAGGGCCCCTAAAACTCAAAATTGGTCCCAAATTTTGAAAAAAAGGTCCATGAGCAATATGGCAATTGATTTTGGACAGTCATATCTTCATACCATAAGTACTTTCTGGGTATGAATATGGTGGCTTTTATTAAAACAATATGTTTGCTTTAAAGTGAAGTCCTCATGATAGTAAAATGTCAATCCAACTCTCTGAAAAATTATGGATTAGGACCCCACCTTGTCACTTTTTTTAAAAATGTAAGACTTATTTTCTAAAAAGAAGATCTTGTTTTTCTCAATTTAAATATATCAAAAGTTTCTTCTACACTATATTAATAACTTCTGAGAAGGGGATGGGTATTGAAATGCGATAAAGTTAAAAACCACATTTCCCATGTGATTTTCTCATAGGAAAAACTCATGCTATCCATTGTTTTCAGCATGATTTTGGTCATCCAAAATTGATATCTTCAAAACTAGACTTTCAATACCATGTTACTTTTGAAGATGTTTTCGACCCCATTAGACCCCAAATAATTTCAACATTCTGAAAAAATTGTTGACGTGGGGTCCCTATTTATAATTTTTCGAATTGTTCGATTGATATTTTTACCATCATCACTTCAATTGAAAGGAAACATATTGTTTCAATGAAAACCAATGTATTTATGCTCAGAAAGTACTCATGGTGAAAGATATGACCGTCTGAAATCACTTGCCATACTATGCATGCACCTTTGGCCTATTAAAGGCCCAAAAAGGCCAAGTTTAAAAAGGAAGGAATGTTTGTTTTTGTGGGAAAAGATAAAGAAAAATTTCTTTATCGGAAGCCCCCATGATGTTTATATTTTAATCTTTTAATTTTTTCTTGATTTTTGTTACTCAAGTTGCCAGAGTCTTGCATGGAAAAGCTGGGTGTGTATTTATTGGAGTATATGTGCCTATTAAAGAGAATATGGTAAGTCAATGATAGTTTTTATCGTATGATCTGTAAAATGAAGCCCTATGATTTGTCATTTCTTGTGCTGTACAAACCTGTATTGTTAATCTCAGATTGTCCCCATTGAACATCTCCGTCGCAATACAGAAAATATTGGTACGGAGGGGACAATCTCAGTAGCAATACAGAGGATCACACGATAAAAGCGTTATTGAATGATTTGAAGTGCAATACAGGATATATTCTGTCTCCATATTCACTTCGTCTCGTGCCAATATGGAATTCTTGTCCTCGAGCAGAATATATCCTGTATTGCACTTCAAATCATTCAATAACTTACTATAACTTATAGTACATTACTTTTTGAAGCAAATAGAAAGAAATATTGTCAAGTACATAATCATATTTTTTATATCCTTGCTAGAATCATTTACAAAAATGCAAGCCAATGTGTCCTTTAGTAGCCAGAATATAATATCCACAAAACCAAATGGTGAGAACTTTAGAACTTTCTGATAACAACTGAAAGGTAACTTTATTACAGGAGATCCATTCTCTAAATCAGTTTGACCAAATCCCATATATTAAAGGACTCCATGCTTACTTCTAGTATTTAAGACTACTCTACCTGTTTTGCATTTGACCTAACACATAAGCACATTCATGTTTGAACAGTGCTGAGGGGTCAGTTGTGATACATGCCACAATGGAGTCAATGGCGATCTTTCCACCAATATTTTTCAGAGTGAACAGATCCCTGTAGCGTTGTTTCAGAGGTCGTGAAAGGTCTTGTATACCTTCTCCCAGAGACTCGATATTATTTTCATTTATTTCTACTGACATGGTTTATGATTGCTACAGCTGTGCATTCACCCTGAAATGAAAGTGTAGATGATAACAAGCAAACATTCACTAAAAGTATTTTAAAATGTATTTTAAAATGTATTAAATTTTAACATAAGAAAACGCGTATAACATTACTTTATGCTTAGTTTGAAAATATCAAAATATGCAATTAACATCCTGGGCTTAAATCTTTTTTAAGAATAATACGTAATGTTCAATTTCTGAGTTGTTTAACGTTAATCTGGTATACACTACATTCAATATGACAAAAAATTGCTTTCCAATGGTTGATCATGGAGAGCACACGTAGCATTGCACCATGTCTCGTAATCAGTGTGAAGACTGAAAATGTCAGTCCTCTATCTTGCCCTACTAAGGAAACAATAGAGTGAAGACAATTGTCGGTACCCAAGCAAACTGGGCAGTCTCCAGTACCGACAATTCGGAAGCAAATACCTGCCCTGTCAACCCTCACGCATTAGGCGTGATTGTCACACATTTGCTGGAAAAATAGAAATCACGCATCAATTTAGCGTGTATGATCAAATATCACGCAAAGCACACATTTTGTTGAAATTTTTAAAAATCGTTTTTTGTGAAATGATGACACGGTAAAATACCGAATGGCGAAAAAAAGGGAATGCATTCCGTTCGGTCTTTTCACGCGATTGCCGTTTATGTCACGCATTTGGTCAAAAATATGTGTATATATCACGCATTTGTTTCGAAAATATTCACACCTACCCCCCTCCACCCCCCGTTGACGGATTTGAACAGCGAGCTGGAAAAATTTTAGGTGTCCAAAATCTGCCAGTGTTCACTGAAGCTGTCCAAAATTTGAAGGAAGGTGTTCAACATTTGGAAGTCACTCATGTTAGATGGTCCCAAGTTGACAGCCCTGAAATACTCACTTATCAGTCTCCCGTACCGACAATTGTCGGTACGGGCACGGACATCTAATACGTTCTTCCAATTGCCCTGGAACTATATTTATACCAGGACTGGCATCCAGATCCAAGTATTTTTTAAGACCGCCGACTCTCGTTGGGCTATTTATCCCTATTGACTCAGTTGTTCATATAAATTTACGTACCTTAGATGCTTTGTAATCGACGTAGATAGAAAATATTGTTTCCTAAATTGTTCTGGAAAGCGATAATTATAACTAAATGTACTTTGAACAGGTCGACTGACAAAAAAGCCGGGCTTCTGGCACGTCTCGTTCTCGCTCTCAAACAAAACGTGAAGAACGTGACGTCACTTCCGAATCATAGCATTCAAAATAAGTAGCGTTCAAATCCCAATACCATATGTAATATATCGGTGAGAATCCTCGCTTAACACGCTGGAGACCCGGGTTCGAATCCCGTACTCGCTCTTTTGTTTTTTTTCGAGGTCGTTATCTTCATCGTCTAGTTTACGAATACCAAATGTCGATGTGATGTTTTAATTGATAAATACGAATTCCTTACACATTTCGTTATCTTATTGTGAAATAGCAAACTAAGAGATATCTTTACTCGCTAGGAATTAACATAATATTATTTGAAGCGATTTTAGAAAATTTTGAAACCGCCATCTTGTATTGATGACGTGATCACCATCGGTCAAGGTCAGGTCAAAAGTCATCCATCTTGCCATTTGCCCGGCGTTTTCTTACCAGTCGAAAAAAAACGATGAAATCACGTTGAAAATAAAATATACACTTTAAAATTGAGGCTGATCGAATATGACAAGACTCCATTGAATACAGCTGTGCAATTTACAGTCACCAAGATGAGCTAATTCGGAGAGATTCGGGAATTAAAAAAGGTAAGCACTTCCGGTTTCCCAACTTAAAAGTATTTGAAGTCCCAGAATTTCGCCAGAAACATTCTCTCTGACTGTGGGTACGGGAGACAGTCCGTGTGCATTATGTGCAGTAAAGCTGACGCCTTTTTGTAATTTAGGGAGTTTCGGCCAAAGTCAGCACTATCAATGGTATACTCTACCTTTAGATATAACCCTCTATATACTATTCCCTATATTTTTAGAATATACCATTGATAGTGCTGACTGTGGTTTCGGCCACGTTAATTTTTTCCGAAAATAAATGGCAAAGTTCATTTGCCATGATGCCCAGGACCAGTTATATCAAGATTCTCCTGTAGTATTAATGCATCTTGCTTGCTTTCAACTGTAACATATTGTACATATTTTCCATTTTTCATATACTGTTGCAATATGGTCACTTGATAGGCTTATTTTCGTTTTTTATATTACCTTTATAAACTTTAACACCAGTTCACCGGAAGCACTAGAGGCAATCTGCGCGAGATTCCATTTTTTGGTTCGGTTTTTAGCGCATGCACATTAAATCCAGCAATTTAATTGGTTCAAATTATTATAACGCATGCGCAATTAATAACTTATAAGAACATTTAATTTAAGATAGATGTCACTTACATTCATTATTTCACAGCAGTCTCTACCCATGATGCACCATATAGTGCGGGAATATTTTTGTTTAGTGTCAAAACAAAAAGTTAGTATACACCCAAAACAAATGTAATGACATAATATCAACCTGCCCCGGATTGCTAGACGCATAGGCCCCGGGAACATGTATAAAATAGCGAGTCGACATCTGTATTACTTACTACTTCTTCTTTTAGGTGGTTATCCCCAACCAGCAATTATGAATATGCCAACTTTCGATGGTTAATTCATTGTGCAAAGATTATCATCTTTTATCGATATCTTTTGTTTTTCATTTGAATAAAATTGAAATTATATGAAAATATTTATAGGCCTATTTTTAATGGACACGTAATTTGACCCTCCAATACAGTAGGTCAAAAATTAATGATAGGCTTAAACTTGATGAATTTTGAAAATCGTCATTCCCATGTTAACCAATTGGAAATGGTGGGTTCGGGGCAAATGAGAAATCAGGATATCTATCCAGTTATTAAAAGATTCAGCAAAAATGATAGAAAATTGAATTGTCTAACCTTTTTTATACACTAGGTGTTAGTAATCTGAAAACGTTATTTCAATGGCAGAGGTTTTTTGAAAAATAACCTTGACTATCTATAACTTTGCCTACATAATTTGTATTTTTTGTAAGGACTCGGATTTTGAAATTTTGTTTAAATATTTTTGAAAATAATTAAAAAACGTAAAAAGATTTTTTTTGTAGAGGTCGCAACGGTACTGAAAACCAGTACCGGTAACCGTCACGCTAATAACCGTACCGTTACCGAAATACCGGCAAAAATATGTAAGATAAAATGCCAATGCGCTGCCACCCCAACTTTGTTCCTAATTCTCTCCGTAGCTTCGCAAGTCTATATACATACATGGTACAAGTCTGATTTGAACCCATACTGATGAACTTCACGAAATAGTATGTAACTATCTTACGAATCAAGATGTATTTTTAGTTTTAAATTAAATGTATTACACATTGCAAACCATTTCTCAACTGTATCAATAGCAAGCGACGTGCAGTAAACATGGGGGTGGGTAGGTAAAATAGATTTTATTGACTGTCTTGAGTTCTGGAAAGTAAACGGAGGAAAATATCCTGATGTGGCGAGTTTGGCTGAAACATATCATGCTATTCCTGCGTCATCCGTGTCAAGTGAACGCCATTTCAGTGCAGCTGGCAACACCATCACTTCCAAACAGGCACAACTTCAACCTGAGGTTGTCAATGCCTTGTTGTTCGTAAATGACTATTACAAACATGATTCAGTTTCTGGATCTGACTTTGACACTACAACTACACCGGAACTGCCAAACATAACTACAACCAAATCTGAGCATAAAGCCACTACACCCGAGCTGCCAAACATGGACATCACACCTGAACTGCCAAACATGGAAATCACACCTGAACTGCCAAACATGGACATCTAAATGTCTATGTAAATGTACGCATCGTGAAATGGAAATTAAACGAAATAATTAAAAAAACGACGTGTCTTTTATTTCCCCGGGGATCATCGTCGGTTAACCGGTTAATAATTTCAATACCGGTAAATGCTCAATTCCGTACCGAAACCGTATAACCGGAATTACCGTCAGCCTCTATTTTTTTGAAAAACTTCGAAACCATCGAATATCACTTTTCAAACCATCGAATATCACTTTTTAAGACGTGATATTCGATAGTCTAAAAGTGATATTCGATGGTTTGTGATTTTTTTGCTAAAATATGATATCTTGATCCACATATCAAGTATATCTTCATGTGATATTCGATCTATATCCTTGCAACCATGGGATAATATGTCATATGACTTGCGGCAAACCTACAATTTCCCATGGGTTAAAAGAAAAAGCTTGTAGTCCAAAGCCATCTGCGATTTTAAAGGACAGTTAAGGTACCATTCGGAAACGTTCTTGATTTTTTGAACTGAAATGTTGCATTCTAAATTGAATAGCTTGACATATTAATCAGGGGGTCAAGATGTGAAAATCGACATGTTTGAGACGGACCCGAATTTCAATTTGAAAATTCGCCTATTTTTCCTTGGAGTTTAATGCCTTGGGTAACGAATGTACAAATGTATACAGATATACACTACAGGGCATCAAATAAGTCTGTTCTCCCCCATTAACTTTTTAAATTTAGAAATATCATAGGGTTTTTATATATCATTTTAAAGGGAATTTAATTTTCTGATCACACACCAAATTTCAGAGAGATTGGTTAAATTTAGTGATTTCCATATTTCACATTTCGTTCGTATAATTTCCCAAAGCAGCTTGGACCGAAAAGCTTCTAAAAGCATTCTTGATACATTTGAGCAATGTTTCATGGCTATAAAGTTTCTCCTCTGGTTGATTTTCGATTAATTTTTCGACCCCGTCCTTAATGATCGCCGTTTCAACTTTTCACTGTTCATTCATTATCCTGGTAATTTTACTCTTTTTGACGCAATCAATGGTCAAGAAACATTGTAGCAGTTTATTAGGAAGAGTTCGCTATTGATTTTCTAGGAGTGATCAGCATTGTCCATAAGCTTTAGAATGATATATGGGAAAGTATGATAACTTTAAAAATAAAAAAGTTAAGTGGGGAGAACAGACTTATTTGACGCCCTGTATACTGTATGTCTATTTAAAAAAACTTTTTCTTAACAAAATTAATTTCACACTCAAGCGGTTTTGAGTGAATTGCATCGATTGAACGAACAAGTAAAATTTATAAATTAGTATTATGATTACTGAATCAACAGTACAGTTCATCGAATATATCAACGTATGCAGAAGTATCACTCACCAATCTCACGTAATAAACTTACTCAATCCAGGATTCATATGTCAACCCATATGTCGTTCCTTAAATTTGTGTTGGGTGTACATACTTGGGAATTAAAGGCGAATTGGCGAGACTACCTTTTTAATGATTTAATGTTTTAATGATTATCATAATGTCAACACTAATAAATTAAAATCTAGGCTTAAAGAAAGATACGAAATACTTTGAAAACATGCTAAAAGATACCAATGGCAAATTAAGGTTTTATAAACAAATCAAAAGGCCAAATTTTAATTTTATTCACTATTCAGACAGTCAAAATGGTCAAGCATAAATGTGTTATGTATGATCAATTGTACCAGTAACAGTAAAAACATAAGGATACGACGTCAGATACTGTACATCACGGCGTAACAGTGTAATTGTTCATTTTACCGACAAAATGCAAAGATTTACGCGATAAATATGCGCAATGCTCCTCCAAGTAATTGCAAACGTTTTAATATTCGTGGAATCTTCTTAAAAACTTCAAGTTTTGTTCAGATTTATGTGCGCTTCAATACAATTCTATATTCAAAAAGGTTGTGTCACGATATACAGAATTAGAATCACCAGAAAGTAGACATTTCAAACCCTACCCGTTTTCTTCTTTGTCGCGCTTTTCGGCCCTGCGCTCTCGTTGTCGCACCGTCTTTCTAGACTCTTTCACAATGCCCCTTGTCATATTCAACTGATAAACACAGACGGGAAGCTATCAAGGATTGTTAAATGCATTATTTGTAATTTATTTTAACTCGAATATTTAGTTTTATTTATTTAAAGCAATGAATAATAAAGGAGAACATATAATACGCTAACGGCGTAACGTCTTATTTTGTAAAGGCTTCACTTGGGGTTGCGGTGATAAAACGATGTCTATCTCAATATATACTGGTTCAAATTAAATGAAATTAATTGTATGTAGTAAGGGGTATATTTAAAAGAACATGCTGAAACATTGGAAAGTTTTGAATGTTTATCCCTTAATTAGAAATATTTGAACTCAAAAAATGAAACGTAATTTTGTGAATTTTTCACAAGGCTTCACTTCATATTTCTTTCAATTTATACTTCTTACAGACTGAATTTTAATTGAAATGTAATAGTTTTTTGATAAAAATATAGAATACGATATGACTTTCAGGAATCAAAAAAGAATAATTCACCTTTCAAACGATTTAATGTTTAATTGATCAAAATATATATCTTGTTGGTACGAAATTCTGCCTGTCGACACTTTTTTTGCATAAATATAAGCGTTAAGTTAGCATTGTTATATTATGACGTCATCACACAGAATCTGTTTGTCTTTTCCAAAATGGTGAATTTAAATATTGTGAAAATTTGAGAAAGATCCGTTGGGAAATGAAAAAGTTATCTTCATTTTTCGTTTAAAATTAAAATCACTTTTCTTCAAAATGTTACAGTCGACACCCGGTTTTAGCATAGAAAGTCGCATAATACGGCTTGCGTGATTCTCATTTAAAAAGTCCCAAATCAGTTATTTGGAATTCTGATAGGCAAAATATTTCATGAACATACGTGTTCAACTGATGACGAAAAATTGTAGAAAAATATGATTTTGCTGTCGAGATATTGCGGTTTTAAAAGTAAGTACGCATTAAAAATGCAGTAAAATGCCGCGATGTACAGTATCTGACGTTGTATCAAGGTATTTTGAAGATAAATACTGCTGCACATAGACAGCATAGAGGGTCCTTCATTATCATGAATAACTGTGAGCCTTCTGGCAGTAGGTCCATATCTGGATGGGCAAAATTATAAAACAGGCAAGATTTCTTGATCACAGAGAATTCCTAAATCACTGGTGATCCACTCGATTACGCTGGTTACAACCGTTTTGGTAACAAAATGTCGCAACGCCGGAGGTACGATTTTTCTTTTTTCCCTATTTCACGCGTTGTGAGGCAGAATCCCCACGACGTTTTTTTCTCACAACGTGCATCAGTATCCTATGTTTTAGAAAATGTACATGTTTGCGAAAAAATAGCTCAGAAGACAACAGAATCGTCGATTTACTTCCTCACTTAAGTTACATAAACGGTTATGTAACTTAAGTGAGGAAGTAAATCGACGATTCTGTTGTCTTCTGAACTATTTGTTCGCAAATATGTACAATTTCTTAAACATATGATACTGATACACGTTTGTACTAAAAATGTCGTGGGGATTCTGCCTACAACCTGTAAAATAAGGAAAGGAGAAAAATCGTATCTTCGATGTTCCGACATTTTGTTACCAAAACGAACTGTCTCAATACATAGTCTAAGTCATTATCAACAATTATTATCATAATTGGAAAATTAATTGATTGTAGGTCATCGTGATTGAATAATTGAAAACTTAATTGACTGTAGGTCTAATTCCCGGTGTGAAAGAAATTATGGTCCCCCTGGGATTATGGTCCTCCCTTTTAAAGGCCCTTACCTGCCCTGATTGTGTATAAGATAATAAGGGAAAGAGCTCAAAGAGGTCACCATATAAATCAATGGAGAGTAGGATCATAATTTGATAGGACCTCCTACCCTTTTACACCTGGTCTGATTTCAGATTACGCGATTATTGACAATCCATTCCCCCACGCCCCCGTCTAGATCCGCTGGTGATTTATAAGTAAAAAGATTCGGGAGGCTCTTTTATTGAGACCACAGCCTTGACTCAACGTTTCTTCGACTTCCATGTAAATACACCAGGATTGGAAGGAATTAAAAAAATAAAATTACCTTTTTAATTTTTATTTCCCGATTCTCGCCTTGATTAGCTCATCTTGGTGACTTGAACTTGCAAAGCTGTATTAACAATAGTTAAACAAGTTAAACATAATCGGCTTATTCATTAATCTGATCTTAATTGGGCCCGGATTAAGTCGGGGCCATAAGACATAAGATAAGAAATGAGGCCCCAGACTAGGTCTAACATTGTTGGACTATATTAACAAGAGTCTTATAGTATCCCGTCACTCGAAATTATAACTGTAAATGTATCTATTGGCCTCATTTTACTGTTTCTGGTAAGATCATGGGCTTTCAAGAGAAAGCCAATGGTAAGATGCAGTCAGAGTTTTGGCAATGGGACGTGGCACTGGTACCCTGCGTGCAGAGTAAAGTTAAACTACTGAAGACAAAGCTCTCTTTTAAGAAGTGAAGTCAAACAAATGCAAAGGGTATGACACTGGCGGATCCAGAAGCTAAGAAGACGGTGGCCCACATTTCAAATCAGCGAGGAAATTTTTTTGAGCCTCTAAATCCTAAAATCTTCCCCAAGAATGACACACCTTTTCTTATATATCATCACTCGAGGGCTTTTCATGAGAGCACGCATGTAGCCTACTTTTCACCATTTGACATGGAACTCCAATGCCTCTTTCATAACCGAGGTAAGGTTGTCACTCTGCAAAAATCAAAGGAATTACTTGTAATATTTGCAGAGGTTTTATTTCTGAAAACACGCTTTTTCCAAAACCTCTGACAAATTCCAATCTACTAAGGAAATCTGTTTAGATAAGATATCTTTCTGAAACGATGAAAACATCAGTTTCCTCAAAGGAGGAGGGAAATTAGTGCAACAGATTTCGGATAGTCACATGTTGGATTTTGGCTATTCTCTGAGGTTTTAAACTGATGCATATGTTAGATCAATGCATTAGGAGGTGCAAACAACCCACCCCATGTTTTTCTGAAATGTTGTTCTGATTTTCAACCCCTTCCACCCCTGCTTTTATAATTTTGTTGCATCAATATGTTGTTTTGACACACAGTTAACCACTTTTAAGGAATAAGTAATTCCCACAGGGGATTTAAAGATATCCAATATGGGTGACCAAAATTAGCTGAAAGCAATGGATTGCATGAGTTTCCCTATGGGAAAATAACATGGGAAACATTGTTTTCCACTTTATCTATAAGGAATCACTCATTCCTGGTTAACTGTGTCAAAACGCATTATATTTAGCCTATGCAAGAAAAAATATAAAAACCGGAGTGGAAGGGGTTGAAAATCAGGAACACATTTCAGAAAAACATGTGGGTGGGTTGTTTGCATCTACCCTGTCTCAAAGTCGAAATTATTTTATCATCTCTAGAAGTCTTTTCCTGGAGGTAATGCATTGGCCCAACATATACAACTGTTTAAATCATTAGAAAATAGCCAAAATCCAACATATGACTGTCCGAAATCTGTTGCACTAATTTCCCTCCTACTTTCATCACCCTCGTGTTGTACCTTACCCTGCGCGTTCGACTGTCACGTTTAATTTGGTACACACCCTGTGACATTCTGCCGGTTCCATATACGTAGACACGGGACTTGTAAAATTTTCTCATCGTACAAATAAGGTGGAAATTAACTTAAGTCTATACGTGATTAATCCATCCTGCCGCGGTAGACGTGGCGGGCACATATGAGAAATAGCTTACACACGGGTAGTATCTAAAGCCCCGCTATGATTTCAAAGTCGCGAGCAAGTTCCCGCTGAAATCGCGAGGAATAAAAAGAAGTCATGGGTTCTTTTTTGTGTTCTTGAATTGTGTGATTTACAAAACGTTTTCTTTTAATTTTTCCCAATGATTACATGATTGAGACTAAAAAAGCAACTGCTGGAAAAAATGTATCACGAACGGTCGTTCTGTGGTTTGTTATTTGTCAATTAACGAGAGAAAGTATCATTTTGAATCTTTATCTATATATTTCTATACGTTATTGGTGAAGAACGATATTGTCCTGTGGTTGAAATAACGATAGTGATATGAAATAAAGATGTACCGAGTTTCACTTCCTAAAGCGTTACAGAACATTTTATATTTAAATTTTATCATATCCCTCAAGGTCCCGCTTCTAGCAGGAGCAATTAAGCAAAGATCCCGCTGAAATCAGGAGGAGGCCCCGCTGAAAACATGAGGAGGTCCCGCTGAAAACAGGAGCAAGTGTCTCTCAAAAATGGAGTGAATCCCGATTATACCCTGAAAATCTCCCACTTTCGTACCCACCTTGATCCACTATTGTACCCAGTTTGATGAATACATTATTTGTCAATACAATTCTCAATAACAGCAAACACAACTGTTAATATAGTTCATATTATGATACGTTGTTATGGAAAACTGCAGTATCATATTTCCATGCCATTTTACAGAATAAGAAAGATCATCTGAGAAATGTGATGAGTATTAGATCGGACGAAATTTTAAACATTTAACCTAAGTTATTGAATGATTTGAAGTGCAATATAGGATATATTTTGCTCAAAAAATTCTGTATTGGCACGAGATGAAATCAAGTGGAAATACAGCATATCGAGAGCACAATATATCATATGTTGCGCTTCAAATCGTTGTATAACGTTTTTATCGTGTGATCTTACTACATAGTCCATAGGAAATATTCTGTATTCTCTGTATTGCAACTGTCCTCTCTGTTCCATCTTTGAGTACAAGTCGATATTCAGTAAGATACACGAATAAGTGTGCGTTTAGGTCAACATAAAATGAGTTAGTCAGAATAATGTTTATGAATATTATTCCTATATCAATCTCCTGTTGCTTACTTGCTTGCTCGCTTCCTCCCTTCCTTGCTTCTTCGCTTCCTTCCTTCCTTGCTTCTTGGCTTCCTTCCTCGCTTCCTCACATCCTTCCTTCCTCGCTTCCTTCCATCCTTGCTTCCTTCCTTCCTCGCTTCCTTCCTCGCTTCCTTCCTTCTTTGCTTCCTTGCTCCATTCCTTCCTTGCTTCCTCACTTCATTCCTTCGCTTCCTCCCTTCCTAGCTTCCTTCCTTCCTCACTTCCCTCCTTTCTTTCTTGCTTCCTTCCTTACTTCCCTCCTCGCTTCCTTCCTCGCTTCCTTTCTTCCTCCCTTCCTTGCTTCCTCGTATTCTTGCATCCTTTCTTCCTCGCTTCCTTCCTTCCATCCTTGCTTCCTTCCTTTCTTGCATCCTCCCTTCCTTGCTTCCTCACTTCCTTCCTTCTTCGCTTCCTCGCATCCTTCCTTCCTCGCTTCGTTCCTTCCTTGCTTCCTTCCTTCCTTGCTTCCTCGCTTACTTCCTTCCTCGCATCCTTCCTTCCTCCTTTCCTTGCTTACTCCCTTCTTTGCTTCTTTTCCTCCTTGCTTCCTCGCTTCCTTCCTTCCTGGCTTCCTTCCTTCCTTGCTTCCTCGCTTCTTTCCTTCCTCGTTTCCTTCCTCGCTTCCTACCTTCCTTTCTTCCTCGCCTCTTCTTTTCTTGCTTTCTTCCTTCTTTGCTTCCTTCCTTCCTCGCATCTTTCCTTCCTCGCTTGCTTCCTCGCTTGCTTCCTCGCTTCCTTCCTTCATCGCTTCATTCCTTCCTTGCTTCCTCGCCTCTCTCTTTCATCGCTTCCTTCCTTCCCTCCTTGCTTCCTCGCTTCCTTCCTCCTTTCTTCTTTTCTTGCTTCCTTCCTTCCTTGCTTCCTCGCTTCCTTCCGCCCTCGCATCTTTCCTTCCTCTCTTCCTTCCTACCTTGCTTCCTCGCTTCCTTCCTTGCTTCCTCGCTTCCTTCCTTCCTCGCTTCCCTCTTTCCTTCCATGCTTTTTTCCTTCCTCGCTCCCTTCTTTCCTCCTTCTTTGTTTCCTCGCTTTCTTCATAAATTTCTTCCTCACTTCCTTTCCCCCTTCCTTCCTTGCTTCATTCCTTCCTTCCATGCTTCCTCGCTTGCTTTCTTCCTCGCTTCCTTCCTTCCTCACTTCCCTCCTTCATTCCTTGCTTCCTTCCTTCCTCGCTTCCTTCGTTTTTTCCTCGCATCCTTCCTTTTTTGCTTCATTCCTTCCTTGCTTCCTCCCTCGCTTCCTTCTCTCCTCCTTTCTTGCTTCCTCGCTTTCTTCTTTCCTTGCTTCCTCGATTCCTTCTTTCCTCACTTGCATCCTCCCTTCCTTGCTTCCTCCCTTCCTCCTTTCCTCTTTCGTTTTTTTCCTCGCGTCCTTCCTTTCTCGCTCCATTCCTTTCTTGCTTCCTCGTTTCCATCTTTCCTCCTTCCTTGCTTCCTCGCTTCCTTCTTTCCTTGCTTCATCGCTTCCTTCCTTCCTCACTTCCCTCCTTCCTTCCTTGCTTCCTTCCTTCCTCACTTCCTCCTTTCCTCCTTCCTTGTTTCCTCGTTTCCTTCATTCTTTCCTCGTGTCCTTCTTTTCTCGCTTCATTTCTTCCTTGCTTTCTTCCCTCCTTGCTTCCTTGCATTCTCGCCTTCTTCCTTCCTTCCTTCCTTGCTTTTTCCTTCCTTTTCTTGCGTCTTTGCTTGCTTCCTTCCTTCCTTGCTTCCTCGTTTCCTTCCTTCTTTGCTTCCTGGCTTCCTTTCTTCCTCGCTTCCTTACTTGCTAGCTTCCCTGCTTAATTCTTTACTCGCATTGTTCCTTCCTTGCTCCCTCGGTTCCTTCCTTCCTTTCTTCCTCAGTTGCTTCCTTGCTTGCTTCCTCGCTTTCTTCCCTCCTCGCTTTCTCGTTTCCTTGCTTCCTTCCTTCCTTCATTGCTTCATTGCTTCTTTCCTTCCCTCCTTCCTTCCTTTTTTCCTTCCTTGCTTACTTATATTACTCCCACCTTCATTTCTTCGATTTACTTCCTCCATTCCTTCTTTACTTGCTTGCTAACTCAATTACTTACTTCGTTGCTTGTTTACTTCCTCACGTCCTTGCTTGCTTTCTTGATTATTTACATTCTTTCATATGGCAGTGGAAAGACAAATTTTGATGAAAACCTGCAAACGAACAAACGGACGAGGAAAGAACGCACGGATGGACAGAAGAACAGCCGAAAAGACAATGAATGAACAAACGGACGGATAGGCGGCCAAAAGAACGCATGAAAGAAAGATAGAACAAAACAATTTACAAAAGATCGAACCCACGCACGCAAGAACGTAGTTACAAACGAACGCACTAATGAACGCACGCACGAACGAACACACAAACAAACGCAAAAAGAACGAACAGACGAACACACGCATGAATGGACGGTTGAACGAAAGCACGGACGAACGGACGGCTAGACGGACGAACCCACGAACGAAAGGGCAGTCAGACAAAAGCACGGATGCACGCACGAACAGACGATCGGACGGTCGGACGAACGCATGATTGGGCGATGCACGCACGAACGATCAATCGGTCGGATGAACGCACGCATGAACGAACGGACCGTCGGACGAACGCACGCATGAACGAACGGTCGGTCGAATGCACGCACGAATGAACGGTCGAACAAAGAAACCAATGAAATATATGTGTCCTCAGAAATATAATCCTTAGAATAGTTAATTATGTAGAATGTACATTTAACTCCGAAATGTACAAAGTCTATTTACATATAAAAAATTGATCATGCCGCTGACAGATGGATTAGACTGCTTGAAGTTGAAGAAGAAATATTTGTGATGTTGCCATAGAATGATATGTTATGTGATTGTCATTAATACGTTATTTGCACATTCGTGTACGTTCATATAAAGAAGCTCACTGTATTCATGGAATAATGATGAAGCTTTCCTCGTGATCGAAGCGGGTAGTCGTGAAATTTGCTCGTGTTTTCAGCGGGGTCTCCTCATGTTTTCAGCGGGGTCTCCTCATGTTTTCAGCGGGGCCTCCTCATTTTTTCAGCGGGGCCACTGGAACACCTTTAATAATGTATTTCGACCCCCATGGCAGGTGTCATTGTCCAGTAACTTATCAATACAGACCATCTTGATCCGATATTTATTATGGAGTATGTTAACTGTATGTATTGCCTTTATTTTAACGATAAAGGTAATATATGAACAGTAAATTATGCAAACGTGCATGTTGACGCCCCTTTCCTTCATGCAAGTAAAAAATAATCATTTTTCATGTCATTTTTTGTCAAATATATCTGTTGTCAAAGTTTTGCTGGAGTATCAAAGAACGGTAATAAGTATTTTCATTCTTTTGATTCATTTTCCAAAGTGATACAAATAAACAGGACTATGCTCGCGATTTCAGCGGGAACTTGCTCGCGACTTTTCAATCATAGCGGGGCTTTAGATACTACCCGTGTTACACACACTTGGGTGGAAAAGCGATTCTCTTAAACCATTATTGACAATTTCATGAAACTGGCAGGTAAAATTGACATAATACTCATGATCACGGGCTTATATTAAGAATTATTATAGAGCAAGGCACAGAGTTCAAGCGACTAGAGCAAGTCAACAGAACATTAGTTGCATTGAATTCAGGATGAAACATCTTTGTTCTTATCTAAGCACTAAGGTACCACCAGTAGGCAAATAAAGCATTGACTTAAGCCCTGACGATGTATTGTATAGGACAAAAAGCCTGTCTAATTGAGTGACACGGGGACCCGGCCAAGTGTTCAAACTGACGGGTATTCTCATTCTGAGGTTTTTCAACATGGAAGTATATCTTTTATTCAAAAGGATTGAAATTTGTTCACTTAAGAAATGTGTTCAGATATACTGTACATATGAAAAGTTTTACACAATGTTGTTTCAATAAAGTAACCATGAAAACTAACAAACTAGTGCGCCAGTCAGCCATTTTAAAATTAACTCCATAAGGTCACTTGGATTTACGTCCATAAAGTCCCTACAATTACAATACAAAGTCTCTAAACTCTTGTAGAGACTCGATGGACACCCTGTTTTACTCAGTCACTGCATGTAAAATAGTAAAATACATAAACATTTCTATTTATATGATAATATAATATTATATTTTAGACACTTTTTTGTACTTTTTGGTTATTGTATATGGGCCAGGGTATATTAGTAATATGTTTAGAATCTCCATCTTGCACTTTTTCAAACCATGTAGTAAAACATGTTTAGTGTCATTCTAACATATTTTATCTATTTTGAAAGATTATAGTATAATTTATAAGCATGTTGTTATTATGGAACATAATTAGCCATATTTTGGAGATATCAATAAAAAACAATTACTATAGCTAATAGTTTCCAAAAATTGAATAATGGGAAACATAATTTAATTCCCCTGGATGTACCTGTAGTATCACATATTGGGAGTCAAAATAATATAGTGTTATAGTAAACTGTGGATGAAAATATCACCTTCAACAATATGACATTATCATATCAATATGATATAATAATATTTATAGTACTTAATTTTTGTTCCCTACATAGTATAATGTATATTGTTGTTTGTACATATTTATCAAATTATGAAGTCTGACATTAGATTTGTACATCAAATTGAAGGTATAATATACTTTGATTTGATGTAGGCCAGATGGCACTTTCTTATAAATTGATGTATTATGATATTATTGCATGCAATTAAACAGTAGGCCTATAATTCAATATTCAATTCAATCCAATAAAACAATGGTTAACAATATAGATAACAATATTGTATATTTTATTATACATTGGATAACAATATAGCACCCTTTAGTAGAAAATCAAGGAGGTTTACCAATATTATGATGTGTATGAATGAGGGTCATTTATGGGAGGTTTTGGGAGTCCTGAGGGAAACACAATTGTATTGTATTGTATTGAATTGTATTTCCCGAGGGTTGTAACCTGTATCCAAAACCAAGCATTAAATAACTGATTTATCCTATACTAAAATATAAGAAAATGCATTGAACAAAATTTCTTTGGATTTGATGAGCGGGAGATACAGCAGGAGATATCACCTCAGATATTGATTATATTCCCGCATGTTATTCACTTTTATCCCACGATTAATGTGTTATCTGTACAATAACAGCTATTGATATTTCTGATATCATTGAAATCCGTGTGATATTTTCCAGAAAATCGTTTATCAAACTCATATGCGTGTGATATCGTTTATCTCATGCATATCCGTGTGATATCACATTTGCATTTCGCGCCACAATATTGTTGGAAATTAGGTCAGATAATTTATTCTCTTTTGAGAAAATAGGTCCGTTAATTTATTCTCTTTAAGTTTCATTGGTGTATTAAATTACGATTGTGTATATAATTTGATTAGAAGGCTGCTAAATAACGATTAAAAAATTGTATTTATGACGAACTATATCACAAGGTGATCGTAATCATGGGATAAACCCAATATCACATAATTTCTCGTGATATCATTTTATCGCCTCGTAGATATCAAATATCAACACTCATTCGCTTCGCTCACTCGTGTTGATATTTGATATCAACTCGGCGATAAAAATGATATCACTCAAAATGATGTGATATTCTGTATATAACGCTTCTAAGTATGAGATAAAGTAATTCTAGTGATTATTTTTAATCATTCGTAAATGTTGCACATTTGATTTGATTTGATTTTTTGGCCCTAAATATAACTTAATAAAAATACATACAATGTATTGACATTTTTTCCACTGCAATCTCTACACAGCCCATGCTTTTAAATTGGCGAATTTGTGTGAATTGAAAAAATCGCCAAATTAAATAGTCGCCAAAATCCCCGGGAATTTGACATGTTTTTCGTTCGGTGCATTTGAAACTCGATATTTTCCAACAATGAAAAGGTCGAAATGTTTTTATTTTCTGAAATTATAACCAACTATAAATTCAAATTTAACAGTTCGAAAGATTCAAACCAATATCTAGATCATTTCTTTTGGAATTTTTCATGAGAAAATAAGACCAAAATTCACGATTCAAAGGTTGAAGTGAACAAAATGGTGGCTGTTTGAATTCAAATTTCAGTGTATCACGACATATACAAAAAGATAAAGACAAATACTGTAATTTTTTATCTATTTTGAGAGTGCATAATACACTTATACATGTTATAAGAAGGAATATGTTATGTAGTGGTCGGGGCGGATTACAGCATGTGGGCTTGCATATTTTTTACAGAATAGCTATGAGTGTATTCACAATGTATTCTACTGTATTCTGTATATAAGGCATAGGAAAACTTGTTAATGACAATTATTTAACTATTTAACTTTCCATCCAATGGACCTTTTCAGTGAACCCTGACATCTTCTCATATGAAACAGGATTATTTTGGATTTCCTAGTTAACTTATTGCTAATATTAACAAGCCCTTGGAATATTGTTTGTAAATATTTTGAATCTGCCCAATATATCCTCGCTGGTGTAGTAAAAGACTGTCAGTGTTGATTGGAAAGGTTTATTTCTGTTTGATTCCAAAAGAAAAGAATGATAAGTGCAGATCTGGTTGCCTTCCCACTGATTGAATTATCTAAATGAGCAAAATGTATTCTCTGAACCCTTTGGTATTTAAATTTCAAATAGGTTAGCATACTGTACAATAGGGTGCAGCACCCAGCTAGCTCTTATACTGGGGCGATCACTGTAAACAGTCAAACACATAGGGTCAAGGAAATTATTGAAATTATTATTATTATTCACTGAATTGTAGATATTCTGACATAGGCTAGTGCTATTAAAAGTTACTATAGCAATAAGCAAATCCAAAAACATATCATTTCTGTTTCAAAATAAGGGCTCCTCTGCTCCTCCTCCTACAAAACATCTATGTTTGACTAAAGGCAAAGTTAATTTGTATTGAACCCTAACATCAACAATTGATACTTCAACTGGTTCGTAAAGATCCTACTATAAAGTAGGAACAAATCCCACCAACAGACCTGCCAACCTAAAATGGAAAATTTGTTAAGATTTACAAACAATAGAAACGTCTCCTTTGAAAAAAATATTCCTATGAAATATAATCCAAATTGGACATGTAGACCCAAAAATAGAGCAAAATCAGACAATTGCTATTTGAGTTATTGCCAAACTGACAGATGGACAAATAAATCACTTCCTTAGAACTTCTGTATCCCTACTCAAACTTCACTTGGTGGGATAGCTACACATGATATCTTAAACAGGCTATCATTTCAAATCAAAGATTTCTAGCATTAAAGGCTCAATTTCTTTAGGATCTACCTCCAGTAGAACCTTAGCATGTCTCTCCCCTAGCTGCTTCAACTCTCCCAGCTTTAACAGTACCTGTGGGAACATACACTTTGCATGCTGGTATGAGTAGTTTGCCTCCAAGTAATGTTTCAATAACACAACATAGCGATCCTGAATGTTTGATACCTCCTCCCGACAACTCACAAATGGACACTCGGGAGAAAATAAAGATATGACCAGAAGAATGATAATAATACGAACATCGTCTTGAAGAAGTTCTTTCATTGATTTGCAATATGCGACGTGTTCATCATGTAGTTTGTAATAACTAGTGGCAGCCTTCAAGATGGCTGTAGGGACCTCCCCACTAGGGGTCAACCACACGTCTCTGTCAGGATCATACGCAGATACAGACCGTAATAATAATGCATTCAACACTGCTCCCTTTAAAAGTTTTATCTGTGTGTCCTGATTCAAACGGACAAAGTCATCGAAACGTTTGGCGAATTTGATAAGTCTCCGGACTGTGTTATCACATACATTGACAAGATTATTAATAGTGAGACTATCCTCAACTGTGATTGGTGAATCAGCCGCAAATGGAGAAATTGTTGCTTCATAAATTGTTTCTAGTTCTATCAATATGGCGGTCTCTGCTGTTGTCAACTGGCGTGTTTGATTGGTCCAATCTACCATCGAGCGCTTCTGCCGGGGTGCATTCAAACTTTGTGCAAGATTTAATTTTGGTAGTTGGACCTCTACACCAGATGATCCAAGCGTAGGACTTGCACCCGATATTGCTGCAAAACTAGCTTGAAAGTTCAAACCACTAAACAGTCCTGAAGCTGCTGCATTCTGGGATTGCGCTGCTGCCAGTGCTGCCATATTCTGGGCAGACATCACCTCCTTCAACTCTTTCCCACTCTCAGGGCTACTTGGACTTGATATGCTTTGTATTTTATCTCTATCTCTATCGCAAGATACCACTTTCAAAGGGGTTGTTTTAACAGGGGTGATGCTGGGGGTGTCAGTTGTAGTGGAGGGTGGGGCCTGTATGGAGACTGGTGACTGAAGATCACTACTACTGTAAACAGGAGCTGTAGTGGACTGAGGGGGATACTGGTCCCCATCTAAACTCCCAGGTGATAATAATGGACTGTTTGGCTCATTCAGTTGAGCTTGTATCCCACTGTTGTTGTTCGAAGATGACTCAGATGGCTCTAACATCTCAGGGTCAGTTTTTATTTTTTTGTTTCGATTTTCCAATACCTTTTCTCGTCTTTTTCTTTTTTCTTTCTCATCTGAAAGATAAAACATATAAGGATCATCTTTCAGCACAGATAGGAATAGCAGAGAAAAAAGTATTAGCCACAGTGACTAATATTGTCATGAAAAATATTTAATCAATATTATTGTCAACTTGGTAGTTAATTGTGAGCAACAAACAAAAGTTGTTTTTTTCGGATCAACCTCAAACTATAACTACGAGCCAACTCAACATCTCAAGAAGTCATGAAATTATCATTAATCGACTTAGAGCTGATCTCCTGTTTAAAGCCCAGTTATATGCTCACAACTTTAACTTTATTGATACTCCTAATTGTACAGGTGGACTTCCACAAACCTTGAAACATGTTTTCTTTCACTGCTTACTATTAACTGCAGAGAGAAAAATTATTTAAAGATATCAATGAAATAGCACAAATTGAACATAGAAATCAAAATTATTACTTGAACTTATTTAAGCATGGAAGTCTTGACATTTCCCTAGATAAAAATTCACTTATTTTGACAACTGTTGCAACTTTTCTTCACACCAACAATTTGGCTCTCAAAACCTAACGAGTACCGACCCGGCTTCCAGACCTGATATCACCCAAGACCCAGGAAACGCATGTGCCTGACCAGCACACATTTGCTATTGTATTACATTATTTGTGTTTATTTGCTCCTCTATAATGCTGAAAGGCGATCGAGGAGTTCTTGTGTTAAATATATTACTGATATAAATAAAGTAATGAATAAATTGTGAGCATTGTGACAAGTGACTGATCCAACAAATAATGGCAGCCTGTATATTGTAAAAACATAACTTTTTCCTCCAAGCTCTGGCTGCCTTCATTCATGAATTGTGGGTTATTTAATGCAATCATGTATCTGTGATCTTCCCAGAATCTAACTGCATAGCACTCCACCTTGTTGTTTTATTTTACACGCCCCGTACCAACCCTGTTGAAATTGCCCACCCTTCTAGGCACCCGGTTACTTCAATGCTAACTTATGTTACTTTCCCCATATCTTGGATGATATCACTTAAAAATTAATATTTTTCGAACTGTCTTTCCTGAATCGCCATATTGAAAAACAAATCTTAAATGTTCCCTGATTGGCTCAAAACTCCTCATTAGTTACCTGAAGATATCTGATCAAATTATCTCTTACTAATCGTGTATAGTACAGGATGGTAAAAAAATGGAAACGCTATTTTCCTCATATCTTTGACAATTAAGGGCATAAATCCCTGATTTTTTACACATTTTTATTCCATAATACTACTGTTTTCCCAGGGAAATATGAAGGAATAAAAATCGTATTGAATCGTATTACATGAAAAATCGCATTGTCCCCGGAAAAAAAAGCGTATTGGAGCGTATTACATGAAAAAATCGTATTGTCCCCAGGAAAAAATCGTATTGGAGCATATTAACTTATTTTTGGTTCCCCGGTTATTTTTTCCCGGTTATTTTCATTATCCAAATGTAACATTTTAGAGGGATGGAATAAATAGGTTATTCCTGGCCGGGATTGAATATGGGTTTTATTCCAAGGAAAATATGATATTGACCTTGGGCAATATTATATTGTCCCTCGAAATAAAATACATATTCAATCCCTCCCAATAAATAACCTATATGTACATCATTCAATTTCCTACCAGCCCCCTCTATTTCATGAGAATCAGACTGATAGTCACAATGTTACAGCATTTTAAAGAACATTCTGCTTCAGGGTCGCTTCATTTTGGTTATCATTGTGAAAACAACTAGAAATCAACTCCATGGAGTAGCAAATCCCAAAGAACAAAATATCCTTGAATCTGTATATGTCCATCTAATATTTACCATCACCCAATTACCAAACAGTAATACTCATTACTTTTGTATGAAATGAAAAAATTTGATTTTTGTGAAGAATTCCTGCCATCTTTAAAGTGGACATCTTGAAAACATTTTTCTGCGTAAAACTATTTACCATTCTAATATGATGTTACGTGACGTCACAATAACTAGAACAATTGATTTATTGGTCTATTTTGTGGCATATATGACCAGATGACCACTTGTTTTAAAAAAGTTATTTTTCTGTTCTGTTTATCATATTAGAATTGTAACAAGGACCTCGATTGTATGATTTATGGCAAATATTATATGGCCTCAGATTTTATTCTTGCCATTGCCAAAGACCTCAATCTCTACACGATATCAGTCTTTTAACATTGAACATAATAAAATTTTCGGTCATATATTGCGCCATAAATCATAGAATCATGGTCTTTATTCCTTAAATAAATCCTTCTAGTAGTATTTGAGTTATTTTCCAAACAGACGTTCGAACTGACAGTTGTCTTGTTGACTTCACACTGGTGGGTTTACAGCTTTTTCTACCAGTAACACTTCCCTTCCCCCATGTTTATCAATTTTTTTCCTCAGTTTACAATCATTTCGGAGACTGATATTCCGTTCATTCTTGTTTTTTCATTTTCTCAATGTCATTTTCATCAGTCTTAGAACTAAGACCATATCTTGAATATTTCATTTGTTGGCTTCTTGTATTAAATCTATATCCATTTATTTTTAACACAGTTGTCTTTTTGATATATACTGACAGTGTGTCTTTCTTATATCCTTGAGAGCTCTAGAGATTCATTTTTCCTCAAGGACTTTATTCTTTTGGAAGCAATTTTTTCATCACTGCAAACTCTTGATATTCTTAAAATCTGTGACATATACGAGTCTCTATATGATTGTTCTCTTGAAATGTTTCTTGAAAGGTCTGGATAGGAAACAATATTAAAATTAAAATCCTCTCTCTTATCATATATTTGTGTGGTCATTTTCCTGTTTTCTATTGTTACTTTTCAAGATGAGAAATGTTGCTTCCATGTTGTTTTCATTTTCTCTGTTCAGTTTGAGTTCAGCAGGGTATTTATTTTCCCTGTCATTTTCTAATTTATCTTCATTATTTATACTGCTTATCATCTATGAATCAAGCTGTTTTATTATATTTCATTGCTCCTCAGTAGTCTTCTTTAATCATTTTTGTTACAACATCGTCTTGACGGATTGATTGACGGATGGAGGGCTTCAGTATGTTCCTACCGAACTTCGTTCATTGGGATAATCAACGTGTGTACATGCGTATGCAACATTGGAGCCTATCAAAGTTGTTTATTTGTTGCACATATGCAGAAAAGGAGGGACCAATTAATTGAACTTGGAGCAGATTACCGCTAGTGGCAGCTAGCACAGAGTAATCTGATAATATAATCTTAATATAGGATAAAAACAAATATGATCTCTGAATACAAATACACATGTAAATTATTTATCAAATATTGTTTTTCAAGATTTATCATAACTACGAAGAAAATAAAGTTAAAATCGTCTTATGATGGTCTTCGTAAAATAAACTTTCAGTCCATATGAGATAGATAGTGTTGGCTCAGCTCCTTTCTAGAAGGAAACTATCTTCAGAAACTTGTCATTCTACAATCTCAGTGAGCACCAATACCGCAGAGACAGGTCAAAGGTCCGAACCTCAGTCTAAGAGGAATTGCACTTGGCATTGCCTATCATAATCATTTAAAAATAATTTCCTTGATGATGACAATCAACTGGGATTTGGTTGCTTTATCTAATTTTACAAGCGATATTCAGTATACTAATTAGTGCAAGATTGGGCAACATGCGAGCAAAGAGAACAGTGAAACGGGAACCCGCTTCTGAGCTGTAGAAGTAAAGCGAGTGGTGAAACTTCATAAAAATCCCCCCCTGCTCCAAATAATCCTAGGGAGCTCACTGTATATAGTATGCTAGACTTTTAACTGGGACCCATTCAATTACAAAGTATCATACAAATCCTTGCGCTTAAAATTGTCCAAAATTTAATGGGTCGTGTGCTTAAATCTTTTAGTAAAGTATTTCTTAAAATTAGCATAAACAGGATAATCCATATAATCCATATTCAGATGGTCATACCTAGAATGAAGTCTTTCTTCATGCCTGCTGTGAAACACTTCTGTAGTCTGCAATACGAGCAGAACCTCCGTGTCCTGACATCTATCACACATTTTGACTCAAACAAACAACGAGCAACCTAAAATAGAAACATTGAATTGATCAAAAGTAATAATTTTTTAGAATATATTAGCTGGCAAAGTCAATCGAATATATTACTATTTTATATTTCATCTGCAAGCTGAAACTAGAAAAAAACAGCAACTCCACGGAGTAGCAAATCCCACCGAACAAAACATATTAATATAGCTAGTGTAAATGTTGAAATGTTTGTGCACTTTGTGATAGAAGCATGAAATTTGGCACAAAGTTAGTTTATACCATTGTGAACTAGGCACCATCATATAAAATTTGAACCAAATCCGTTCACTAGTATATGAGTTATCAAAGATTACTTTTTTACGAAAATTGGCTGCCATCTTGAAATTCAGCCGCCATCTTGAAAATTATTTCTCGAACAGAGCTACTGTGTCCCTAGGCATAATCATATAAAATTTCAGCCAAATCTGTTCACTGGTATTTGAGTTATTAAAGATAACGTTTACAAAAAATTGCCGCCATTTTGAAATTAAGCAGCCATCTTGAAAAGTTTTTGTTGAACATAGCTACTGTGTCCCTAAGCATCATCATATAAAATTTGAACCAAATCCGTTCACTGGTATTTGAGTTATCAAAGATTACATATTTTTACGAAAAATGGCCGCCATTTTGAAATTAAGTGGCCATCTTTCTCTGGCCATTTTTGTTGATTTAACAAAACTTTCCTTTGTATAATATTGAGAGATGTCATTTTGTTGCAATGAGGTTCGGATAGATGTTTCATTTCATTCTGAACATCACTGAACATATGATACCAAGAACAAAAGAAGTGTCCAATGTGTTTTCTAAAACAATATAGAAAAAAGTATATGTATCTATTTCAAATTATATTGTTACTATTCAAAAGATGACCATTACATTGACAATGTGTAAAATTTTCAGAATTTTTTTATGACTGGTTTAAGAGAAACGTGTGTTCAAAAAGTTTGCCATATCGATACCCGTCCTTTCAAACAAAATGAAATTGTATAGGATCTTTAAAATTCAAATTGATGTGTGAACTTAGTATGCACAACTAACCTTTTCTTTCAAAGCATTTCTCCTAAAAAATGCTTTACAAGATTCACATGAAATAGCATCAAAGTTACATCCCAAAGCCCGATCACCACAAACAAGGCATAGTTTGTCTTCTTTCCCATTCTTCATCTTTTTCCCTGTCGTTTCTTCATTTGCTGCCCCCTCTACCTCCTTCTTTTCACTCTGTAAAAAGATAAATATTGCATAAAATTGAAAAGCTATGGTATCATGGAATGTTTGGAAGTTCCCCAATTTTATATGAAATTTTAGACAAACAATACAAAGGATTTTTAGATTTTCTTAAATGTCTAAAAAATCTAAAAATAAATTTGGAAGCTTCTTAACATTCCAGGGTATCATAGATTTAAAATATATGGCCTGCTAGTCCAGAGAAAACACCATGGACTGCTTTTATGTGTGACTAGGGGGAGAAGTTTTGTGCAGATTCACAAGGTTTAAAATGCAAAAAAAATCACATGCGTTAGGCAACCATTTTTGGTACCAACTTTCAATCAGCAAAATCTTAATCATTTTTAGAATAAGTGTATGTTGCTAGAATCAGACAATCTCTAAGTTTATGGCTTTTATATGAGTTTAGTGCATTATCTGAGAACTTGGTACTGGAAGATTCTTGGTGTGAAATTATTCCATTAATACATGTATATCAGTTAATTTAAGTATTCCAGCCCTGGACTCAGTGCATTGTACGCTGAATCATACAATTGAAGGTGTTGTTTCCAAATCTTTACATGACCACACAGCGGGAATGCAAAGTTTAGGAAACAACGCATGAGTGGAATGAAGCAGCCACAATGCATTGAATCATGGGCTTAAATTCTTTTCACACATTGCAAAATATTTTTACAAAATTACCTAAAAGATTTAATATAATATTTCTTTTATACCAAATATCTTTTGATAGATTAATACAGCATTCTATACTACATATTCTGTGAAAAATTCATCAGAATATACTGAAAAATAAAAAAATTAGAGAGATATTATGAGAACTTTATGATATACCCTCGTATATAAAATTTTCCATTGCATAGTGATGAGGTGAGTATTTTTGGATACTTGCTCGGCAACGAGCCACTTTGCTTTACCTAAAAGATACAAAATCACTAGAAGAACATATTTTCAATGAAACCTTTTGCAAGGATCAAGTTGGCAAACCATCAATTTCAATCTGTGAGTCAAGTTATCACCTTGACAACCATACAACAAATGTGCTATTGATTATATAACCGAATGCAGTTACGTGATATAGCGTGATTTGATTGGCTGGAATTGGACACACCTTGCCATATGTATGTATGTATGTATGTATGTAGATGTATAACCTTTTACCACATAATATTACTGCATATAAGTTATAATAAAAAATGACCATTGTCAGGTGATGGATCCACAGTAGGCACAACGAAAGGCAAATACCCTATACTGAAATAAAGTTTACTATCATTTTCATGAGTTACCATGCATAACTTGGATTACAGTACAAACTGAGAAAAGAAGCTTAAAGAGTGGTCGTATATACATCTCAGAATTTGAATTGTGTACTTTTATTCCGTTTTATTTTTTAGAATACTTTACGAAAGAGATTTGACACGCTCCCTCCTCTAACGTGTAGTTATAAAGAGATATATTATAAATCTAAATTCTTAACGTATATCAGATTTGAAACTGCTCTGTCACAGCGGACAAAAAAATTAAACATTATTTTTTATAAAAAAAATTTAAAATACCCAATACATAAAGATCTCATTAATACCTTCAGAGTTATGCTGAAAACATATGTAAATATTATCGTGTCGCTATATTGTACCATTAAAAAGAAATAAAAGAAATGGTACATTTTGGAGTATGATACTCCGACGCCGTTTTCAATAGCTTTTACTCTTAGCGTTGTTGGACTTCAAACAGAAGTTAAAGTTACCCGCAACTGATATATTCATTGCATGGAGTCAGTAATTTTCTTTGATATAGCAAAACATATGAGTAAAAAAATAAATTGTGTGGATTTCCTAGTGTTTCTATGCAAAATAGCACGCTCCGTCAGAGCGGACAATTTTTAGGATACCAGCCTGTGAGCAGGGCTGTGCCCTTTTGTAATTTAGAAAGTTTAATAAGTTACAAAATTGGTATTCGCTCATTCTCCATTAAGCGTGACTTTTGAGGTGTCAAAATATTAATTTTTCGACCTCAACCAAAATACTAGCTCTACTTAGTTTATGGATGGCTATGGTCTGTGGATGAAAAATGCCAAGTTTCACCAGCCTTGTTTCAAAATTAAAGTTACGATGCATTGTATAAACAAGGATCATCCATCTTGCCATTTGCCCAGCGGAATCTTACCAGTCGACAAAAAACGATGAAATCACGTTAAAAAGAAAATATGCACTTTGAAATTGAGGCTGATTGAATATGAAGACTCCATTGAATACAGCTGTGCAATTTACAGTCACCAAGATGAGTTAATTTCGGAGATATTCGGGAATTAAACAAGAAAATGCAGCAAACTCCTCGAGTCGAGGTCTCCAAGTCAAAAAATGCCTGACCCTCCAGTCTGGCAAATAAGGATTTTTTCGCTGTAGCCAAATTTGTCCAGAGACATTAAAAACACTCTGGCCAAAAATATTTCTGTCCCGCCATTATTTTGTCGAGTTAATTTTGTGTTCACCTAATTTTGACTGTAAAAATAAAGGAAAGAATATTCATTATTCTCAAAGCACTGCTATTAAGGTCAGGGTGCATGATGGGAAATTTTCTGCATTCCTCAATTGAGTCACATGTTATTTTTCAAACAAGAATCACTCCTTCCCCACAGTGTCTATATCTTCCAGTTTTGCACAAAGAGTGCACTTATTTGCCTAGAAAAGACTTGTGAGAAGAATGTTTTGATAAAGTGTATAAAAAACAAGAAATTTCAGTGAAAAAATTTAGAAAATTTTCAGAATTTTTTTTCACTGAATTTTCTCGTTTTTTATATAGTTTACAAAAGAAATCTTCTCACAAGTCTTTTCTAGGCACATAAGTGCACTCTTTGTGCTAACCTGGAAGATATAGACAATGTGGGGAAGGAGTGATTCTTGTTTGAAAAATAACATGTGACTCAATTGAGGGATGCAGAAAATTTCCCATCATGCACCCTGACCTTAATTCTGAATTTTATCTAAATAACCACTATAAATCTTATTTTCAATCGTCCTGAGATTTCAATGTACACAAGTACATGTAGTTGCGAAGGTGGTGTGATTTGATTAACCTAACATTTGATGGGGTATGGAATGTCGAAACAGGAAGACGTTGAATTTCAAAATAAGACTGACAATGATGCAGCATTACTGGGCGCTATTGAAAGTGAATATGGTAATCTATCGATCAGATTAAACTGAAAGTGAAAGTGGATTTGCTTCCATATCCAGTTTATCATTGTAACCACCTTTAAATATGCGATGGACTGGTTCTTAATGTGCCCGGTATCTATCTTCATAGGATCAACTTCAAATCTAGTGTATTTAATCTCTCTACTTGATGGAGTAATTAAAAATACCCAGCGAGAACTCTGATAGACGAGGTCACTGTGACCGGCATTGATAGACCTACTGCGCAGTGCGTCTGCGCATCTCAAAAGAAATTAGGGGCCGTCTCAATGTAAGCTCCGTGTGAACTCTTTCTAGTAAAACGGAGAGAGATAACTAATCCGGGAACTAATCTTGATAAACCCAGTGGTTGAGCAATCAAGGCAGGGTTTTAGGAGTTAATTTAAGATAAAAAAAGATCGCTAATGCTATTAGAATGCAGTATGACCTTATGTCTTGTTCGAACTGAGTTTTGTTTTGTTGCATTTTTGATTCACCCCCTAGCCACGTGCTTCGCCAGATAAACAAATAAAGGGATCGTAGCATTGATGTATAGATGGTTTTGATTGGTAGACATCGCTTCATTCTTAGTATTTCGGCCAATTAGAGCAGCGGTTCTATAACGATTTGGTTTTGTGTGTAAAAAGGAATATTTTAATTCGTATTGGTTCGCTAGTATTTTGATAGATCTAGACATTGTTTTGCGATGATTTTTTGTGAGAAGATCAAGCAAATGTCGGGGATAAAACCTGTGAAGTTAGATTACATCCATCGCCAAAATTGTCGAGGTAGATCGCAACATCTATCGCCAAATTTTTTTCACTCCCTGTTTTTGGTGTTTGGCGACCTCTTATTTGCCACACTGCCCTCTCATATATCTGTTGATTATCCTGTTTATAACTGATTCAAGAGCGTTGCTCTGAACGGACCTATATGCCTATTTGTTATTTGTTTAGTTGTTGGTTGGGTAACATGTTTATGACGTCACAAATGATGCGAAGAATCTTTAAACCAATCAGTGAAGTCTATATTAATTGTTTGTTTAGTTGTTGATGTGGCAATACGTGTCTGACGTCACAGGTTATTGCATCATCTTCCAGTCACGCCATTTTACGACATTGCATAATTTTAGCTGATTTTGGCTTCATTTCACTTTATTTGAAAGACTTTTAAAAATATAATAATGAGTCAGTATTTTTTCTTATAAATATTAATATTTGAATTTGAGGTCGAAGTTCGAAAATTTGATCAACTGATTGAAATCACATTTTAAAGAGGTGAAGAAGTGAATAATTACAGGAGCAAACGTGATCAATGGTTCGAGGTCTCCCGCAAAGTAGTCGCTACGCTCCTACTCTGCGCTGCCTTTGGCAGAGGAGACCTCGAAAAAAAGTAACTTCATTTTTTTCATTCGGGTTTCCCAACTTGAAGTATTTGGAATCCCAATCTCCTTTCGCCAGAACATTCTCTACGACCATAGGCCAAGGGAAAAGTAATAGTAAGCTGTATATAGATCTCTTCTATATACGGCTTACTATTACTTTACCCTTGGCCTATGTCTACGACTGTGTCAAAATTTGTTTTCGAAAATCAAACTTTGACCCCCCCTCTCATTTTTATTTCAAACCTCACAAAGCGTACACGTTTTCGATGTAGAATGTGTGCCTCTGTATACAAAGTGCAGCTATTTCTCTTAAACTGTTGTGAAAACGGCCAATCAAAGAGGTAATTACTTATAAATGCTAAGAATGATCCGATTTGATTCTCACCTGATCAGCCATCATTGGAGCATGGGGTGTTCAATTTTCAAATACACAGAACGAAAAAGAATCACCCGTTAAATATATATTCCCCTGCATCTGTCACTTAATACTAGCTTAATACCCTGTCAGCTCGGTAGAGCAACTGCGCGAAGAGTCTAGAAGCTCTCTTTCAAAGGCAGGGATTCCTTACCATATGGTAAATTAAACCACACCCCCATTTTGCGAACTCCAATGCAGTGTCTCGGTATAGATATTTCACTGCACGGGAGTTCGCCCCATTTTGATGCAGCCTATTACATAACTTTCAACCCAGATAGGTACTACTATTTAGATATAAAATGACCATCTCATCTGATTCAAAAGGGGCCTCAAAATATATTCATGAATAGACCTGTGACAAAATTTAGCAGATTCTGTGTAAGGGAACATGGGGCAAAGCGGCCCCAAAAAATTAATTTTAAGTTGTTCTGTACGGGGTATTTTCGTATCTGTCAATCATCGCGCACTTTGATGTTCCACTTTATTAATGGTTTGTGGTTTACATTTTTCGAGTGTTTTATACTTTCCTAGGACTATCTTCTGTGATTTTTCAATGGTCAAAAATATTGTCGAGAGTGGGGCAAAACGGCCCACCCTCTGTTACATGGGTTTTGAAACCAAAATTAATCAATTACAAGACTCGTCCACAAACATCTTATCTCAGACGTTCAAACCTTTGACAGATAAAGTATTCTTAACCCCTACCATAATTCTAGTCATTCGATATGTGTCGGAAGGAAATTAGGCACAAGCCAGATGTTAAAATTGTTACATTTGAAAACCAATTGTTCTTGCACAATAAGGTTTTTGTATGTTATAACATGTGTGGGCCGTTTTGCCCCAAAGACATGTGAATTTTCAAATAGACGTCATTTTAATTTGCCTAATATTTGAAGCTCGAAATTTTTACAAATAAAGAATAAATGTGCACACTCTATGTAAAATGTTAAATCAAAACGATATTATATTGTTGCCGGATTTTTTAGAGATTCTCGTGAGAGGGGTAATTTCCAAAAAAGAGGGTGAAAAGTAGAATTACCTCTTACGTAAAGCGAGACGCTGCTTGGTTAAAAATGGACGCTCGAGAAGGTGGCAGATATTTCAAAATTCGATTTTGTGACTTTTGAAGAACCATCTTTTTATAGTTCAAAAGATATTTCGATGGGCCACTTTGCCCCAGAGGGCCGTTTTGCCCCATGTTCCCCTAAAAATACTAGAGATATATGGAAGAACGGGTCTTAGGTGTTAGCATGGGCTCTATCAGGTGGTAGAGCCCATGGTGTTAGTCACCCTTGTTATCTGTTGGATCTGTTGGACCTTGTTGGACCGGGGTCCTAGGCTGAACCGAGGGCTGGACGCTCTCAGATATCAACTCCGCTACCGGGGGTTTCACTCTAAGATGCGCCGCGCCAAAGACCCCCTTTTTGAGCATTTTTTCAATGTCAATTTCCTCTCTAGATTTGACGATTTTAATACATTTTGTTGTAGAAATATTGAATTTTGACTAAAACGGGTACTTTCTTAGACAATTTCCCATGTTTTTCCTCTCAAATTGGCCAATATCCCTCTGCTCAAAACCAAAACTGGCCGTACTGCACATACCTACCCAAATTATTTGAAATATTGGTATATTAACTACAAAATCCACTTTTTGGGTGATTTGTCCCAGACCTCGCTGTTACATGTATGTTATATGTACTATATGTAGTGTCACGTAATCATAAATCTAAGTAATGTAAAAGTTAAGCACATAAACTTTTACATCGAAAGATAGATGTCGCACTTGTACAGGTTTTTAGTAATGGCCAATGATTGAAAATACACGTGAATTTCCTAAACTGGATTTGTCAGTTTTCTTAGTATATATGTAACACTCGCCAACTGATTTTACCAATTAATTACGATTTTTTGTAGAAAAACTGATTTTTGACTTAAAAAAGGCTCTCTCTTCGACAATTTTTCCTTTTTTTCTCTCAGATTGGCCAGGTTCCATGGTTTATGCCCTAAGCCAAAATTGCCCGTGGTGCACATAGCTACCCAAATAATGAACCCCCCCCCGTGACCCCGCCGGGCAACTATATTCCAATAATCTGTTAAATATCAACGCCAGTGTTCCCATACTACTCGGAAAATTATTTAAATATGAATTGTATCGTTTTTAGAGTTATTTTGGAGTAAAAGAACACTAAAAACGATACAATTCATATACTAATAAATTTTCTGTGTCCCATTCCAACCAAATAACGTCCAAAGGCCATACAAACCGTCCAAATAATCCCAATGCCATATCAAATGTTTAAATATAGGACCAATGATGCCATACCAAATCGATCCAAATATATGTATAGGACCAATGCCATACTAACTGTCCAAATCATGGGCTCTATCTGATAGAGCCCATGGTCCAAATATAAGACCAATGTCATGCCAAATGTCCAAATATACATGTAGGACCAATGCCATGATAAAAGTATTGTAAGACTCAGGCCCGGTAAGACACTTTTCTCCAAGGGGGGGGGGTGCGGTTTTAACTAAAGAGAAAATAAAATTGTCATTTTTTTGCCGCGTAAATCAAATTGCGTTAGTCAAGGGGGGGGGAGGTGTTGGTTACTCCCTATATTGGGGCCACTCAGTCTATTTTGTAGTATTTTATTGTTTTTGTATTGTTTTTAGACTAAATATTGTATGAACAATTTGGAGAAACACTGGAATAGGGGGAGGGTGTACTAGAAGGGCATAAAAGTGCCCGAGAACTTTTACCAGTTCAAGATCACATTCAGTGATTTCTGGACCCTTTCAAGGTGTTTTCATTGAAATAGAATCAATTTATAAGAAATTCAGATTTTTCAATCAATTTCTTCTAAGGGGAGCGAGGGGCAGCAAGGAAGATTTTACTAATTCAAGATGCTGTCTGGTTAATTCTGAGCACTTTTAATGTGTTTGAGTTAATGAATGCTTTAGTTTTTGTGGTGGGCTGCCAGAAATGTTTATGTTTTTATGATTTCATCATGTCACTTGGTGACTTCTAAGCACTTAATGAGTTTAAAATTAACAAATGCAACTTCCAAACTTGTGAGGAGTGACCCACTTCCCCTAGGAATTTTTACACTTTTGAGATGCTATTTGGTGCTTTCTGGGCACTTTTAAAGTGAATGAGTCAATAAAAAATGTGATTTTTTCAAACTTTTTTTGGGGGGTGTCAAAGAGAATGAGAGGGTGAAGTGGGGTGAGGTGCCAGAGGGGGAGCAAGGGGTTGTCCCCAAGAAACATTGACCATATCAAGGTGCCATATGATGATATCTGGGCACTTAAAAAATGTCTGAGACAATACATGAAATTCAGAATTTTCTCGATAGTTTTGTGGGGGATGTGAAGGGTGGCCAACTCTTCTAGAAAATCTTACAATTTTAAGATGATATTTGGTGCTTCTGGGCACGTTTTAAGTGTATGAGTCAATCGAAAAAAAATTGAAAAACAATCAAATTTTTTTCAACTTTTGGGGGGTGTCAAAGGGGGGTGCCAGAGGGGGAGGTGGGATTAGGGTGCCAGAGGGGGAGCAAGTGTTTGTCCCCCATATCTGTCCCCCAGAAACATTGACCATATCAACGTGCTATTTGATGAAGTCTGGGCACTTTAAAAGTGCCTGAGACAATGCATGAAATAAATTCAGAATTTCTGTCAATTGTTTTGTGGGGAATGTGAGGGGTGGCAATTTTAAGATGCTTTTTGGTGCTTTCTGGGCACTTTCGAATGACTCAATAAAAATGCAAGCGGGCGAGTAAGTGTTAGTCTCTCATTGACTATATCAAGGAGCTATTTGATGATATCTGGGCACTTTACATGTGTCTGAGACATGGTGCTCTCTTGGCACTTTCAAAGTGTATATAAGTCAATTAAAAAAAGAGAAAATCACAATCCCGAAGGGGAGCAAGTGTTCTGTTAGTCCCCCAGAAACATTGACTACAGTATATCAAGGAGCAATGTGATGATGTCTGGGCACTTGGGCACTTTAAAAGTGTCTGAGACAATACATAAAATAAATTCAGAGAACTTTTCCATTGTATTGAGGGGAGTGTGAGGGGTGGGCCACTCCCTCTAGAAAATTTTACCATTTTAAGATGCTATTTGGTGCTTTCTGGGCACTTTAAAAGTGTATGAGACGATGAAAAAAAATTACAAAAGCTTTGTAATTTTTTTTCATCGTTTTTTTGGGAGGAGGGGTGTCAAGGGGGGTGGTGCAGTCACCCCCATCGCACCCCCCCCCATCTGACGGCCCTGGTATCTTGCCCATTTATTACGTTATCGTTTTTGACATAGGGGTTCTTCGTCAAAATAATTTGCGGCTAATAATTTCAAACTTTTTTATTCCTCTGAAAATTGCTCAGGTTGCGAAATGTCAATATAGTTCCAATGACGCCGCTTACGAATTTATAAAATATAATGTGTTTAATTCCTCTACAATTCAAGAAAAATCCATTGTCATATGAATATTTTAGTTTTCGAATTTTGTATTTTTTGAAATATCAATTATCATAAATTGGCCCTTAAAAGATGTAGAATCTATCAACTTTGAAAACAAAATTACTGAAATGTAAAAAGTAATAAGTAGGTATAAAAGAGGAAATCTATCCGTATAGGAAAAAATTACTGTGCTCAAAGCCAAATGCGTTGCCAAAAGTAGTACATTTGTTCCTTGTCTTGCCAAAATTGTCGAACCCCTATCAAACTAGAATCAAACAATTATTTACTTCTTTCATTTGGAGCTCAACAGATGCAAAAGTAGGTTTTTCACAAATCGTACAAGATTTTGATACCCTTTGCATTCGTTTGACTTCACTTCTTAAAAGAGAGCTTCGTCTTCGTGTAGTTTAACTAGACTCTGCACGCAGGGTACGCCGATTTTGACGACGGAGGCTTAAAAATGATTGTTCCTAGATCTTTGAACATTCACTCATATTGACATGGTTGCAAAAAGTTTGGCACATGGCAAGACATTGCACTT